TACTGCAAAAACTCAGAGAAGCTAAAGTCACACTCAAACTCAAAAAGTGCGAATTCCACGTTAAGGAAACGGATTTCCTAGGATACGTGATCAGCAATAAAGGATTCGGCATGCAAGAAGACAAAGTCAGGAGCATTCTGGATTGGCCAACACCCAAAAATGTGAAAGAAGTTCAACAGTTTCTAGGGTTATGCAACTACTACCGACGTTCAATTGATGGGTTCGGAAAAGTTGCGGTGGACCTCAATAAACTAACAAAGAAAGATCAAAAGTGGGTCTGGGACGACCAATCAGAAAATTCGTTCAACGCCCTCAAGAAGTTGTTCGTCGAGCGAACAATACTTGCACCTGCAGATCCAAGCAAACCATACACGGTGGAAACCGATGCATCTGACTATGCACTCGGCGCACGACTTACCCAACCAGGGGATGACGGGAAACCACGACCAGTTGCGTTCTGGTCCAGGAAAATGATACCCGCAGAAATCAACTATGACATCCACGATAAGGAACTGCTAGCCATAGTGTCAGCACTCAAGATCTGGAGAGCATACCTGGAAGGGGCAAGCCACCAGGTTCTTGTGAAATCGGACCACAAGAACCTCACATTCTTTACCAGCACGAAAGAATTGACAAGACGACAAGCACGATGGGCAGAAACCTTGGCAAGATACGATTACAGGATCGAACATTGCCCAGGCACAGCCAACAGCCAGGCGGACGCGCTCAGCAGAAGACCCGACTACGCGATAGGGGTCAAGGAAGCCGTTCCGGCCATACTCAAGGAAAATGGAGACGGTCACCTAGTGTACAGTCACCAGATTTTGGCCGCCACCAGCGAAATCAAAAACGATGGTTGGATGGAAAGACTGAAGAGCAGCCTCACCGACGATCCAATCATGGAGAAAGAAATGGATGGGGAATACATCAAAAATGACAACGGGTTGATCTACATCCACGGATTGATCTACGTCCCACGACGACTTCAAGACGAAGCGATACAACGACACCACGACGACCCAGCGCACGGTCACATGGGAGAAGAAAAGACAACGGAACTCCTTTCGAGGAACTACTACATCCCAAGCATGCGCAAGAAAGTGATAAGATATATCAAGCAATGCGACACCTGTCAACGAAACAAGCCATCGCGACACACTCCATATGGCGAGTTACAGAACTCGGAAGTACCAACACGACCATGGGAATGGATTACGCTCGACTTCATTACCAAACTACCCAAATCAGACGGGCACGACATGATTATGGTAGTGGTGGACCGATTGACGAAATATTCATATATGATACCAACAACAGAAACCATCGACGCAAACACCATGGCTTTCCTGTTATTCAGATACATATTCGCCAACCACGGAACACCCCAGAAGATAACATCAGACAGAGACAAGCTCTTCACGAGCAAGATGTGGCAATCATTCGCGGATATGGTAGGCATTGAGCATAGACTCTCCACCGCCTATCACCCACGAACGAATGGCCAAACGGAAAGAACCAACCAGACCTTGGAACAGTACCTAAGGCACTACGTGAACTACCAGCAAGATGACTGGGCAGGACTGTTGCCACTGGCACAATTCGCGTACAACAACAGTATGCACACAACCACTAAGGAAACACCATTCTTCGCAAACTGTGGGTACAATCCCTCGATCGTTGGCGAAGCAATCGGAAAAAAGACAGAAGCAGAGTCATCAAGACTACTAGCTTCACAACTCAAGCAACTGCACCTCCAGTTAGCTAGAGATATCGAATTTTTCAACCTACGGATGAAACACTACCACGACAAATCCCGCCAGAAGGGACCAGACTTCAAAAAGGGGGAGAAGTGTACCTCCTACGTCGGAACATCAAAACCAAGCGACCGAGCTCGAAGCTCGACCACCTAAAACTGGGACCTTTCGAGATTGAAGAAAAAACAGGACCGGTCAATTATCGCTTGAAGCTACCAGACAGCATGCGACGCATCCATGCAACATTTCATATCTCGTTACTCGAAACCGCACCAGAAAACGCTGAACTCGCTACAAATGTGGAAATAGAGGAGGAAAACGAAAACGAATATGAAGTAGAGGAAATTCTAAACATGAAACGCGTCAGCGGAAAACCTCACTACCTGGTAAAATGGAAGGGGTACGATACCTCGGAAAACACATGGGAGCCTACCGAGAACCTGACGGACTGCCGCCAGCTGGTTCAACGGTTCCACCAGGAGACTGGCCAAAAACACCATCAAGGGAAGAGACGTCCGGGACGGCCCAGAAAGCATCCGGCATCTGGTCCATCGACGCCACCAACCTCGTCAGACTCGAGTCTGACGTAGCGGCCAACTGACGAATCTCTTGCTGCTCGGCCAAACGGTCGAACTCGGACAGTTCAGCAAGAGAAGGAGGATCGTCCTCGTTGAGACGATCCGACACTACCGAGTCGTGATCCAACATCCGACCACCACGATCTTTAAGAAATTGTTGATGCTTTTGCAAGCGAAGTATCTTCGCCATCGCTTCGTTCATCTTTTGGGAATACTGAAGAAATTGCTTTTGGGCCTCCGTGAGGTCCGCCGACACCTTCTGCTCCTCCCGCTGCAGGTCATCCCACTCCTTGTCGGTATGGAAGCTCCGTTCGCACACCTGGCCTCGACGGGCGCAGGTAGAACACTTCTTACTGTTCGCATAAGGACTCATAATGCAACACTTGCCGCGAACCAGGCAATAATCACAAGGGGATGACGTGGGGCGACCAGACTGTTCGATTCTAAGGGCAAGACGATTGTTGTCAGCGTACTTGTTACGTTTCGGTTTTTGAACAGCGGGTTTAGGCATGGTGAACCATGACGGGAAAATTAAAAATCAAAGGGACCGACACTTACCTGAGGGGGGGTGAGCGGTTATAAGGGATTCTCGAGGACGAGAACCAAGGAGAGGGGGAGATGATGTTACGGACCCTGCGACACGAGGGGCCGCGACCTACAGATGGGCCACCGAGAGCCAACCGTTCCTAGGAAAAGAACGCAGAACCGGATCACGTGACCAACGGCCAGAATCAGCCTCTGATTCGCCGTGTCAAACAATACTGCACTAAACCACGAGACGGCTAGCGCGACGCAAGAACAAGCGTTCTTTCTACCGTCACCAACTTTACGCCAGAAGTACAAGTACCCGGTAAGACCACGTGACCTTGGGTATACCAGTGGGTATACCAACGGGTAGATGGGAGGGTCGATTCTGGTATACCACCAGACATACCCTCCAACATACCACACCACGGAGGATTAGGTATATAGGGACGCTCGTCCACGCACATGTATTTAGTTCTCCGCGATCAATCAATCTAAGTTACTGTGACGTACCTTTCGGATTACTCTTCTAGTTTCACACAAGTGACAAACCCACACAAGTACGGGGAGCTCATCGGACTGACCTACTTGGCGCCCTACCTGGCACACCCTTCGAAGTTACTCAACAAGACCCGAGCCCGTGTAAGGCTTAGCATAGCAACGGTACGGTTGCGAGTCGATACTTAAGGCTTTATTGGTGTTTGCTCTTGAGAGGCCGAATCCAGCCCTCTCAGCGCAAATCGTTATTCTACTGAATAACAAAAGTGAGTTCTACCAACTGTCCAAACACTAATAGTGCGACCAGTTAGCGAGTGCGTAACACTATAATGCCCAGAGTAGAGATAATAACTTACAGCGACGGTATAGGGGAAATATATAAAGGCAGAAGTACTGATTACCTTCTACAGAGAAAATAAGATCAGTATATAAGTTATAATTGACTCAGGAGCTACAGGAAACTTTATAGATTTAAGCTTTACTTCAACCAGCAGAGTACTGACTATTAGGAAGGCCTATACTACTCTTCTCGTCAGGCTTAACAGAGAAAAACTCAGTAAAGGAATTATATACTATACAGAATAGATTAATATAATTATCGGTAACTACCTCAAACCTATATACTTTAATATTATAGGATTAGGAGAATATAATATAGTACTTAGTATTCTATAGCTATACTAGCATAGCCTAAGAATTAATTAGCGAATAAATAAGATCTACTTTAACCACTGTAAATATAAACAAACAGAAACCAGATAGACTGAAAGAGAACCACCGAACGTTAAAGAGCCTAGCCCCGGGACAGCAGATATCTATTATAATCTGTATAAGGGTAAACCTAAACAGAGTCAGCAGCCCAGAGGCAGAGTATTAGGAAGAATTATAGATATTAATATTCTCGTAACTATAGAACAAAGACCAGATATATCAGACGATAAACTTAAGAAATATATTATAATATATTATAAATTACAATAAGCCCTCTGTACAACAGAGGAAGAAATACAGATACCTTAGGAGTACTATAAGTACTAGGATATATTTAAGCCACTACCACATAGTAAGCTCCCAGAGTATAGTCTGTTTAACTATAAGATTAGGCTTAAGGAAGGTAAGGAACTAACCTTCAGACTAATCTACTAATTATTACTAGATGTATTTTTCGATTTGGGCCGAAGCTGCCATCTTCGGCGTCATTCGACGCCGAAAATGGCGTCGTTGGCCCCGGGGGTTCCTGCCACGACCATGGTTGCCATCCGCGCACGCACCCGCTAATGCAAGGCCGACCCACCCAAGGCGCCCAAGCGTCTCTGATGTTCCGATTCCAGTCCGCAGTCCGTTCTACCCTCAGCTCCATGCCACCGAGCATGGATTATCCACAAGGGCGCTACGGCACCGCAGATGAGTCGTCGCGAACAGTCACTGAAACCTATAAGTTGAGATCGGTCGTGCCGATGGAGTCCACTCACCCTTCACTTACATCGTTTGTCTGACCGCTCTCTGAACGCCTGCACTTCCTCCCATTCGATACAAACTGCGGTTGACCTTTTGAGCACTGGGATTTGCTCAATAGCCAGAGCCGAAGTCCATTGTGATTATTTTTATTCATCCATTTCCGCGTCCACAGAGCTAACAGATACAGATGGCAACGAACCGCGACCTCAGTTACGACGACAGCGCAGATTCCGGATCACCTCAAACAGAATCCGACACTAGTAGCTCTGACTGGGAAGCTGGTTTCGCCAATCCAGATTTCTCTTCACTGCGCTGCAGCAGAAAAAGATCTCGACCTCAGGCTAACAATGGGACACGCAAGAGTCCTGCAGAATGCATTTCTAGCAGCGACTCCGACAATGGTGTAACCTCTAATACTTTGCACAAAAGGGTGAAATATCGAGTTGCTAATCCTCAAAACAATTCAACCGAGAGTCAAATGGGGTCTAATATCACAGAGAACATCTTGAGCTCCGATGACTCTGATGGGCTCGACAGTGAGGACAGTTCTGAGACTGATCCAGATATTGATTCAGATGATACGATCTCTGAAAGTGAGGATGATGGCTACGCCGATACGACCAAGGAGAATGTAGCAGGAATGTGCGATCTTTGGGAAAGGTATGTGTGGAAACGCCATCAAAAATGGAATTCTTGCCAACTGACGCCTGAACAGATTTTGTCGGAAGCAGCATAAGAAAGGCGGTACTGGCATCCACTTCCAGTGGGCGAATCCAAATAACGCTCTGAAAGCAGCTGGTAAAACCGAATTCACACGTTTCTTGCGCTGGCGCTTAAAGGTCCGGCGCGGTAGGAACGGCAGACAGGCGAAAGGAGTCAAAAAGGCTAGTACCCTGGACACCAATTGGAAGAACTTTCTTCGACATTACGAGAAAGTCAACAAGAAACCAATGGATGGGAGTCTGGGTCGAAGGATGAGAAAGGTTTTCCATCTGCCCGTGTCTCTTCACATGATGATATTAATCTGTTCTTGTGCAGAGTATTCGAAGCATTGTCCTACGAGCAGGACTGGATACCGAAGAGAAAGAAAAGACGCCGATGTATATCGAGGATTTGGTTCCTCTCCAGGAAACAGTGCTTCGAACTATGGAAAAAAGGTTCTATAGCGGATTGCAGAGAATGCAGCAGTGTCTGTACAATCTGATGGCTTGCTTTACTGTGAATCGAATTAATGCCATGCGAAATTTGCAATACAAGCATATACTTTGCTCAATCCAACGTGATCCTAAAGGGGGTCCGCCGCGGATCTTGTTGGAGTTTACTTACAAGTTCACGAAGAAATACCTCAAAATCACTCAAGGGTATAGCCTGTCTACAATTTTCCAATATTGTGACTGACATTGTAATTTTTTTTTCTAGGAATACTTTCCTAATTCCTGAGATCATATATGACCCGTTTTTGATGTTAAGTCCGCATACCTTCTTGCTAGGTATGTTGTTCCACGACGACGCCTTCCGCGCTCCTGGTATCCGCTCTATGGGCGATCTGAGGCGCCTATTTCTGGAGGGTGATCGGCAGCAGATGGAGATACCACTCAAGCCTGAAAAGTCTGAGAATTATGTGTTCTGCAAAATTAAAGGGATCAAAGGCCAAATAAAATGCCATCGTAATCAACCCATCTCGAAGAGCTCACTATCTAGCCAATTTCAAACGTTTGGAGAAATCACTGGGTTCAAATGGAGCCTATTCACACATCGCTTTAGATACGGTGGCGGAACTATCTTGAACGAAAGCGGTAAGTTTTCTCATGCCTGACATCTACGATGAAAGTCAGCATAGGGTGACTGATCTCGGATTAACTTTTGTAGGGCTCGTCAGCGACGCACAACAAAACTTGATCATGAAACATACCGACATTCAGACTTTCCTCAATTACTATCTGCCACGGCGTATTGGCACGGACATGCAGTCTTTGATGCGGGGCTTAGAGCCTGATTCTGCGATGATGCGTGCAGTCACTAGGATAGGAAGGTGGATTGACACGCGGAGGCCTCGTGAGCTCACTAATGAGCAGAAGGCAAGAGTCGAAGGGAATTTTGAACTGCAGGAAGCTATCGCAAAACGGGACATTTTCTCTGAAAAGCTTTATCGAGGCAAGAAAAAGAGTACTAAACAGCTCGAAAGGCTCGACCAGTTGAAAAGGAATGTCACAAATACGCGTAACAGACTACTTTACGACCTTCGAAAGCGTGTGAGGGAAGACTTTGATAACCAGCAGGCTGTTATTGACATCGAAAGACAACTCACTGGAAGTGCACTCTGTGAACAAGAAACAAAAGAGATACTTCGTGTGGAGGAACATATGCTCCCCAAGCAAATCTTTTTGCTGGAAAAATTGACGACTTGGCCGACGACCACATCTGTGGAGGCGGAGTGGATGCGTCGAAATGAGGCCGTAGAGGCTGTTCGGATGTATTGCGATGTTCTCGAGGGGGGGGCCACGCCGAGGTCGACGGTATGCGAAACAGCCGACTGCCGCGAAGAATGATACAACTATGGGCAGCGATAGCGACTATTCTCCGCCCTGCGCAGTCACTGGAGCACCCTTCATATCAGCTGAGGAAAGAATACTGGAAGCAGAAACTTCAATAAGAGCAGATACGAAACCATTGGCATGCTTCCAATGCTACGGAATGAAACACTACTCTCGCCATAAGCATCTTCTGCGTCATTTTAGAGCCTCACACTTGAATGACCGTAAATGCAACCAGTGCAACGAGGTTATTGAACATGAGATGGGCCTGCGCCGACATATGCAGGATAATCACGGATTGAAGACCTAGCAAAGTTCTGTTTTAGCCAGAAATAATTGCTCATACAAATACCAACCTTCCAACGGAAGCACCCTTGATCAGGTTGATCTTATATACTTAATAAATGAAATTTCCGTAATAAAGAAATCATTGTTCAAAAGAAAAGCTGATTTTCGGATAGAAATTTCTCATTACTACTATACTAAACTGTATTTTTCAACCAAGAAATCAACATAAATCCTGATGCCTCGCGTGTGCTCAGGTACATGTAGGAAGAGGCAGTAGGACTAACCAATCAGTACGTAAAGGGAACATCATAAATCTTGCTACGCCATCGCCGCCCCGACACAAAGATTAAAAATAATCGACCCGTCCTGTGCTGCCACGTCGTTGATTCTCAGCCTCTGGATGACCCTTCCACTCAACACAATACTCAATCTTTCCTCTCCGTTCTCGCTTCTCGAGTAACTGCACGTCAAAATATTTCCCTCGATAGCTCGCCTCAAAGTCATGGATGAGATCTGAACTGATGTGGCAACGAGGTCCTCGACCTTGTTCGGAAAGACCACGATATGGCCCTTGACGTGCTTCCGGTAGCTGAGGCCTGACGGGGTCAGGTTACCAACAGCGGACTGCATGTCTCTGGACCATTGCGGTTTGTCTATCGCGACTTTCCAGTGCCGCTCAGAGTAGTGAAAGCCATAAGGTGGGTGAAGCGCTAGCGCGGCTCGAGCTACGCCCATCCGCAGTCAATTCCCGACTTGAATGAGAGGCTTCCTCGAGCCGAGTATCCTCCGCAGCCTGCCTGAATTTACGAACAGATAGTCTATTGTCTTCAGGGTCTCCCACACTTGCCCAAAGCCATGCAAGTTCATTTCCATTCAGATAAAAACGTGGCCAAGCGCTTCAAAGTCAAAGAGTATATTCGTTCCGGCTGGCCATTCCTTACTGGTTTTCGTCCATGCAAGGTGCAGAAGGCGCATGACTGATGTAATGGCCTGTGATCCAGACTTGTGGGCTAGACCGTTAATGCACAGCGTCGCTATATCCTGGTCCTCCGGACTCGACGCGGCGAGACTGATGATGGTGGCTGGCCATATCAACACTGGTGATAGGAACCCGGCTTTTGCCAGGTACGCCAGAAGGCGGAAACCGAGGCGGGATACTCGACGGACCTGATCCCTGGACTGCGTTGACTCAGGGTCCCGAAATTTGGTCGTGATTATGTGGCAGGCACAAGCGTAAAGGCAGTGCTCGGCGCAGGCCTGGTCTGCTAGCGACAAGCAAGGCCTGCCACCGCTATCCGGTGGATGATCTGGGTCGCCCATATGCGACGGCCACGCCTCATAAGGCCCAAGATAGTGCTGAAAGTTGCCCTCTAGCTTGTCCAGCCCCTCTAGCTTGTCCAGCTCAGACCTCCACGAAGGTTGGAGGGGCACAAGACGGAGGAGGACTGATAGCTTAAAGACTACATTGAATATGGGCGGCCGTAGACCGATCCAGAGGTTATGTTGCCACAAAACACAAGTGATCGGTGACGACTCCCATATATCGACGAGATCGTCCAGAGAGGAGTATTCCTCCAGGTAACACATGGGCCCTAGCCGGAAAGTGCTAGTAACGGCGACTCGGTATACCAGGCTCTCTAGCTGTAGAATGTGGCGCATGTCTCTCGGAGGCGAATGGGTGAAATGGCGGAGAAAGATGCTTCGCGCCGACTTGACATGTGTATCCGAGGGCGATCGGTACCCGTCGCCAAACTTTTCGAAAATGTGAAGTAGCAGCATGGAGCACAGGGCCCATTCCTGAGGTACTGGAGCAGAGTGGAGGTGTTGGCGCAGACTACCTATTGCCTGCGAGTGGTATTCTAGCGACAGGAGTCGCAATGGGTTCTCTGCAGACGGTAGTTGCTGCGCCAGTTGAGCAGCCCCTAGCGCCAGCCATGTGTATACATAAGAGGGAAACTCGGCCAGCAGCAGGAGTAAGGGGATAAAGATTGAGTAGTGATCGTCAAAGTAGGCGCCGTGAATTGCGCGGTTGGCATAGCACATCAGCTCCCAGGCAAACGCAGGTTGGATACCCGGCATGGTGGCACATATGCCAAGCACAGAAACGGTGCTAGGCCTCACTGTGCACAAAGTAGTCTCTCTACCATCCTGAGCTGCTGTCCGTCATCTGGGCCCGTGGCGGAAGAGGGCGAGGATGTAGGCCGCGGCCAAGTGCACTCTCCTTGACTTCGCCGTACACAGCGCCCGCAAGCCGGCCGCCTCTCGTCTCACTTTTTCTTGGCGTGGCGGCCTTTGGTCACACGTAATTAGCGCCGTTGGCATCAGGCAAGTTGCGCTGAGAGCAGGGGTCAAGGAACGTACAGGTAATGCAACCGCTTGTGGATCGCGACAGACTTGCCTTGGTCGAGTGCTCGACCATGCCACCCGACCACAGCTCAAAGTTTGCAAACATGTCTTAACTACGCAAGTGGTTGTTGAGGGAAGTTACGGTTTAGGGAAGACAATGTCAGGCCCTAGATAACTAGTGTAGTGGGGAGAAGCGGTTGATATAGGCAAAATGCTACGATTGGTCGATTCTAGAATAGCAGGCTAGTCCCTTCTGGATTGCTGAGGTAGATATCTTCGTTTCAGAGACTAGGAATAGCTTCAATACACATTCTACGTTCTCGCATTTCGTCCCTGCTCTCTATACAGATTGCTGCATGGTGGTGGTGGTGGTGGTGGTGGTGGTGTTCGATGCCATCTCCGACGTCCCATTCGACCCGCATGTATCCAGTTGCTAAATTTTTCATGTTCATGATTGTAAAAAGATGGTCTGCCCCAAGTTTTCTCTTATTGGCCTCATTAGTCTCCACCAAGAGCATTTCTGTTTCTTTCCACCGGCCCTCTTTCATGAAGGTGGCGAATCTGGCGATCCTACCCTGATTCTCGAAATCGGCTTAAAAAGGCACTATGTAAGTAGTTTAGCTCTTTCCTGACCTCACCGTCAGGGCGATAGGGCGGATAAAATAAGTAAGAGGCCCGCATTACGTAAAACTTCACCATTAAATGTAGCGTGTGTAGTATACCACCCTGAGAGGAGACCTACCCATATTACCGTCATCACCGTCTTCTAAATACGGGCAATAGAGAACTCGTCCTCGGATCGAGTTAATACCCCCTAAACTAGCTTTTTAACGCCTGGAAAATCGCTCTAATCACCTAGTCAAGTTTTCAGCGCGCTATAGTACAGTTCTACTGGTGGTAGTCGATAGCATTATTGGTATTTTTGGACGGCAGAATATTATCTTATCCAAGCGTACACTGCTCGACCCGGCGAGTTTTTTAATTGATATTATCTCACTGTACTCCGTACTGAGTGCGCAAAACTCGGTGGAATTCCCGAAAACCCTACGGTAGATCTCTATAAATCTTGTGTAGAAGACTATCCGGTGCCTTGTGCATCCCAAAGTCAGTTGTATACGTAGATGCCTTGAACCGTTCCATGCTATAAGGTTGGCTCCTCTATCAAATGTTCGCAAAGAGCCTAGAGCTTCGAAAATGAGCAATGTAATACTCGCAGATTTCTTCATTTATAATAAAATTATGATTAAGCTTCTGTTCTGGTCGTAACCAAATGCAAAGTGTGCGGCCAGCGGAGGGCTGTAGGTCAACGCCCTTGACATGGGGCGAGCCCAGTATGTCTGTATCTGTCAACGCGACAAATTACGGAATGGGCTAGTTTGCAGAGGAGCGAGAGAAAGTCAAAGGGAACAGACCAAATATGAATTGGTTAGACCAAAGAACCAAAGAAGGAACAGTCAAAAACAAAGAGCAAGATCCCAGTCGGTATAGCTGAGTGGTCGAGAGACCTTAACAACCTCGGATCGTTACCCACATAAGTTCCATACTAACGCATGAGAGAAATTAGATACGAAAATACCAATCCCATATAACACTGTAATGAATCAACCCGCTTTTCTTAAGACCATTGTAGCCGGGCTACAATCCATTACCTATACAGGTTCTGCGTCAAATGAAAGGCCATTTCCAGGTCGATATAGAACCGAGGTGATCAAGCTTGCCGATTTGGCGATAGTCAAATGCACGCAATAGTCACGGTTGAGCAGGTCAAAGCCGCGCCATTAGGAGTGCCCACGCTATTTTCTTCTTGATAGACGCGCAGGAATCCATTATCCGGGTTTCAGGATACCGATAAAACCGTGTCCCGGCCGATAAAAAACGAAGTGATCCAGCTTGCCGGCCTGGCTGTAGTCGAATGCAATGATGCGGTCATTGAGGTCAATTATTCCATGTCTGTTAGCTAGTCTCTCCTTTCTTCTCTAAGCTGAATAAAAACAGTTTGTGACATCGTCCTGTTGGATCTAAGCTCGGTCATAGCCCTTCACAAGTATAATCGGACTGGGTTGTGATTTGGATTGGCAGTCGGAGAGAAATGGTCGGGGTGAGGACATTTGTGCCCGGCGTGTGGTAAGATAGGGTAAGATCCAGAGAGTAAATACGAGACATCAGACACGAGTGGAAGGTCGGAACAAAGGTCTTCGAATGTGGCAGACTGACTGGAATAACCACCGATGCGGTATAATAAATGCCGCTATTAAACTCGGAAGACGGTCCAGTGGAGCTTTCGGAGCAAGTAGACTCTGTTGAGTCGCGGCGTTCGCAGCCAGATGTCGAGTGTTTCTGCCACTCTGCAGATCCGACACACATGGTAGAGAGAGGAACGGTCTCGTTGAAAAAGCCTTGCGAGAACGGCATGGCTCCAGACTGGCAAGGGAAATCTTCCCAAGGGGTGGCACTATAGAATGTGCTGGCTTTGAGCTTGCTAGTCATCGAGCCCAGCTTTGGTGGCAGCTCGTTTCCTACAGGGTTGAATAGCAATTGAAGAGTGGCCACAGTACTGACGGTGTCGCGGGCGTCGCAGCTATGAGGCAATAGACGGATCGGTTTTGGCTGCGCAGAAGAAGCAACCATTCGGCCCAGTTTGCCCCTTGGAAAACCACGTTTCACGCTTATTTCCTTGTGTGTGCAATAGTATGGGTGATCAAAAACATCGATAGGCGGCTCTTCTTCGACTGTTGGGATGATTCGAACCTTTTTGGCAAAGCTGGCCAATGCCTTGACTTGGCGCTGGTCTGTCGATGATCTCTTGAGCACTCCCACGCGGATTATATACGATATTTGGCTCATCTCAGGAGCCATATCGTCCAGCAACGTCCTTCCGTTACTAGCCAGCATTGGGTCTCCCAAAGTAGGCGGGATCATAGTGTGAGATTGGTGAATGGCATTGTACTTACGCTTGTGGGTGCACACTTGCGGCAGCAGTTGCTCGGGGATGACGAATTGGAAGGGGAATGAGTATTTGCGGCCAAGCTCGAACATGCGCGGAGTTGGATAGTCGCCGTATTCGATGGGCTGGCGAAGTTCCAAAAACATGTGTTGGGAGCCAGTTCGGCCAGGGCAGACGGCCCGTTCGACGGTGGTTCGTGAGGTACCTATATCGGCGTAAGTAACTGGCGCATTTAAATAGAGCTGTTTATCGGATACACCCTACCTTGTAGAACAATTTCAACCTCATTGAAGCGTGTTTCATGCTCAACTGTGACAGTGACGGTCCCCTCGATATGGTCCCCAGTCGTATATGAGCTGACAAGCCCAGGTTTCTGGCCAACAAGGTTAATGTCGATGTTTGGCTGCGAACGCCGAGTGAAGACATTTAATGTATCCGATCCCCGGCTAATAATTGAAGCGGCGACCATGGTGGCTAATTTCTTTGAGCAAGAAGGTGCAAGAAGGAGCAAGAGGGGGAAGAGGAGGAAGTGGTGAGGAGGGGCCAGGGGGAGAAACAGTAGCACGAAGGACCCTAGACCCGTGCCAGGTATGTGTAGGTTGGTTTGAGTTTAAGGATAATTAATTATACCCGGCTTGATGTTGTTGCCTTTTTTGAGCGAAAGTGTCAGAAGAAAGAAACAAAGTAATACAAAGTGGAGCCCGAACAACCGCGCGGTGTATACAAGGTGTCTGCACCCCGTGAGTGTGGAGTGGAAGGTCCCGTTTTATAGAGGAAAATGAAATGATGTGATCCTCCTCGTAGGATCTGATTTACAAATATATTCTGGAAATCTCGGTCTATGCTCGCGCCCTTGGGTTGACATTCCGTTTGTCGTTCAAGACCTCGCCGCGCCCTTAGAAGAACCAATCATTTGCAACTTGATTCGCTTCATTCCCGTGGAATGATGGATTAGGTCACACTAACTTTATCCTTCCCCTCCCTCTTGAGGCAGAGCATCAAGCTCAGCGCAACGGTGGGTCGAACCAGGCCGGAACGGTCGGTGGACTGCCCTTACGCCGACAAGCACTCCCTTCGAGGCTCCACTTGGAGGAAGCACAACCGTGGTGGCCCACTCAGGGTTCCCCGATCGGAGCTGCGAAGACGCCCTTCGGACTTATGTTGTTTTTATATGCTGGTATGCCAAGACAGCAAATACGGAGAACTGATCCTAACCACTATCCCTAGTGTCCCATTCAGCTCCAGTGAAGGTACTACATACTTCGGCCGCGGGCAGGGCGGGGCGATTTCAGTAGTTCATGTTCGAGATTATCTCAACGGAAAGGTGTCTCGGGGCCCGCCAGCCGAAGTGGGTCCCAACTTCGGCATGATCGACTGATACCGATTTTCAATGATTCAATTACTTTTCAATAAACCTTGGAAAGAAGAACTAAGAGGTATTATGTTAGTAGTTTATTGCGATTTTGGGTCCTCTTTTTCATTTTGCATGACTCGTGGCAAGATGTACTACACTCTGCGAGACTACAGCAACGGGCCAATTAATCGATTGATTTTTTGAGTTTTGCTTTTTCTTTGGAAGGTTTAGCATCACGGTTACCGAGTGCCTCGCCGAACTCGGGGACGGGCCATTTAGCCGCTGTCTGCTCCGACGTTATCAGCCAGAATGCGGGGTAATCTCTGGGGTTGGCGGAAGGTTTTGGGGCCTTGACACTGAAACCTTAAAGCCTGCTAGCAGATAGATAGAGGCATATAGACTTGAAATAGAAATGAGAATCCTCGTCTCCTCGATAATTTCTTCCGTCTGTTTCAAATCCACTTCTGGAATCGCTACAACATGACTGTGGACAAGATTGAACTGCCACTGGAACCGGCCTCTGAAAATGCCGAGAGTTATAAGATAGGGGATGCTCAGCAAGTCAATGAGCTTCGCCGTGATTTGAGACCCAGTCATGTTTTTATGTTCTCTATCGCATGCTCTATCGGAACGGGCCTCGTCATTGGGTCCGGACAGGCCTTAGCTAGGGGTGGTCCAGGCAGCTCTCTGCTCGGATATGTCATCATAGGCTCTGTGGTCTTTTCGGTCATGACGGCACTTGGTGAAATGGCAACTTTTCTTCCGATGAATAAAGGATTTGGTGGATATGCCACTCGTATGGTTGATCCGGCTCTGGGGTAAGAACTGGAAATTAATTTCCGTACTCTGATCTAAGACCGCTAATTCTAAATAAAGCTTTGCGACCGGATGGAACTATTTTTTTAAATATATTATCGCCGCTCCCACAAATCTTACCGCTGCTGGGCTTGTCATTGAGTACTGGAGACCCGACTTAAACGTGGCGATTTGGATTGCAGTATTTGGGGTTGTTGTAGTCACCATCAACGTAAGTAAACGCGCCGATATTTAAGATGACGAATGTATTTCCCTAATTATGAATATTCAGCTGTTTAACGTGAGAGTTTTCGGAGAGATTGAGTTCTGGGCGGGAGGTATTAAGGTCTGTATAATGATTATACTGATCTTGACCTGCTTTATTGTTGCTGTTGGTGGAGGGCCAAATCACCATGTGTCTGGATTTGGGTATTGGAACAGTCCAGGGGCATTCGCAGAATATATCCTGACCGGCCCCAAAGGTCGACTTCTGGGGTGGTGGGCGTGTATACGTCAAGCCTGTTTTGCATTTACTGGGACCGAGGTCGTCGGTATGACATTTGGAGAGATGTCGGATCCTCGGAAAAATGTCCCTCGTGCTGTGAAGCAGACATTTTGGAGAATCTTTTCCTTCTACATCCTTGGGATCCTTGTCCTTGGAATGGCTCTTCCTTACGATAGCAGTGATCTTCTCAGTGCGACCACCAGTTCGACTAGTGCTGGTACGTTGACTTCCGTCGTTGACAAAAGCTCTTTTTCCTAATATGGAGCAGATGCAAGTCCATTTGTCGTTGCTATCAGAAATGCTGGTATTAAAGTTTTGCCCGATTTTACCAACGCATCTCTTTTGGTTTTCACCTTGAGCGCAGCAAGTTCAGGTGAGTCTATACTGGCTCTGTCAAGCGTATAGAATAATAATAATAGATATAAAGATATCTACTGCGCATCTAGATCCCTTTACGGACTTTCTCGCGACCGACAAGCCCCCGCTATATTTTCAAAAACAGTCGGAAAGGGAATTCCGATATTTGCAACTTCCATCTCAGCTGCCTTCATCGCAATCGGTTTCATGAATGCGAGCAAGTCATCCTCGTCAGTCTTCGACGACCTTGTATCATTAGTGACAGTCTTCGCTGGCTTGAACTGGCTGGCCATATTGGTATCACATATAGGCTTTCGTCGAGGACTTGCTCGACAAAATATCGCGGTGTCTGAGCTTCCATACGTCGGGATTTTACAGCCATATGCAAGCTACTATTCACTTGCTGTTACAATGACTGTCCTTTTTTTCAATGGTCAGTTGTCCAATCCCAGGCGAGCAATTTGTCTACTAACGAGGACGTAGGGTATAACGCATTTATCCCTCACTTCAAGATAGATATTTTCATTCTCAGCTACCTCGGGATACTTTTGTTTATTCTTAATATCCTTTTGTGGAAGTTCTGGAAAAAGACCAAGCGTGTGCGAGGATCCACGATGGATTTGGTCACAGGTCGTAGAGATGATTAACTGGATTTCGGTTCCATTTTTCGCCTGAATGACATCCACTACAGGGGCGCAGTAGTAAAGTCCTTCCTTATCAACTTTGATCACTGTCGGGACATATCCTTTTATCAGAACAAGCTAGCGTTTGATAGATCACATTTCTTGTATGTAACCTTGCGCTAAGCTGCGACTCCGGCGTATGGGATTCAGGGGTAGTTTTTGTTGTCCAGGAGAAAGATAAGATCTTGGTGGCGAGTTCAAAAGTTGCAAATGTGAGGATACATAGTGAAGCATCATTTTGAATATTTCACTCCCTGTGCCTAATGCACTGGCAAGTTCGAAGAGCCTTGTAACGACCTTGATATCACTTTCATCCTCCAGCAGAAGATGATCAAGCGTGTTTAAAAGCTTGTAAAGGCAGATGATTGAGAGTGGTTCCATCTCATACTTCTTTCCAAAATCGTGAAGTCGCAGATGGAGTAAAAGCGTGTCACGGTGTTTGCATAAAAAGTCCCGCAGCCCACACTCGGGGTCAGAAGGTATCTTGATAAGATTCGAAATTAACCTTTCTGACTCAGCAAGAACGATAGACATGTTTAAGAACATGTTGTTCTTTAATAGAGGGTTCTTCCCTGCCTCTGCGGTGGCGAAGTGGTCGAAGTGGTCAAAACAGTAGTCATGGTCAGTCCCGTCTTCCCCGGCGTCACCGACTGATTTCGAAACCCCGACTGAATAGTCACCGGTATAGAGATATTCGCACACTTCTGCAAAAATATCTTCAATGTTTTCTTCTATTCTAATATGAGTTGAATCGCTTCTGATTGGGCCAAAGACGGATTCCAGATTCTTCAAAAGTTTCGCGTGGATATAAAATTTTTCCCACTCGGGCCGACCTGGAGAGAAATGACAGGAGACTCGAAGATGCTTCATAAATCCTTGAATGAGACTTTGAATTTCAGATTGTAGATTAATTACTGACCTTGGATCGTATTCCGACATTCTGATGGCTGCACTTGTTGTGAATGAGCGACATAGCATTCTACATAAATGCGCGAAGATGTAGTTTAAACGATCTCTGTCAACCCTGATGTGAAGAAGCGGAACAGGGCCCAAAATGGAACAGGGCCCAAAATGGAACAGGGGCCAGAAATGGAAAAACCACTAAGCCACATTAGTCAGGTATTGAGCAATGCCTTGATTGAGTAGAAAAAATCTTCGGACAATAGAACCATCACTTTGGTCATAGCCTCTAATCGCCTGATAGAATTTCAGAAAATACTCCATCCTATCAATGACTGCAGATTTGGAACAGCGGAGCAGATGCATCCTGTGTTGTAAAGATAGCCGATATACGGCACTCTGACACAAAGCCGGCAGTATTCGCTCCCGCTCAGAGTTCTGTTCCGGAACATGTCTCTGAAACAGACCGCGCCTTGGGGTAAATACATATTGCTAGTATATCGCTGATTTTGCTTCTTTGTCGCAGCCATTAACTTTCCACGCTTTCCCGACCGGCGCTAGATTTATCTCGACAGAAGCGGCTTGTTTTGGAGAGGGCCAAGTAAGTTCTCGGAAACTTTAACATGGCCTAGTAACATTCTCATGTAATTACTTCTAATAGGTTGCGATATTTTTGTTGGCTTTTGTCTTTCCACGGCAAGCTCATATAAATATGGCTGGAAAGCCTCGCAGTCAATCGAAAAAAGCTGGCGTGGAGAAAAAAATATATCCGGCAAAAGCGTGACCGGCGCAAGCTCAATCTCGAGAAGAAGTCGCATGAGTACAGCGAACTGTGCGGGGCCGATGTTTGCCTGGGTATCCGAATCCGAGATTCAGGGCAGGTTTATATTTTCTCAGCAGACCACTCCGGATTTTGGTCGTTTCTCGGCCGTAAATTGGTATTTCACTCCGAAAGACTTCTCTGTCGCCATCGCTTGGACTCACTTTACTAGAAATCTTACTATCCAGCCCCAATCCAAAGGAGTCAGAGAAACCTTTAGATGCTTTGATAGGGTTTCATTCATAGTTCCCCGCGCGGTGTGGGTGGAAATATACCAACTACATTCCCAGATCATGCGAAGGAAGAGAATTGTCTAATGAAACTCATCTCTCATACCATGTTGAACTTCATTATTCGTATTGGTAAATATTTCGACATTTGATGCTCTAAGAGTTTTTTTTTTTTTCAAAGTGCGCACCTGTACGACCTATTGAGATTTATATAAATTCTCTGCAATGATTGAGATATACCGTATGGGGTCTAGACGAATCCCATTCGTTCTTATTACGTGTTGCCAAAGAATGCTCGAATGCCCGGAGCATGATCGGTCTGGGGCTTTCATCTATAACATGTAACATTTCAATAGAAAAGCCTCATGGATATTCAGTACTGTAAAGGCTGAGATCATAAAACAAAATTTAAATCCTCAAAATATATAACTGTGTCTTTTCAACCAAGAAATCAATATGAACCCCGATGCCTCGTGTGTGCCCAGGTACGAAGACGCAGCACGACTAACCAATCGGTAAAGAGGACATCATAAATCTTGCTACGCGATCGCCACCCCAACACAAAGATTAAAGATAATCGACCCGTCCTGTGCTGCCGCGTCGTTGATTCTCTGAACTTCTGAGCAGGACAACCAGAAGTTCCATTGCTGCTTGACCCATGGTAAGCTTTCACAATGGAAAAATTGGTCTCGCTTCTTGCAAATGACCATCAATTGTTCCTCTGAAGTATACCATCCTTCATCATCAATACAGCGTTTACACAGGGTGTGGAGATTGATCCGACGCTTTGAAGGAAGGCAAAAAGACCACAATGCGACAATGAATGATCCAGGGTCGCGAGGAAGCATTTTGATGTTGATTCCTTTCGTATCATGCTGGTGGCATGAGACACATGACCACGATATGACACCCCTCATGCTATAGAGAACATAAGTGAGTTTGTGATACCTGCATCTGATTGATGTACATATACTGACTCTAGATAAAGATTTATTGTTCAAATATAGCGATGTGTGGTCTTACACTGGAAGAACGTCTATGGAGGTAAATAATAGGTAATCTCTACTTATATGAGCAAGTGTGGGCTAGTGACCCTGCCGCCTCAAAACATCAGACAGGTTCGGAAATGGAACAGAAAACAGAAACGGAACAGAAAACAGAAACGGAACAGGAAACAGAAATTGACAGGGAATAAAAACGGAAGAGGGTGCAGAAATTAAAATCAACTAAGCCATTTTAGAGCCCAAAAGTCCATCTAGTTTTGAGCCTGTTTGATTTTCTTTGTTTAGTAGTCGCAAGTAACAGAGCCTTAGCATTTTTACGTGCCTGCAGCTCTGTTTATATGTCTACAGCAACTTTATGTGGCAGCGAAACTATTATGTGTCTACATCCTTTTATATGGCCTCGGTGCTCTCTTTTCAGATTCAGTACCCGACAGCAATCTCATGGGCTATCTCTATAAAAACATGACTCACTACATCCATGTCATTGGTAGACAACATGGTGTCTCTCCGAGTAAGATAGATTACCAAATCGAGCGTCTGGAGGAGACGATCAAGTTTGCACTACCAGAAGACTCTAAGTGGCACGGAATATACTATCACCAAGGTCGCAAACGAGCCCACCCTTCCTGGTTGCGAGAAGAGCTCATCTTTGCATTTATGGGTCGCAAAGGTCTGAAGCGCTTGGATGAGATATGGTATCAGACTTGGGTATTTGCGATCAATTTGAAGATTGAAGGAAGTTTTACAGAAAGCCTCATACAAAACCTCCTGACGCTACACATGACGGTGGAAAGGATGGAAAGTACAGATGGAGGACGGCTCGATGCATTGACAAAGTGTATACTCCAGTTGAGAGACCAAATTCCATGGTTGGAAAATGGGCAAGCAGGAAAGGAAGATTCTCAAGGTTTCCGGTGTTTTGGAAAACGATTTGAAGTTGGAAGACATATCTGATGGAAAGAACTATCATTTTTAAAGAGACGCTGCACTAGAAATAAATCATGTGAAGAGAAGTGTCGCTGCGTTCTTTAGATATTTCTTGTATTCTAGGAGCAAGGAATGAACATATTTGCTCTCATTTAAAATAGCCTGTTCTAAGTCGCAACAAGGAAAGGTAACTGCTGGCTTGGGTTGGTGATTTAATAAGACGCATTGAAATCATACTGACATGCATGAAGGAATTTCATTTCGATAAAAGAGCAGACTTCAATACAAAATTTAAAGACCCAATTGTAAACTAAACGACGAAGTATTTGAACCTGAAAATGGAAAACAGTGCAGTAATCCAATTGCATTTCAGCTTGGTCAACCAAAAAGCAAGTACTCCATGTAATCAGTATCAATCTGAGCAAGAGCTGCCGGAGGAATCAGATGTAGTAGCCGAGGCCGAGCCGGCAGTAGTAGCCAAAGATGATTCCGATTCAGTAGTTGAGGTCGAATCAGATGTAATCGTCGATGACGAGCCCGACTCAGCTGTTGACGAGTACGAAGCTGCGAGGCTCGAAGACGGACCTGCGCTTGTGCTCGTCAAGGGCTTATAGTCAGACGCGCTGCATGAACTTCCAGTATTGAGCCCATTATCAAGCTTGCATTTAGCTTTGTCGCCGTTCAGATTGGAGAAGATGACCTCTCCCGTCTTTTCTACCCTGATCCAAGCTTCATTTTTGCCGTCAACCTGTCCACATGCTGCGGCATCAACATAAGGCAAGCCAAGGCGAGTTTCACCAACGACCACAGTGAGGTCTGAGATAATTGTTATCAGCTATCCGATAATTAATCATGTCATTAAATTTGCTGTACAGTACAAACCTGAGCAGTCTTTTCCGTGAAGCGTTGCAAATGATGCGGAGTAGCCAGTGCAACCATGGACATCGTTGGTGTATATTTTGCACCCATGGTCTTCGTCGATGACCTGAAAGACTCCTCCTAGGCAAGTGCGCATAAAGATGCCAGTGATAAGTGCGGGGATTGCAAAATGCATGATGGAGTCGGTATCGGTGAGAATGAAAATTGGGATGAGCGGTGAAATATTATCTCATGGCATTGGATCCAGAAGCTATCCTTATATGTGAGGATTTCCTATTTTAATCTTGCGACATCAGTTACTCTGTCTAATTAGCTACTCTGTCTAATTCTTCCTGAGTTGGCTAGAAGAAAACCCATTCTAAATTGCGACGCCAATTTCGGTGCTGCAGCCCCACTCGAATTGGAACATGGCATGGAAGTGGAACATGGCATGGAAGTGGAACATGGCATGGAAGTGGAACATGACATCAACCCACTTACCCAAATAGGGTCATTGAGTCGAGATTGATGCTGGAGAGACAGCGTCGAGTACCATGGTGTATAATTGACATGCTCTCTGGCCTACTGGTAGGTAGAGTCTTTGGTTTGCATGTTGTTCAGTATGTCAGGAATTCCAAGCAACCCTAGACCTACTGGCCGAACTTGGCACCATCAATTTTGGGATTGTTGTGAGCCTGCTGGGACCTGTGAGTTTATTTGCTTCTTCTAGAAGCCTGCACTGCAGCTGATAGATAATGATTGAAAAGGCTGTAGTGCCACATTTCTACCATGCCTTGTATTTGGTAGAGTTTCTTCACGACTGGAGACTTTCAGCAAAGGGAACTTGTCAGATGGACGTGAGAATCACCGTTCCTGCAACTCAAATGTATGGCCTGGGCTTTTGCATCCTCTCTATTCTACATATTAACAGCCAATCTAGTGCTGCATGTACTCAGTGCTGGCTTGTTGTGGCCTCTGGTGGATACCCCTTGCATGGCAAAGATGGAAAATTAGAAAGGAATTCAAGATTGCTGGTTCAGCCGGGAGTGACTGCTTGCGGTCGATTTGTTGTTCCTGTCCCGTTCTTGTGCAGCAGGATAAAGAGCTACATCACCGAGTTGAGATAGACCGCGGGTACATTCCGGTTCAAGGAATGTCATTGCCGTCCACCCGCTGAGATAAATGACCTTTCCGGAGCCGTTATTGCTTTAATGTTGGTAATATATCGCAAGATGATATATTTCTACTCACTACCTTTGCTTTTCAAATTATTTTTGCTTCTTCCACTTTCTATGCGTGTTTCTAGATCGAATCTCGTCTCCTGATCTGTAGACAAAGGTCCATCTGTACGTTCTTTAATACCGTATAATGAAGCGTCCCTCGTGGAAAGTCACCTTCTCGTGGTGAGGGATGTCATTAAGTTAGACTGCAAGGTCTGACCGAAGCTGAGAACTTTCCAAATCCAAACTCAGGCGGAAACTCCTTTATTGGTTGTGACGACGCGGCGGGAAGCTTCAAAAGAACACGTCGACAGCTTCGCAACCGATCGTGACATATTGCCTCTGACCCTGCCCAATGTAACCTAAACCTCCTTAGAACTTCATATACAATATTTGACTGTCACCTATCGCCTACTCCATCAAAAAGGCATGTTCCACGTGACTACAATTGGGATCAGACGTGATATCAAGCTGCTTGAACTGAGTAAATGCATATTCGCTGAAGCTTTACATGCAAAAATTTCACTGTCTTCCATTCAATTTCTTCCATAGTTCATTTTGCTGCAGTATGGTCCTATTTGGCCAGAGAATTGAAAAGAGCTGCGTGATCGCACCGCAGATGCAATTGGTTGAACGCCACCGGTACACATGTACATTACCATTTTTTTCGTTCTGACGCGAGATTATAGAGACAGATATGATGAATTACTATCTGTTCAGCCCAACAAGTAATTTCACGCATAATATAATGTATTTTCCACAAATGAACACCAAGAGAAGAATCTAAAAGGCAGAGTAGAATCTAAAAAGGATGCTCCCTGCGTTCCTTCCCGCATCGTGGGTAGAAACCCTCCAGCGGAGCTCTGCCTGCTGAGTCTTGGGATGCCCTGTACCTAATTTATCTTTATAAGCCCGAAACGCTCGCTCATATAACTTGCTGGCTTTTCCAGACTTCGCCATAGCGTGATAAATGGCTGCCAGGTTGCTGACAGTGTCAATGGTGCACATATTACTCGGCCCTAACGTAGCTTCCCGGCCTCTTAAAGCCCGTTTATGCATTTTCAGGCCCTTTTTCCACCTTCCTTGTGCTTGATAGAGAGAACCTAGATTATTTATTGTCTCGAGTGTGAATATGTGGCCTTTCCCGAGGGTCTCAATTTCCCCTTTCAAAGCCAATGAATAAAATTTCTCGCCTTGCACAAAATTACCCTTGTAGCGATATAGAATACCAAGATCGTTCATAGTATTCAATGTGGAGAGATGTTTAGGACCAAAGACTTTAAGCTTCCCGGACAGGGCCGTATGGTAAAGCACTTCAGCCTCTTCCACTTTGCCCTCATGGGCATAGAAGCCTCCAAAATTATGCATCGTCATCAACGTAGATGGATGCTCAGTGCCGATCATCTCAAGTTTGCCTCTGAAAGAAGAGCTGTACATCAAGTCTGCTTCGCTTGATCGGGATTGCTGAGCGTAAAGTGTCCCGAGATTGTTTTTCGTATCAAGTATGGGTAGGCTATTTGGTACGAGTACCTTCTCGTAGCCTCTCAAGGCATGGAGATACAAAGCTTCCGCCTTTTCGTAAAAATGATGATCAGCGTGTTGATTGGCAAGTGCGACTAGGCTATCGAGCTTTGATAAATTATTGGAGCTCTCATTCCTCAAGGAATATCGAGACTGAGGGGGCAGTCCGGAAGGGCGTATTTCATCTGCACTTCCGACGTTTGCTTTGACCAGGGAGGTCAGTTTAAAGGCCATAGTGCTTGGTGAATAGAGCTGTGTTGAAACACAAGATGTAAAAAAGTGGTGTGCCCAAGCAGCTACTAGGAAAACGTTTTTCAATGGAAAGACAGCACAACATAATAGTAACAGATACCCTGATTGTTCATGCTTGGCATATTTTGGTCTCAGGATCCGGATCCATGAAGGTCCAGTATTGGAACATGTTCCACTTTGATAACAGCGCTAGATTGACAAAAAAAGTGGGGCACATCTACCACATGTGGAATTATACCGTTCCAAATGACCATGGGCAAAAAATTGTCTTAAATACGGATGCTGCCCTCCGTAGTTTTCAACCATCGACCTTGCAAGCTTCTTTTTATCTCTTTCCTGCGGTAGAATTTGCCTACATCAACTGGCAGACATGGCAAGATCGACAGTCCTACCTGATTTACTTTTCAAGGGTTGCTTAAGTGAAGAACAAAATGCGATAAAATGGATGCCAAAGTCAAAGTACGTAAATTGAACTCTGCATTAGGGTTTAGACACTTCCTTATCTCTGAGAAAATCTTCATAGGCATGCATTCCCCCATTATGAGCACCCCTCTAGAAAGTACCTGAGCTGTTGGAAAATCGAGCAGTCTGGTGAGGGGCAAATCAGCATAGGGAACTACTTTGGTTATTCCACTGTCATGATAAAGAAGTTAAGTTTTGAAGGCAATGCGACCGCATTCTCCAGACTGGGAACAGCTTCCCATACCAACATAGTTGGACTTTTGGAAGCTTTTTATGATGAAAAGATTTTATATTTCGTCTATATTTACTCTGGATTTGCTTTCGATTTGTCCCAAGTCGCTTCTACACCATCTGTGAGCTTCACCGAGCCGGAGTTATCTCACATTTCTAAGGGCATTTTAAGGGGTCTTCAATTTATTCATGAAAGTTTGAAGATAGGGCATGGCCGCATCAGCGGGCATAACATCCTTTTGTTTGAGAACGGCGACATCAAAATTGGTAGTTATACGTCTTCTGTTTCCCCATATTGTATCAAATCTGACCTCTTGCAGCCAATATCGGCGAAAGTATGCTCTTTCTAGGTCTTGACAAGAAGCTGGACCTTGAGAAAAGAATGAAACTCGACCTAGAAAATGTCGGCAACGTCATTACTGAGCTCAGCGAGTCTCGCACATCATGGAATCCAGCGACGAAAAATTCACCCTCCAACCTTTCCCAATTCGGAGTTCATTTTGTCAAAAACATCTCTTCAAGTTCTTATTCTTACATTTTTGAAGTGGGAAACTCTACCCTATCTCCTCTTACTCTATAAACAGCGGATTCGTGAACTAACAATATCTAGCACGCTTTTCTGCAGCAGGTGGACAATGAGATGGGAAGCTGGTCTCTTTTCAGACACTACTTGGAGACAGTAGCTCACTTTGGGGTCTGGGTAGAAAATCTAGGGCATGGATTGATATGATCTGGATTGCCAAATATGAGACTAAATAATAGAGATTGAATATTTATCTTGAGGTTATTAAATTGATCATTCTTCTCCAGTGCATAATTTCCAGTCAAGCAGGCTGCATTTGTATATCGACTTTATTCAAGGATTTGTATCTAGCGAACTACAATATTCTTAGGAAAATAAAGAGAGAAAAGATGCAATTAGCTAAGACTAAAAAGTAGGAGCCACATGTGCTTGCTTGGTGTCGTGTTCCAATTTGGTGTCGTGTTCCAATTTGGGGTCGTGTTCCAATTTGGGGTCGTGTTCCAATTTGGGGTCGTGTTCCAATTTGGGGTCGTGTTCCAATTTGGGATCGTGTCCCAATATGGGGTCGTGTTCCAATTTGGGATCGTGTTCCAATTTGGGGTCGTGTCCCAATATGGCATCATAGCCACATGCACGTACTCCCGCTTGCTTCCGCGGACGATCTTCATTATTTGAATTGATCATAATCAATCGCAGAAGTCGCGCTTATAACATAGATTCAGCATAATGATCTATGTTTTCTGGCACCTGGTCTCTGTTTGTATCACACTTATTATAGTACAATCTGGTAGGACAACGCCACTGCAGCCAGCTGGGCCTCGTGAAGATGTAGGCATTCAGACTCCGACTAGCACATCACACCTAATCTTGGGTGAAACTTTGCCGCAATACTTATTATCAAACAAGAGACCATCTACTTTTACGAGTACTGCATACTATGAGGAAGAATCTAGATTCAAGATCTCCGGAAGTGAAATATCTTCTGCCTTTTCCGCTGGATCCGAGATACAGCATGTCGAACAAGGACCGAGGTCTGTGTCATTCTACCTCATCAAGTCATAGTCATTGGAATCTAATTCTCACTTTCGACAGTACACCACAATCTCCCTGGCAAACTGCGCCTGCATATTATGTACAGACTTATGGCCAATGCTCATTGGCTTCGGGCAAGAATATAAGGCAATTTCTGGTGGCTCCAAGTGCTGAGACGATCTTTGCCCCTACATCTGCTCCTACCTCAATCGCGAGTGATATAACAACCAATCCAACGACAATACCTTCAGTGACTTCAACCGCAGGAGCACCGGCAACGAAAGATACGACGTTACTGATGAGAGCATCCTATTCATTATATAACACCACGGCCTCAATGGTTATGGTGTCGATGGCCTCAATTTTGATGCTCGTTTTTGACTGGCAACTACCGCCATTTCCCTTTGCCTAGATTAGTCTTACAAAGCAGAATATTACCCTGGATTCAATTTGGCATTAACATTCGCTACGAACGTTCAAGATATCACAAATCTCTCCCGTTAGATCATCCACACTTTCTCCAGGATGGTGAATAATAAGTATCTTGCTCATCATGGTCCAGCAGGATGTGTTCTTTCCGCCATAGTTAGGAAGCAAATGGTGTATCTGAGGCACCTATGCATACATTTGGTCTACCTGGACCAATGCAAACTGGGAACCCCTACCTTTCCTAGCTCGATTACCCATATTTTAGTACGATACAGGTCATTAACTCAAAGGGCCTCAGACCGCCAAGATATGTAGATTAACTGGTACAGTAGCTAGCAATATATTCAGTATTTAGCATAAAGATTGAAGGATCCATTTCCACGGGAGGAAGCTACGATATCATGAGAGCTTCATTATACACACACACACACACAATTCATTACGCCCGGAGGTGTCAAGCCTAGAGGGCACCTATACGCTATTTGATCTTTCCATTGTATACATTTTGTCATAGTCTCATTTTCTTGAGGAAAAGCTGAATCAGCTGCCAAAAACCCCTCTAGCCCATGCGGGTATGTCCTTCACGATTTCTTCTTGTTGTTGTTGTCATCATATCCTCTCCCACAAAAGCAATAACCCATCCCTCTGTGACACCGGACCCCCCCCACGTGTCCATTCTCGATGTAGTTTCGTGAACCTCTTCCCTGAGTAGCGATTTACCGAGAGTACTTCTCATGTTAACGCCCGAAGTAGCTGACTGCCTCGCTGGCGGCAACACCAGATAGCAGACGAAGGACTGACGAATCGACATGCGATCGAACCGGTAGGGCAGGTGAATTATTGTGAGCAAAGTCCGGTGAGTATAGGTTAAAAATGGGTAGGCAGGTCGGTTGTTCGAAGGCTCGTCGACGTCGTTTCGGTGGATTCAACCGCTGTACCTTTATGCAAGTTTCCCTCGAAGTTAAATTTGTTCAACGACGCTTAGCAAACCGTCCAATATCTTTCTCGCTATATCTCTTCCCTGTATGAATGTCACAACTCCTGATGTAATTGCGAAATTCATCCATCGACATATCTGCGCCTTGGAGCTTCTTTTTGGCAGGGCTCTCTTTCCTGCATGCGACTATCAGATGATTTGCCAGCTCCATTTCCGATATTCTTGGTATTGAAAGCTCGTAGTCTGCGTGGATCTCCATCAAAATATAATCCCGCGCTAGATTATTCAGGAAGGAGCGTAGAGCGAAATTATCAGTGGCTCGAAATTTATAGAAGATACGGTCTTCAAACAAATACACAACCATTAAGTTTTGGTTGTTTGAATAATGCCACATATTGAGGATTTCGGAGAATCTGCCATGATGCGTAATATAGAGTTTCACTCCCATATCACCAATGGTCAGTTCGTCCTCAAATCCAGCTGCTAACCCATTTCGCAAGGTCATGTGATCGGGGGAGCCGATTGGATGTGATGGTGTTGAAACTGAGTTGGAGTAAAGAGATTCTTCACCAGGTAAAGATGGAAGTGGGTAAGTTTTTCGAGTTAACTCATGCCCAAGAAAGGCGCCTTGACTATGTATGTCGTTTTTGTCTCCATGCGTTTCGAAAACAGCTGTATCATCTTCTGCTGCCACGGCTGATAGTATATTTGTATCACTTAGACCGTACATACTCTCCCCAGACACTGAATTTACTTTAATTCTTGAACTCATCCCATCAACTACTTTATCTCCAAAGAAACAAAGCAAGATATCGCGAGTGATTGCAAGGGATGTGGGATATTCCGCTACTGTTTCAGCCGGCCCGAAAATTTGTTCAATGAAAAAGCTGCCCCTTTGCTCACGGTATTGGCTTGCCACGGGTCGACAAAATCTTCTCTGGGCTTTTTCAGCCAGATTTTCCGTCGTTAAATTTGCCACACCATCTGCACAAGCATCGTTTACCTGCAGTAAAGTCAAGAAAGATGCAGAACAATTCGATGCTGCTTTGACATTTGGCTCATCCAGGCTCAGGAATTCGTCTGTAGAGATCTCATCAATAAAGTTTCTGGCATTGACGCGGCCCTGGGACTTGCTCAGTATGTTTTCAATTGAATTGGAGGAAAATCCGAGACGTTTGGCAAGCAGGGCGAGCGCCTGAAACGTCAAAATCTGATGTGGTGTTTGATAGTCTCGCGAGGTAGTCACTTTTGGGGAATCGTAGACAAAATGCCGTAATGTAAATAGCCAAAGCTGTATCATACTGTTTGTGAATGAAACCTGCGACCTTGGAACTGTTTTGAATGAATTTTCTGATATCTGGAATAGAGGGGCTTCTTGTTTGCTGACGGAATTCTATTGTCGTCGCATCTGAGCTAGAAGGGTTATTTTCCTTCTCCCAGGACACAAGTGATGTAGCGCCACTGTAGGATACTCGATGTATAAAACATCTTGTACAAGTGTGTTAAGCGAAGTTATCCTGCCTTTCAAGGCCAAAATTCGGGTTTTCAAACTCGCCCTTTCGTTCGAATTTTTTATATGTGGAAATAGATTTTTTGTTTCCATGAGTTGTGTAATTTGAGCTCGGTTATGGAGTAAGTTCAGTGGAATCATCCCTTCAATCAAAGAAACAGATGAATTGTCGACCGATTTAGCCATTGATAGATCGACAATGTTTAGCCATTTAAGGTATATATCTCTCAAGTATTGCGATATTATCTGCGAATTTATTAGATAAGCTGGGTGCTTTTTATGATACTGAAAACAAACCTCCGGGCAGTTCAGTTTGATCATTCGCTCAATCTGGCGGGTATTTAAGGGTTTCCAAAAACCAGGGTACTGCAACAGACGCTCAAAGCCATAAAAAAGATTCGTCTTTTTTTCTAGAAGCCTGAACCACTTCCGACGGCGGTCTGAGCCTAGCTTTGCCCACCATTTGGCTGCTTGTAACTCATTTTGTGTGTTCTTGTAAATTTTGTATATGCGGTAGATCTCTCCGTCGGAGAGTTCAAGGCTTTTTGATGATTCTCCGCAAAGCTGTGCTCGACTGTTCTCTGGAAGATCTTATTGCGAAATTGAGTATTTGCCACCGTACAGAGCAGGAGGACTTACCGTCGCGATATATGTCGACCAACCAGTAACTTTCTCCGAAATCCTTGGCTGCGCGAAGTCGGTGTCTTCCGTGGATATATAATAATCGGGAATTTTCATCTAATCTCAGCACAACCTGAGATGTATGGTCCAACAATTGTTCCTCAGTGACTCCTGTTTTAGAAAGAGCATCTGCGAAGGTAGATGGGTCAACGACGGCGACCACTTTATGTTCAGGTTCTAAGTTGCAACAGCCTTCAATTTCGAAAATTTGCCTGAGCCTGTCAACATTTTGTGGGTCAAAGTCTTTTATACCCACGAATTCACAGGGCTCCTCAAATGCCAAATGATTGAGATCAATGATTGCGCATCCACGGTAGAATTGAAACCTTTTGCGAGCAAGTTCGTTTGTTTGGCGGCCAAAGCAATTATAGAAATCTCTCTTGAATGAATCTATGACATTAAGTGATGCTTCGAGTAGTAAGCGCGCTTTCTATTCGAGTTTCTCTATTTCCCCGAAGTGTGATCTATTAAAGAAAAAAAATTATTATGTTGCCATCTGAAATATTTAAGCAGGAAACTTGCAAGCTTCTTGTTGCCTACTTCTGAGGATAGAATTTTTCTTGAAATAGATGATAAGGTAAGATCGACAGTGGCGAATGTAATCTGAAGGCCTCTTTGCCCTCCATCCCGCGCTGTTCCTAAATTGGAACATGTTCCAATACTGGAACATGAAGACCCCGCAATGCCAAGAGCATGATTTCTAGATCAAACCAATAGCCGATATAGGCGAAAGATGGTGTCAGATTTGGCTCTACATTTCATTCCGATGTACTGTAAGAAGTGGCCCATGAGCGTTAATTTATTCTCGTCCTATGCAACGCATGATGATAATTGAATCGGCATTTTAATCAATGACTAATATATATTTAGAGGAACCCCTCAGATCAACGACGCTTTGCGGAACGTTCTGTTTCGTCATCGCCAAATCTCTTACCGGTTTGAATATCATAGGTCTTGATATAATCGCGAAATTCATCCAGCGTCATTTCGACACCCGGTGGTTTCTTGTGGCTGGGATTGTTTTTTTTTTGCTGCGACAATCAGATGATTTGACAAAGCCGTTTCATATATTTTATTCACGTCCGGTATGGACAATCCGTAGTCTGAATGAATCTCCATCAGAGTGGACTTCCTCGCTAAGTTTGTCAAAAAAGAGCGCAATGCAAAATGATCGACAGCTGGAAATTTGTAAAACACTCGGTCCTCAAATAAGTATATAACCACTAGACTCTTGTTTATAGATTGATGCCAGAGAGATAGTATCTCCGGTATTTTGCGATGATGTACCATGTAAATTTTTGACTCCAAGTTACCAATGTTGAAGGCATCCTCGAATCCAGCTGCCATAGGTATTTGACTTTCCCAAGTCATGTCATCGTGATCGGGGGTGCCGCCCGGGTGTGAATGCATGGATACAGGACTGCGTTCTATGGAGTCTTGGTAAGGCGATACTGGCAGGGGAGCATGCTGCGGCGAGGGATCGCAATCAATAGGGAAGTCTTGAGAATTTTCATTTGCACCATCACTGGGCACATCGCCTTCTGTTGGCTCATTGATACCCGCTGGATCAGAGCTGTTCGTTTCATTTGAGAAAGGGCCAGGAGATGATGAGGTTGATAGGTTGAACTTAGATCCTATCATGGGCCCAAAAAAGCAAATTAGAATATCTCGAGTGATGGCAAGAGAGGTCGGAAACTGGCGTAGAGGCCCAACTGGCCTGAAGACCTTTTCCATAAACATATTACATCTTTGCTTCGTATATTGATGTTGGGTAGGCTTATTGAACCTTGATTGGGCGCTATCCTCCGCATGATCGGTCGTAAAGCTTGGATCCTGAATAATAGCGTCCTTTCTCCCTCTTAATGCACTCATTATATTCAAAAAGCGATTTGAGACTGCCTTTATATCAGAATTGTTCAGGGCCAAGAACTCATCTCTGTAAATGGTCTCAACAAAGTCTTTTGCAATAACACGGGCCTGAATTTGCCGTTGGGTTTCTTGAATCTCATCTGAAGAGAAACCCAGTCGAGCAGCAAGTGCGGCAAGCCCATGGAGAGTGAAAATAGGATTTGGCTGTCTGAACGCTTGAGATGGGGTAACATGGCGCCCGTAGACGACAAAATGCCTCAATGAGAATAGCCACAATTGTATCATACTATCTATGAAGGTACCCTGGGAGTTCGGAAGAACTTTGAAGTCATGCTCAGATGTCTGGATCTCATGAGATTGCTGAGTTCCAATTGTATTCTACTGCCGTTGCATTACAACAAACAAACTCCCTTTGAAGTGTCGAGGGCATAGTCGAAGTAGTGCATGTGTTGGAAGATTCAGGAACAAGGCATCTTGCATGAGTGTTTTCAAGGATGTGAGTCTGCCTTCGACCCTGAGAAGTCGATTTTTCAGCTCTTCTCTCTCCTCATCTTTGGTAATCGCCGGAAAAATCCGGTTTGTGTCGACAAGTTCGGCAATGTACTTCTGGTCGTGAAGAGAAATTTGGGGAAACACTCCTTCTATCAGAGTCACAGAAAGAGTATCAACATACTTTGCCTTTGAATCATCCACAATCGCCTGCCACTTCCGACTCATATTCGTCAAATATTGACAGATAATCTAGAAAGTTAGAAAATAATACACTCTCAATTAGGCTTTGAGGAGACCAACCTCAGGGCACTTCAACCCAAGCAATCGTTGGATTTGATCCGATTTTAACGGGGTCCAAAGCCCGATATAGGGAAGTAACTCATCAAAACTTTGACGCAGAAGTTTCTTTTCGTTCAAACGGCGGAAATTCTTGCGACGAGTATCTGACTCCAACTTTGCCCACCACTTTGCTGCTTGCAAACTATTCTTATTTATTTTGTGCAGCCTGTATGTGCGGTAAATCTCCCCATCAGTGAACTTCAAGGATTTGGGGCACTGATCGCGAAGCTCAGTTCGCGACGAGGAAGGCAAATCTTGTCGTAAAACCAAATTTAGAGTCTATTTTCAATGAACGCATGAAGAGTAAGACCAACCATCGACATAGATATCCACCAGCCAAGAGCGCATTCCTATGGCTTGGGCGGCTCGCAAACGGTGTTTTCCAAATATACACATGAGTCGAGTGCCTTCTTCAAAGCCCAGGGTGATTTGAGTTGTGGGGTCGAGAAGTTGCTCTTGTGTTATCCCACTTATCGAAAGAGCATTTTTTAGTTTGTCTGAATCAACGACCGCAGCGACGCGGTGCTCAGGCTCCATGTTACAGCAACCCTCGATCTGGAATATTTTGATCAGACGGTCAACGTTATCTTGACTATACTCCCGGGAGCCAAGAAGAGCAGCGTCCTCAAAGAATAGATGATTGAAATCAATAACAGCACAGCCTCTGAAAAATTGTAGCCGCTGCACAGCCAGCAGATTTGCGCGATCGCTCAGGAGATCCATCATTGTGTCACATCATTGTCCTGGGGCATAGGGGTATTTGTAGCGCTGAATGGGACAAGCCCCACTGTTCCGTTTTCTGTCTGCTGGTCTGCGCACAATCCCTGGTCTTTTCATACTCCCCTGTCTGCGCACACTCCCCAGTCTGCGCACACTCTCCAGTCTGCGCACACTCTCCAGTCTTTTCATACTCCCCTGTCTGCGCACACTCCCTGGTCTGCGCATACTCTCCAGTCTGCGCATACTCTCCAGTCTGCGCACACTCCCCAGTCTGCACACACTCCCCAGTCTGCGCACACTCTCCAGTCTGCGCACACTCTCCAGTCTTTTCATACTCCCCTGTCTGCGCACACTCCCTGGTCTGCGCATACTCTCCAGTCTGCGCACACTCCCTGGTCTGCACACACTCCCCAGTCTGCGCACACTCTCCAGTCTTTTCATACTCCCCTGTCTGCGCACACTCCCCAGTCTGCGCACACTCTCCGGTCTTTTCATACTCCCCTGTCTGCGCACACTCCCTGGTCTGCGCATACTCTCCAGTCTGCGCACACTCCCTGGTCTGCGCACACTCCCCAGTCTGCGCACACTCCCCAGTCTGCGCACACTCCCCAGTCTGCGCACACTCCCCAGTCTGCGCACTCTCCCTGGTCTGTTCATACTTCCCAGTCCATTGGTTAAAGCCCCACCAGGTGGCCAGTATTTCGTGTTGTAATATGAGGCTGGTGCAGATCAGGAACCAAGCCGAACCATCGGAATTAATCCCGAGATATCTATACGAAGAACCAAGTTGATTGGAAATCAACTTGTTCTTCTCGTTGTATATATATAGCCTAATGTTTCCCTATGAACAATAACACAATTCATACCTCTGAACTACAACATTTCGAGTTTCTCAATTTATTTATCCTACTACATCAAAAATCGCTCCGTCTGCGAAATTTTCAACTCCTTTCCCATTGCTACCCTCACAATCATGCTCCCACCGCGATGATTTACTCGTACCTCCCGCAGCATTCAACTCCCCTCAAAGAAGGCCGATCTCATCCGCCATGTCCAAGGCTTAAAGTCAAAGTACGACGGAAATGTATGGCTTCGCGAACAATTCACCTCGTGTTTGCAGCAGCAACAGGGTGGTTAATCGTATTATACTTTGTCTTCTGGACTGACTCTTCAACTCTGGATGGAAAGAGTATGCGGACGACTTTTGGCATGGCCAAGGATAGACTCTGGCGGATTCACCCCGCTATTGTAAGGACTGAGGAGGCATGGTGGCAGGATTCAACATCGCAAAATATGTTTGAAGAATCCAATGCGACGTCATCAGTGGAACCACAGGCCAATGTTAAGTCTGCATCAATGAAATATAAAGATTCACAGCAATCTGTCCCGAAGGCCTCCAAATATACCAACAAGAATACGGAATCGAGGCATATATTCCCCGACGAATTGGACACCGCCCTCGACAACCTCTTCTCTATAATTCCCAATGAAATGTACCTCCGAGAGCTTCTACGGCCCGTGATAGGCACGGGTGCGGAAAAGCTGCGTGAACTCGGTCTACGCACGCGCGCATACAAACAATTCTTCGAAGCCTGGGAGAAACTCCACCTCGTCACCGAAGACAATGATAATACTTACGTTCGAGACGATCTCGTCCCCTACATGCGTGCCAAATTTAGCGAGCAAACCTTCCCTGAGGCGCTCCACAAATACGAAACCTATCGCCACTTCCTAGCCAAACTCTCCGCGCTGTTGTTTCCGTGGACGAGCCCATACTTCGGAGATCATATAAGTCTGCACGCATCCTTGCACCATGGAGGTCGTGGCATCGTGTTTACAGCGGGCGACAACCACGCGGCTTTCCTCCTCACTGCCATCCCCTCCCTCCGCATCCTTGGTTGCGAGCTGCCCGTTGAAATCATGTATCTCGGCGACAGCGACTTGGGCGAAGACTTCCGAGCCGAGCTAGAAGCACTCCCCGGCGTGGTAACGCGTGACCTCTCCGCCATGGTTAGCGATGAGGGCTGGCGGCTCACCGGATGGGCCGGTAAGCCGTTTTCTATCCTCTTCTCGTCTTTCCGCGAGGTCATCTTCATCGACGCCGATTCACTGTTCTTCGTCAATCCCGAAGTGCTCTTCAATGACGAGGACTACGTGCGCACGGGCGCCCTTTTTTTTAAAGACAGAATGATCATGCCTGAGAGCAAGAAACGGTGGCTGCAGCAGATCTTGCCAAAGCCGATTTCGAAACTGGTGCGGCAGAGCAGGATGTGGACTGGGGAGAGCGGGCATATGCAAGAGTCCGGTGTTGTAGTTGTGGACAAGTGGATACACTTTGTTGCCTTATTACTGGTAAGTAGAATGAATGGGCCCGATAGAGATGGGGATATGATGGCGGGCATTGTGGGGACCTATAATATGGTCTACGGTTTGTTCCCCCTTCCCCCTCCCCCCCCCCTCCCTTTACCCATCCTGTCTATTTTATTAATACCCGCGAAAACACAGGCGACAAAGAAACCTTCTGGATTGGCTGGGAGCTCTCCGGTGACACCTCCTATGCTTTCCACCCCGGTGCAGCCGGCATAATGGGCGTAGTTCAAGACCCCGACATCTTCAACCCAACCAACGAACAGCCCGCCTCGAACCTCGACCGGGGCCTCGCTGCTACCGCCACGAAAAGAAACCGCAAAATGGCACCTGGCCATGAATCTGACCTCACCATCTGCGCCCCCCCAACTCCTCCATCTGGACCGCGACAAGCGCCCTTTGTGGTTCAATGGATGGCTGTACAAAAACAAGTATGCGAGGACCAAACGGACGATCGGAGAATTCGACGTGTTTATGGAGGAGCCGAAGGAAGTGTTGGATCCAGGAGCGTGGCAATTAAAGAAGAACAATATGTGTTGCTTGTCAAATGCGGCGACACGGGAGTTTACGAAGGAGGAGACGGAATGGCTGGGGGAGTTGATTAAGATAGCAAAGATAAAGGAAAATTGAAAAATGACGGGAACATGATAGATTTTAATTTTCTTTTTGTTGGGTAAGTCCATATCCATGGTATACCATTTTCCCAAATGCTGGGATGGGAGCCTTTCACTAAAAACCTAGGAAGCATCACCCAGCCATCGGCAGAAATACATTCAATACCGGTGATAGGGATGCCTGCAACTGCCCAATATTGGGGATGCCAAAGAGCTTACAGAAATAAACTCCTACAAGCCTTATAATGTTTGGAAAGAGGCCAGATTTCGCAGCCTGTTCGGATATTTCAAGGTGCCAAAGGATGCTCTGGTACCGGCATGTGCAAAGAAGCCCCACTCAGAGCCTGCGCATGATCACAGGCGCGCCCAGGCACGTCGATACGGAGAGGGGCAAATCGAGGTTTGCGTGCTTTTTCTAATAAACAGCACCAACATCTTCTTAACCAATGTAACCATGGGGCCAAATAGGCAAGACTTGAGGCCGCTATCCATTTGGTATATTGCGGCCCTTTGCAGGGAGGTGAACGGGGCTGCGTAATTATCATGACTGGTGCTGTGCAAGCAAGACAGCCTCTTGCCGTGGTTATCTCCATCGATACTAAGATTGGAACCATCCATGACGCCACACTCCCTGCGGTTTATCTCACGGTGATGCGGGGAGCTGTAGGTCTAGCGTCAATGTTCATAGCATCCTTGGTTTGTATAACGTCACGGCCGCAAGAGCTTGCTTGTAAGTCAAATAGGGGTCTGGAGTACCGCCGTCGGATAGAGTGAAGCTTTTATTAATTCCAAATGGCCATGGGCTGGAAAGTCTTTTGTCACGGCATATGGAACCAACTTTGGCGGGCTTATTCTGTTTACCGGAGTCACGGCCTCGTTTGGAGTCGTAGGTTTCGGGGCACCCAAAATGGGTCTGCTTTATTGATTAAGTAGATCGTTTCTTTTTCAACCTTACATTGCGAGTTAACAGATTGCAAAGATAGTATTAGTTTAGGGGACTAGGATTTGATTTCCAACTTAGAGTATGACATGAATCAGCTATAGCCTTGAGTCAAAACTTTTGACTGTGCTGGTGTTGGGGAGTCATGTGACTCCATGATACAGGAATCGATAGCTTCCTCTTCTCTTCCCTCTCTCTTCTATTTTCGTCCGCTTTTGTTGGTAGCTTCATACAAAAAACGTTTCTCTCATCATTGTGCAACTGATTGTAGCAACTTTCTCCAGAGCTGGTAAACATTCAAGATGGAGACGAATTGGTTATTAGGCAAAACAAGATAAACAATCTGATTTGCATACATTAAATAGCCCAGGCAATGCTCTTTCGAATGCATTCGAACGCAGTATTTATGAAGATAATTTGCTGTATATATATGTATACAAAAATGCTACGAAAATTGACGTTCCGGTGGCTATTCTTAATATAGTACAGTAGGACTTGACGCGGGGTGGAAAAACAATGAAAGAGTTGAGATGGTGACACCGATTTCCGGAAGCAATGTATCTAACCTCTTAGACTGAATGAGTTGGTCTTTCCTTTTGCCATCTCGCCGAGGTGTTAACGGCTGGAATGGAAGTTCGATAATATCGACCACTTTTTTCGTCCGAGTTGAAACTACATTTGAGAGTCTAGACTTGATCTCAGGCTGCGCAGGCACTAAATTGGTTAGTAGACCTTCAGTTCAATATATTTGCTACATACCAGTAATCAGAGATCTTCCCTTAGATTCCCAGAATCTTTCTGGGACGACCTCTTCCGCATTGATACGACCAAGGATTTTAAATATTCTGCCATTCTCACTCCCCCAATTTATCGGTTCTGCATCTTTAATCTTATCCTCATAAGAGGGTATGTAGATTCCAAATTGTAGGTTCTAAAGAGGTATTTTAGCCAAAAAACGTAACTAGGTCGGAAATATACCCACATAAATACCTATATCTCGTGCTAGGAGCTCACACATCCATTCATGAACATAGTCAAAATCCGCTTTAAAGTACCTGTTGGTATCACCAGCTAGGTCCTGTGTACACAGTTAAGTGAACAGTTCATGCTTCTAAAGCAAAGGTTGATTGATTCGTGTATATGATAGATGTGTCTCCGGTCAAGGCCAAATACCCCTGAATCCATGCGGCGGGAGCCGCAGCTTAGCAAGATTACGTACAACATGTCTTTGCTTATTCTGACGGGAGGATATATCCCGACAGTACCATTAGCTAAGAAATATAATAATCTACTTAGTAACGCACATCTATGATCTAGCTCCCATATAACAAAAATATCCCGGTGTTGATTTCCTGGTAGGCTGGTTTCAACAAGTAGACGAAGGTATAAAAGCTAGGCTACAATCCTAATACCAGTAGCAACAAGAAGTGCCTAAGAATATTTATCAAGCTCCATATAGCTGCCATATAGGCCATCTATCTAGGCTAAGTAATCGCTTTCTAGATTTCTAGCTAGCCTCTAGGTGAAGGTACTTGCTTGCTTAACCAGGCATACAATAGTCACTATCCTCTTATCGTGGTCAGTTTCCCACCAGGCAATTTGATAAGGATGACTTTGAAGAGCTACAGGATAGCTTGCCCCAGGAATTCATAAATATAAAAATGATCCTAGTCGAATTTTGAAGGGCTGATTGATTGGAATAACAAGTAAAATTGGGTTAGACCCCGGTATCGGTCAGACTATAGCACGTGTACCAATTCTAGAGCGTCTAATATTTCGAAATAGCAGCACTATCCATCGATATCTAGTTACTAATGTAAATACAAGGCTACCGATTAGAACGTAAATATAGGTTAGATAGAAATCTTTAGTATGTCTCCATACTATAACGAGCATAAAGAGTATTGCCCCAAAAAAAGCTTAGCTAGAATTCAGGCTATCCATTTCCACATAAAGACACTCAGGACACATATGGTCATGCCCGATGCCGCCTATAGAGTCTTAGATCAATACAGAATTGTGCGAACATTCTCGACATACCATCACCCCATAAACCTGTAGCCTCGTCTATAGGTGCCATCCAACTTGGTGAATCGATATTCCGATATACATAGTCGCTTGAAGAAAATTCATAACTACGAATGTGCTATGGATCTGAATATATGACCGAAGGGATATACCTTACATGTCTGCCATCAGTGCAAGGGGCGCGCTTATGACTACCGGAATTAGGTTAATAATAGCAAGATTAGCAGCTCGACTCCCAATATCCTTCAGACCATTAGTCGCTAAAAGGTTACTCATCAATGTTCCACTCCAATAGATAGCCTATAAAAATGCCCATGCCCTTGACCTCCTGCCAAAGATTAACGGATACACACAGTATTTGAGCATAAGCAAGCGTAGTCTCCAGCCCAAAAAGCGGGAAGCAACAATATAAAGTCTAGCAAGCGTCATGAGGAGAAGGTACCCCCCAAAATATCGAGATAGATATTCGTAGGATTGAGGAAAGGCATTTTTGATCTATTGATACTAGAATGGGGAGGGATGCCCTAATATAAAATCCAAGAAGAAGATAGTCGTCGGCGTATCGCTCGCGTTCCGGGCGCTTAGAGAGTATTAAGCTATTTATAGGTGAGCGGAATGATATAAAGGGGGTTTTCCATTCCCAAAATCAACTTTTGAAGCCTACTGGGACCAGGGCCGGTGGGAAGAGGCCGAGCAGCTCTTTGTGCAGGTGATGAAGACTCGCAAGACGAAGCTCGGCGAGGATCATCCCGACACGCTGACGAGTATGACCAATCTAGCTTTCACCTGGAAATCTTTAGGTCACGATGCTCAAGCAATCGACCTGCTACGGAACTGCTTGGCTAAGCAAAGACAAAAACTCGGTTTGAATCATCCGCATACTCTATCTAATTCTCGAACATTGCTAGTCTGGGAAACGGACAACCTGAATATCAGTTCGTAGATACCAGATACTCGCATATTCCACGTTTCAAAAATAATTTCTTCCTTGAGCTTGTATTTCCCCGAATTATTATTCTATTTCCGATTGTCTCAGAACGCATGGAGGAAAATAAATTGGCCTATCACTCGAAAAGCGTTTCTACCAAGTGTAAGGATGGAGATGATGCAGGAGTGGAGAACCTGTCATAAGCGGCAATGACGTAGCGGGATGAAGTGTAAGGGGGTTTCACGTAATATATTAGAGAATGTAGGGAAACACTCCAAACGAGTGGATGCATCACTCCCAGGAAAACATACCCGACAATTGTATGATCGATTATCGTGGAGAGAAGCAAGCGTGCTAGCCCAGCTCCGGACTGGCATGGTGAGACTCAATGGATATCTCTCTCGAATCAAAGTCGCAGAGACGGATCAATGCGCATGTGGACAAGCCAGAGAGACCGTGGAGCACTTCCTCTTTCGATGTCAGAGGTGGACCACGCACCGGACGGAAATGCTGCAATGTACCCACACTCACCGAGGCAACATATCATTTTTTCTTGGTGGAAAGTCGCCTTTGGATGACCAGAACTGGAAGCCAAATCTAGAAGCAGTGCGAGCCACAATACGATTCGCAATCGCCACTGGCCGACTCGACGCCGCCTAACCACGTCGACCAACACAATGACACCACTAACCCCCACCAACTACCTTGTGCCAGAGACGGTAGACGCGCTTCAATTGCCGAGGATAGGATGTTGAACACTTGGAGAAGCGCCTTCAAGCAAGTCTACTAATCAAACACTAAACCACAAGAACCCGCTAAGATATTGATATCTGAGATGACATACACTGAAAGGAATCTTGTATGGGCTCCAAGGAGGCACAGCATTAGCTAAAACGCATGTATATTTAGATCAGTGATAGTTGCCCTTTCGGTTCAGCCGCCGGGCGTTAATGAATTGTGTGTGTGTGTACTGTACAGTATTATAGTATTTCTCCGCCCCTAATGCCATGAGGTGCTAGTCCACATTTAAGGTAGGCATCGGAATATCGATATTCCAATATTTATGCTGTAATCGGCGGACCTGTGAATTTCCTTTTCAAGTTAGTTTTACCCTTTTGGGTTTCGCGCCCCAATACGCCGTCACGTAGCCTCCCTTTAGTGCCCTTCGATATAAAAAGACCCGTCGTCGCTGCTCTTTGCTATTCCTCTACCTCTCCACCTTCCACATATCGCTACGCCCCTACAATTTCGCCCACCTAATCGGACTCCCCGACTGCCCTATTCGCCTCTTATTTTCGATCGCAAACTACGGCTTAGCCCTTATTGCCTTTACAATTCACTTCTAGGATCGGGATTATTAGGCCTTTTAGCGTAGGTAGCAATTATAGAGGTTACAAAGATTTTAACAGAGCAATACGGTACAATTTATTCGTTTATAGGATATTCACTTAGCCGTTATAGTTTACTCGTTCTTTAAATAGATTATTCTCTATCTATTCCCCTCGATCATTCTCTCGTCCTTGATTCAATATTTATACACCGGCAAGGCGGATAGAAAGGTAGATCGTACATTAAAACGACGCGCCACTTCACGAATCGAAGAGAGTTCTTTATTCTTAAAAAGCTAGATAATTAACGAGATCCTACCCTCTTGCTCTATTGAAATGTTCAAGGATTAAGTGCTAATTGGTGGCATGGTGGGTGGTTGAAGAAGAAAGGTTTAAATTAATTGACGCGTTTCCGGTGGCGTCGCCAGCTTGGTAGTGAATTACCCTATGTCGGTGCAGTCAAGGCTGCCTGATGAGCAACCGGATATAGATCCCGGATCGCACTATCGAAGCGTGATAATGTATCATGTTAGCAATAAGAACAGCGATAGAATAGTAATCCTATTAAAAAGTGAAGGTTAGGTTGAACTCACAGTGTGCCCACAACTTCCACAGTTACTTGCATCGGTATCAAGGTTGACGCAGGCCCCATTACAACAGGTCAGGCCAGACGCGCACTATCGAGCACCAGTTAGTCGTCGTCTCAAAATATGCAGTCTGCGGCCATCTTACACATTGCCCGTTACAAGAAGAAGAAGGAGGATCACAATCTGGCGGGGTTGGGACACAGATACAGCCTCTATTTCATATCAGCTTTCAGATGGCTCCGCAATCGAAGGACGATCGAGAAAGAGACTAACGGCGTAGTTCGTCCAAGGACAAGTCCAAGTAAACTAGAAGATCCACTCCCGTTGTCGCAGTAGCCCGATTGATCACCTAATCTCCGGCACTTAATTGAATCAGTATGTTAGTATCAGCAACCTCTTTGGGTATCCCGAATCTTACCTTGGCGTCACAACCGGCATGGTCGCAGCCACCACCACCCCCAACCCCAACCCCAATGTCTCCAATATCACCACCCCCAGTGTCAATGGTAATCCCACCGCCATCTCCATTGCCAATATTATTACCCCCGTGGGAAATCCCTCCACCTCGAGGTCCACCCCACTTTGCTAGAGCTTCTTTTCCAGTGAGCGCAGTGACAACAGAGCAGCACAAAAGGGTGAGAAGAGCAGAACGCATTTTTGTGAAGGCGTGGTTTGCTAACGACGATAGAAAAAAAAAAAGTATACCTAGTCGAACTTGTCGTTAGACTAGAACTAGCGTGTCTTGCTTCTTATGTATTATATTCAGCGCGTTTCTACGATTATTTATTAATAAGGTTCCTTATTATAAATAAGGCGCTTAGAAATGTTGCCTAGGATTTGAACTATCTACTTTTATTTCACACGAACAGCAATCATGCAGAGTTCAAGGGGCTTGTGGTATGTGCTTAGATTCCGGCAAAATATTCCGGCAATCAGAATAGAGTCATGTGGGATCTGGTTGGTCCCCCGTGCGTCCCCTCGCCTGGCTGTTACATTCGGGAACACCCTCTCAAACCAAAACGATGTATATTTTAATCAAGTATATTAAATATCCTAAGCATCTATTTTCTCCAATAATAGTGCTTTAGGTTATGGATAATTTGTTGGTCTAACAGTTAGTATTTTAACGCTATATTTGCCAGGAAGAAAAGCACTATAATGTTAGACAGCTAATTTGCCCTTTACCTCTCTCACAGTCGATAGGAACTTGATATGGAGTTAGAATTATAGGTGTAAAAATCCGAACACAACGGTTTGGCGCGGAGCACACACGGGCCGCCCACATCAATCAATTCTAACTGCCAAAACATGCTGCCGGAACTGTGCGCATACCATAAACCCCTGCCTGACCTTCGAGAAAATTAAGTTATCCACATTCCAGGGAACATGTCTAAGCATTTTAACCATAACAACAAAGCTTAGACAGTTTATGAATGGCCGTGGGCACACGGTTTAGCTGGGAGGGTAGCGTGTTGTTCTTCTTTACCACGAGCAGTGTGACGGGTTCAAACTGATATTCTCTTCCACCAAATTTTTAATCGTCTTAAGCAAACGCCTTTGCAACAATGCGTTTCGCTCTTCTAACCCTTTTGTGCGGTGCTTTGGTCACTGCGCTCTCCGGAGACGATGCCCTGGAAAAGTGGGGTAAACCTAGAGGTGGAGGCATTTCCCACGGCGGTAATAATATTGGCAATGGGGATGGTGGTGGGATTGACATTGACACTGGGGGTGGTGACATTGGAGACATTGGGGTTGGGGTTGGGGGTGGAGGGGGTGGGAGTAATTGCGACCCGGCCGCTTGTGACGCCAAGGTAAGATTCGTGGATACCCGAGGAGGTTGCTGATACTAACACACTGATTCATTAAAGTGTCGGAGATTAGGTGATCAATCTGGCTACTGCGACAACGGGAGTGGATCTCCTAGTTTACTTGGACTTGTCCTTGGACGAACTACGCCGTTAGTCTCTTTCTCGATCGTTAAATCCTGGATTGTAGAGCCATCTGAAAGCTAATATGAAATAGTGGCTGCATTTGTGTGCCAGCAAATTGTGGTCCTGATTCTTCTTGCAACGGCCAATGTGTAAGATGGCCACAGACTGCATATTTTGCGACGACGACTAACTGGTGCTCGATAGTGCGCGTCTGGCCTGACCTGTTGTAATGGGGCCTGCGTCAACCTTGATACCGATGCAAGTAACTGTAGAAGTTGTGGAAACACTGTGAGCTTAACCCAACCTTCTTGGCTCTGTCGCTGTTCTTCTTGCTAATATGATGAATTCTCACGTTTCGATAGTGCCCTGCTGGATCTATATCCACTTGCTCATCAGGCACCCTTACCTGTCAGACAGATTGTGATCCTCCTTCTTCTTCTTGTAACGGGCAATGTGTAAGACGGCCACAGACCGCATATTTTGAGACGACGACTAACTGGTGCTCGATAGTGCGCGCCCGGCCTGACCTGTTGTGGTGGAGCCTGCGTCGACCTCCAGAACACTGCCGGTAACTGTGGTACTTGTGGAAACACTGTGCGTTATCATCTGTTGCTAACAGAGGCGAACTCACTGACCCTTAATGCTACAGTGCCCAGCAGGTGAGGACTGCTGCAGCGGCGCTTGCACCAACCTCCAGAACACTCCCGGTAACTGCGGTACTTGTGGAAACACCGTACGTTATCAACGGTTGCCAAAGGAAGCAAAATCACTGACCATTAATGTTACAGTGCCCAGCAGGTGAGGACTGCTGCAGCGGCACTTGCACCAACCTCCAGAACACTCCCGGTAGCTGTGGCACCTGCGGGAACACTGTGCGTTATCATCCGTTCAGGAGGCGAAACCACTAACCATATTGATATAGTGCGCAGCAGGTGAGGACTGCTGCAGCGGCTCTTGTACCAACCTCCAGAATGATCCCAGCAACTGTGGAAGTTGTGGGAACACTGTGAGTTGGGCCTAACCTCTATACTGAGAGGACCTTTGCTATAATGTCCATATGAGTATTGGCGTTAATATGATGAATTCTAACGCTTGTATAGTGTGCTGCTGAATTCACTTGCTCATCGGGCGCCTGCATATGCACGACCTTCGAGGGTTTTCAAACGCAGGCAACATTCCCCGTGGGGGCCATTCCACGCGGGGTTATAGTGGGCGACTTCAACGAAGATGGCAATCTCGATATCGTGGTTGCGAATCAAGTCGACAACACAGTGAGTGTCTTGCTCGGGACTGGATCCGGGACATTCCAGCCGCAGGCCACATTCCTTGTGGGGTTCAGTCCGCGCAGTGTTGCAGTGGGCGACTTCAACCAAGATGGCAATCTCGATATCGTGACTGCGAATGTCAACAGCAATTCAGTGAGTGTCTTGCTCGGGACTGGATCGGGGACTTTCCAGCCGCAGGCCACATTCCTTGTGGGGTTCAGTCCGCGCAGTGTTGCAGTGGGCGACTTCAACCAAGATGGCAATCTCGATATCGTGACTGCGAATGTCAACAGCAATTCAGTGAGTGTCTTGCTCGGGACTGGATCGGGGACTTTCCAGCCGCAGGTCACATTCCCGTGGGAACCAGTCCGGTCAGTGTCGCAGTGGGCGACTTCAACGAAGATGGAAATCCCGATATCGTGACTGCCAATGCCAACAGCAATTCAGTGAGCGTCTTGCTTGGAAATGGATTGGGGAGCTTTCAGGCGCAGGCCACATTCCCCGTGGGGTCCCAACCGGACAGTGTCGCAGTGGGCGACTTCAACAGAGATGGCTATCTTGATATCGTGGCTTCGAATGCCAACAGCAATACAGTGAGCGTCTTGCTTGGAAATGGATTGGGGAACTTTCAGCCGCAGGAAACATTCCCCGTGGGGGCCATCCCTCGTGGTGTTGCAGTGGGCGACTTCAACGAAGATAGCTATCTCGATATCGTGGTTGCGAATGTGCTTGACAATACAGTGGGCGTCTTGCTTGGGAAGCCTTGCGATGCTTAAAACTGCCCTGGGGATCGAAGACCGAGTATATGCATGGATGTCTCATCTTCTATGTGACATGCTGCAGGTTTCACCGTGGGAGTTTTGGACGCGGGTTGGAACTTGGGACGCGGTTTGAGAATTCTGCTTAAAACGTCCTTTGGGATTTGCTTTTAGAAACCTGCATCTATGGTCTCTGAAACCTTCAGGACTTGAGGCCTTCAGACTTATATACTACTTTACAACTCCGTGCGGTCCGGACCCACATCACCACTTATCGGCTTGGTAGTTTACAGTACGTGGTGGCCTAGCTATGTTGAAAATTTGAATCATGTAGATTCTTTCCTGTAATAACCGATAGGTCACTCGAACGGACTGCTAAATATCTGTCCCAACTGACACCTGATCAGTACGTACCGCATCTACTGTCGCTGCCGCTCTGCATCTCCTGTACGGGGCTGTCACGTATTTGTCGATATGTCGATGCGTCCCTTTTCTAGGTTTCTGATCTGAACAATTCAGGCACCGGGCTATGGCTCACTAATGACTGTCGGTTAGTAAATTTGTTATTGCAATGTTATTTCTGTCTCTGCCTTCATGGATTTTGGGGATGTGGAAAGCCAGTGCTGTATTTTAAGAGGCGAAACCATCAATTTTATACGTCCGAAATAGGAAAGGCGCGGAGAAATTATGCTCCCGAGGGCCAGGGTCAGGTTCAGGGTCGGTGAGGTTCCACCCTGACCCTCTGAGGTGGGGGTGGAGGGACTGAAAGTTGGAAATCGCACCTTGTCTCACACACTCAGTAGCAATTTGATAAGGGGATTGGAAATGTAGGTGCAAACCCCCAAAGCGTCAAGGTTTGATGAGAATGGAGTGTTATTCCCCAGGCATAGTCAGCACGCACGGGTGACCAATCAGATCCCACATAACTCTATTCTGGATACCGAAATATTTTGCTGGTATTTGTGCGCATACCATAAACCACTGGGCTTCTAGAGAATTAAGGCTATTCACATTCTAGGGAACTTGTCTAAACACTTGAGTTATAATAACGAAACTTGTATAGTTAATGAAAAACCGTGCGCCCACTATATATCCCTTCCGCTGAGAGGGCAAGGCAAATTATTCTTCTTTACCACGAGCAGCACCAGGGTTCAAACTGATATCCTCGTCCAAAAAAATTTCTCGTTTTAAGAAAACGGCTTTGCAATAATGCGTTTCGCTCTTCTAACCCTTTCGTGCTGTGCTTTTGTCACTGCGCTCCCCGGAGAAGAAGCTCTAGAAAAGTGGGGTGGGCCTAGGAGTGGGCATAAGGTTTCCCATGGGGGAAACAATATTGGTAATGGGGATGGTGGTGGGATTGACATTGACACCGGGGGTGGTGACATCGGGCACATTGGGGTTGGAATTGGTGGTGGTTGCGACCCGGCCGCTTGTGACGCCAAGGTAAGATTCGGGATATCCAAAGAGGTTGCTAATACTAACATACTGATTGGTTTTAAGTGTCGAAAATCAGGTGACCAATCAGGATACTGCGACAACGGTAGTGGATCTCCCAGTTTATTTGGACTTATCCTTGGACAAACTGCGCCGTGAGTCTCTTCTCGATCGTCCTTAGATTGCAGAGCCATTTGAAAGCTGATATGAAATAGAAGCTGCATTTGTATACCAGCAGATTGTGATCAGACTTCTGCTTGCAACGGCCAATGTGTAAGATGCCGCAGACTGCATATTTTGCGACGACGACTAACTGGTGGTCGATAGTGCGCGTCCGGCCTGACCTGTTGCAATGGGGTCTGCACCGACCTCAACAACAATCCCAGTCACTGTGGCAGTTGTGCAAACACTGTGAGTTCGGCCTAACCTTCATACCTCTAGGAGAGCTGCTATGGCGGCGATATTTTCATTGCTATGGTGATCAATACTGACGCTTCTGCAGTGTCCTGCTGGATCGACTTGCTCATCAGGCGCGTGCATGTGTATGAGCTTCCAGGCGCAGGCTACATTCGGCACGGGGACCACACCAATCAGTGTTGCAGTCGGCGATTTCAACGGAGATGGCAATCTCGATATTGCGACTACGGATGAAGGCGACTATACAGTCAGCGTCTTGCTCGGGACTGGATCGGGGAGCTTCCAGACGCAGACCACATTCGGCACGGGGACAGCACCGTACGATATCGCAGTGGGCGACTTCGACAAAGATGGCAATCTCGATATCGTGGCTACGAGTATGTACGACAATTCAGTGAGCGTCTTGCTCGGGACTGGATCGGGGAGCTTCCAGCCGCAGGCCACATTCCTCGTCGGGTCCGAGCCGCTTGGTGTTGCAGTGGGCGACTTCAACCAAGATGGCTATCTCGATATCGTGACTTCGAACTACGTCGACGATACAGTGAGCGTCTTGCTCGGGACTGGATCGGGGAGCTTCCAGGCGCAGACCACATTCCCCGTAGGGTCAGCTCCGTTCGGTGTTGCGGTGGGCGACTTCAACGAAGATGGCTATCTCGATATCGTCGCTGCAAATAATGGCGGCAATACAGTGAGCGTCTTACTTGGGACTGGATCGGGGAGCTTCCAGCCGCAGACCACATTCCCCGTGGGGTCCTCTCCTGTTAGGGTTGCAGTGGGCGACTTCGACGGAGATGGCAATCTGGATATCGTTGCTTCGAATCAGGTCGACGATACAGTGAGCGTCTTGCTTGGGACTGGATCGGGGAGCTTCCAGGCGCAGGCCACATTCCCCGTAGGGTCAGTTCCGTACGGTGTTGCGGTGGGCGACTTCAACGGAGATGGCTATCTCGATATCGTTTCTACGAACATTGGCGGCAATTCGGTGAGTGTCTTGCTCGGGACTGGATCGGGGAGCTTCCAGCCGCAGGCCACATTTCCCGTCGGGTCCAATCCGCTTGGTGTTGCAGTGGGCCACTTCAACGGAGATGGCTATCTCGATATAGTGGCTGCGAATGCCGACAGCAATACAGTGAGCGTCTTGCTTGGGAAGCCTTGCGGCGCTTAGAACCTCCCTGGATCGTAGACCGGGTATATGCAAGCATGTCTTATACTCTTTGTGACATATTGACGGTTTTCCCGCGGAAGTTTCGGAACCTCGTTGGGACTTCTGACTAGGCCTCTGCACGGGACCGAAAAGACCGCAACGAAGACCGTACCGGACCGCACCACTGCGGTATGGTGCGGTCCTGCAAACAAGCAAAACATCTCAAACCCCAAACCGTGCATAATTCCTGATCGCTTTTCGGTACTGTAGCAAACGATTTGTAGTGTTGGGCTTCCATTGATTTAGGCTTCGGTGACCGCTTCAGCACTGAAAGGCTACCGCTCCGCACGAATTTTCGAACTGTTCGAAGTTCGCGAATTTCGGCGAATCGAATCGAATTCGATCCTTGGATTTCGGGCTTCGTGTTGAGATAGGTAGTTGTAATGTTCTTGTTGAGGTTACTATCAAAAGTGGGAATACATCTATTTATATGTCCCTCGCTAGTCCCGCCATAAGCTTTGACCACCGCGATACTCAACAATTCTCGATATTAATTCGAATTGAATCGGATTTGGCCAAAGTTCGATTCGATTCGATTCGTGCGGGGCCGTAAGCCTGATTCGTGAGTCGTGATGGCCTGGAAGCCAGCAGCAACGGTCCGAGTCAGGCTTGACATATCTTGTACACTGGGATAGCATTTGGGATGTAAATTCTTCAACGATTCTTAGATTATTTCTTTAGCTTCTCTATAGAATTGTACCTTCAATAATAACCTCATCTCCTTCGACTTCCTTAAACGATTACGATAACTCCAATCCTGCAACGATTTTGGAGTATTCCCTTCACCTACTTCCTCTATCAAGGATTCTAACGATTTTCTGACACTAATGCTGCGCACAAACTCCTTCAACAATTTTCTCACCTTCTCTCTATGCCAATTTTTCATCAAATCAAAACTTGATTATACTAACGATTCTCTCGAATTGGTTCCTTCAACGTCTCCTTTCAACGACTTCTTCCAATGACTTCCTCCAACCACTCCTCCTCGGAGTCCTTGAAATTAAGTCGTCCAACTGCTCTGTTGATTATTTATTAAACCATTCTATAAAGCAAAATCTACTAACAAACCCCTCCGTTGATGCCTTCAACGACCACCTAAAATTATTGCTTCAACGACCCCTTCAACGACCCCTTCAACGATCCCGTCCTGTTATTTCCAACGACTTCTTAAATTGAATATTCCGATATCAATTTAATTATTCCTTCAACGCATCTTTGATTTAATAACTTCAATGTCTACCTAAAATTCTTTCCCTCAATGGTCCCAAATAATAATCTTCTCAACGACAATTTAGAATTTATTATCTCAGCGACTGCCTTTAACTGATTATTTTCAACGATATTTTAAGTGATACATTTCAAAGACACCTTCCAACTTAACCTTCCAACAGCTCCGCAGAATTGATTTTCAACGACTCCCAATTCATTTTCCAACTGACCCCCGCAACAAATTCCTTGACCGATTCCCTTCTTGCCCTTGAACGACTTTCACATTTCTTTCCTTTGGTGACTTTCAGCGATAGCCTTCAATGATGGCAAATGCCGGGGAAAATCTAGAGCTTCACTACCATCTCGAGTTCTACTTCCAACGCAAATCGTCCCGCAGAAAGCTTGCTATTGCCGGCCGCATTTCGTGGAGTCATGGCCAAAACCAGCAACAAGAAACGCGTTCTCAACTGAAACAGCAATGTCGAGTAGCAATGGCAGCCCCATTTGTAGGTGGTCGTTTTATACTCGCTCCGCCCGAAGGAATGCTAAACGCCTCAGATGACCGCCTCGGTCTCGTCATTGCGCCCAGCCATGTCCGTCTCCAACCGCCGGTCGAGGACGGATATGCATGGTTGGTCGCGTCTTCCCATGTTCCTCTTAAAAACCTGTCTGAGCAGCGGAAGCGTGGGCCTTTTCCAGGCCATCTGCAAAGGACCACTCCGGAAACTCTGCAGAACGGGCGGTCGCAGGCAGCAGAAATACCAGAAAATGTACGTGTGCCTTTGGTTTTGCCCGAGTAGATACATACATGTACATTTACTGTACTTACCTTGCTGAACAGATGGAAGGCCCTCTCGGAGCCAGAGAGCAAGGAGGGGGGTCATTCACAGCGAAGATCAGCGAACTGGGACCAGCAGCCAACCACGATCTTCGCCGCGAGCTAGATCAGACGAGCATGCGCCTAGGATCGTCTCTGGACGAGAGTGGTAAGCTGCGAGCCAAGAACTGCATGCTTGAGCGCGAAGTAGAGACTAGTAAGTCAACGATGTGCCGGCAAAGGGAGAAACTGGGACGCTTGAGAGGCGGGATTGGTGAGGCGATGCAAATATTGCAGGGCTTGTGTCCACAGAATCACACTATGCCTCAGGAGAAAAGCGCGGTGGAACAGAGCTAGAAGGGAAAGCCGCGGTTGCCCCCCCAACCCACCGAGGCCGCCACCTCGACGTGTCGCGAGCACGACTCGCGCAACTAGATGACGAGGAGTCGAACCAAATTTTCCATCCTACGAAATAGGAAAACTGTTGACGGCTCGTCTGGTATCTGTGCTACTGTTCAGACTCTCATAAAAGGGAACTGATTCAAACATTGCCATTTTCCTCAGCTTATCCTATTGGCTTCAAAGCCCCGCCGCTGATGAAAATTTCACTGCGTCCATGAGAGACGATACTGTAAGCAGAACCAGACCAGAGATTGGTGATGGATAACGTATTTGGTTTGCACAGCGCCAGCAAGCCAGGTGAGGTGGTGTTACAGTGGCACTAAATACGGCAGGTTTAGCCGAGGGGGCCACATCGCGCGACTCGGGTGATTAGGGTGAGTGCGCAATAGACAGGGTGAGAACGGGGTGAGAATCATACTCTGTTGAGCGATCACTGCACTAGCCCCCTTCAGCTGGGCTGGCTTGAAGTATCATTGGGCCAAAGCCTACCTTTCAAGACTGGAAGACGCGCGCGTCGCGCACATCGGCCCTGATATGGTATGAAACTAACAAGTCATTGGATCTGGGATTCAATTGTTATGTAGATTGGCCGTGTGTTTCTGCTGGAATCAAGTGACCAATAGCTGGCACCTATGGCCCACTTGTAGGCAACGGGCTGTGACGTGGTCGCTTGCATTGATTCGCTGCCCCATTTTTGTCAGCGGCTATTTAGGCACCAGTAATCTTGAAAGCTCTACATACCGCGTGCAGCTTCCTTTAAGTTTATAAGCTGGTGGAGTACATCCTGTTTCTTCCGACTATCATTTTACTATTCACAAATTTTTAGCACGGATTCGACTTTGGCTAAGTACATGCCCATAGGATAGATAACAGTCGGCTGTTCTGACGAGCGATACGAATAACAAATTAGGATGTCTCCAATCTGCTCTTCATTCACAAGAAGCAATTATAGTACATCGGAGAATTTTTCTTTGGTGCACCGCCCTGCCCGAAGCAACACTAAGGAGAGTTTATACAAATCAGATGGTCAAGAGCGGCAGCCTCACAACCACCAAACCCCCTTGAATTATTGTACTTTGAGGACCCGCCTTGAACTCGGAAGTTGGAAGTGCGGGCGTTGCACGAAGACAGGGAAAGCTTGCCCCAATAGGATACTACTAGAGAAAAGGGACCAAATTGAATCCTTGATTTCGTCCATGGTTTCCCTTAGCCATGAATCCCCAGAATTGGTCCCAAAGGTTGAAAGACTTGCTCAACTGGCGCACTGTGGGTCCCATCGACGCAAGGATTCTCATGATATCCGAAAGACTAAGTGGATGACTGCGTTTCCGGCGCACCAAAGTGACACACATTATCTTGAAGAGCAAGTCAGGGAAGTATTCGGGCCAGCTTCGACAAATTGCGGCGCAGCAGGAATAGAGTCGGATCGATGTGGGCAGAGAGTTGGAGGTCGAAAGGTTCAAAATTTCCAGGGAACAATTTGCAAAATCATGCGACTCAGGATATACAAAAGCGATTCGCTTATTGACTACAGTCTCGCCTCTCTGGAAAAAAGCCTATACTGCTCAGACCATGAGGTTACAAAGCCCCTTCGAAAACAGGATGCTTGGAAATCGAGAATCCTAAAGATCCGCACAATAGCCGACTCAAAGTTGGGGATGTCTGCTCATTGTGAATTACCAAATGAACATCTAAGCAAAGCCGACTCTCTTGATCCGAAGGATCAACAAACGCCAAGCTTGAGAGTTTCGTCCCCGCCAGCCATTGACGAAAACCAGGTTTCTTGTTGCCGGGAGGAGTTTGACACTACTCCCTTTCACATTATATCGAGGAGGAGGAGCCGCAAGCTGACAACTCTCGATGGTTATATTCAATGCAAACTCGACCGGACTTTGAGCCGTAGTCATCGCATGCCTGGATATGTCTATGTTTTTGAAGCAGAAAAAATACAGGGATACTTTAAAATAGGATATACAACTTCTGCGGTGATTGAGCGTCTCGAAACGTTGGATTTTAACTGCAACAGGCAATTCAATGTGCTATTCCCCACACCTTCTGAGTCTGCAAAGATGGTTCCAAATGCCTGGCGCGTTGAGGAATTGTGCCACGCGGAATTGGTTGATTGCCAAGTTTTTATTGATTGTGCAGGGTGTCTATCTGAGCATAAAGAATGGTTTCAAATTTCTGCAGCAGAGGCGATTGCAATGGTCCAAAAGTGGTCAGCATGGATGAATTCTAGTCCATACGACCCAGTGCTTGGAACCTTGAAAGAAAAGGAAAGACGCAGAATTTCCAATATGGATAGGTTCAAGAATGAGCTAGCAGGCGCTACTAGATATAAGATCGTGACGACAAAAGACGTTTCCTAAGACGGTCTAATCTAGAATCTACTTTGGAATCCAATCGAAAATCTTTGACGCCCGTGTAGTAAGATGCAGCTAGAAAAGTGCCCGTGTATGCTTCGAAAATAAACAGCACTGCGACACTTGCTCATCGTTTCTCACAAATTCCACAGGAATAACCACATATTATGAGATAGGTCCTTAAAGTAAGAGAGAAATAAAGCTCCTGGGAGCTTTGGGAGTTTGCAATCGACTAGGCACTTCTGATTGCAGTAATTGGTGATACTTAATCGAAGTTCCATTGTGACTAGGCCTCGCCAAAACCCGCCCACCGCCCAAACCCGCCCGCGAAAACCCAGCCAGTTGATCTATAATGTGATGCTTCAGTGTTCATGTTATTGAGGGGAGTTAATTGTGTGTTGTGTTTCATGTCTAAGATACAAGTGAAGTGAGAGGTAGGTAAATGTACGCACGTGATCCCAGCGTCACTATTATCTCAGCAACCGGATATGTATATATACAACCACACTGCAGAAAGAATACGATGTAGCACTACACAACGGAAGCAGATTGCGCTAATTAACGAGTATCTAAACTTACATTCGCTTTGTAGTAAAGTTGTCTATATTTATGACCAGGAGCTATTCTCTTATTGTCCGATTACCGGTGACGATATATCGCCGACGATAATATCATATGCCGATATCGTATCGACAGGTTCTTAAATGGTCGATGTCGATAGCCGGTACGATATCGGCAGATTTCGAAGTTGACGGTGCCGATTAAGGATATGGGAAAATGGTGCCGATATCGTATCGTTAACAGCTCTAAATCTATCCCGATGAAAAGCCGTTTGGTAGGATGCCCATTGAGGGTCACTGTCCGATTCAAGTTTCGACAGATCTACCGGGGTTGGAGGTGGGGTTAGCGTCCAGCCTGTTTGCAGACTCAGACTTGGCAATCCGAAAGTCGTTAAACTAGACACTCTTGAGTGAGATAGGGTTCGGTAAAATTTTTGAGCATGTTTTAATTAACCAACATTAAAACTGCGGAAACCATGACCCTGTTGTCTCGAACCAACTCGACGCGCAATGTCGACCAGCCCTTGGCGATGCTGATCTCAGGTACTTTCATTGTAACAGACGTCAATGTGAGTATAGGGCGGTAGAAATGGATCGTTGAGGAGCGTATGTCAGGCTGAGTTCGGATAATCGGATGCTGGGAAGCATGGTAAAGGGCATATGTTGTCATTACACACGCGACGTACCCGCACAGCTTACTATCACAATCACATGAGCATACATATCACTATATACGAGATGCAATATTCAAGTAAATTTCACATACCTTCGCCGAAGGAAATATCGGGCGAAAGCTGGATGGAGCATTGTGGCCCGGCAGCCGAAATGGCCAGCGCTGCAGGCAGACTGGTGGGAGGTGTAGGCGGCATTGGTGAGAATGAAAAGTGTGTTAAAACTAGTGATTTTGCTTTCCTATCATGGGCCATGAAGAGCTCAACGCTACCGAGAAACTGACCAGAGAGTCTCCAGGTCTGAAGTGTGAGATATCAAATTTTCAACATAGCTAAGCCACCACCTACTGTAAACCACCAAGCCGATAAGTGGTGATGTGGGTCCAGACCGCATGGAGTTGGAAATTAGTATCTAAGCTTGACGCCCTCAAGTCCCGAAGGTTTCAGAGGCTATGGATGCAGGTTTCCGAAAGCAAATCCCAAAGCACGTTCTAAGCAGAATTCTCAAACCGCGTCCCAAGTTCCAACCCGCGTCCAAAACTCCCACGGGAAAACCTGCAGCATGTCACAAAGACGATGAGACATCCATGCATGTACTCGGTCCTCGATCCTCAGGGCAGTTTTAAGCATCGCAAGGCTTCCCAAGCAAGACGCTCACTGTGTTGTCGTTGAAATTCGCAGTCACGATATCGAGATTGCCATCTTCGCTGAAGTCGCCCACTGCGACACTGACCGGACCGGTCCCCACGGGGAATGTGGCCTGCGGCTGAAAGCTGCCCAATCCATCTCCAAGCAAGACACTCACTGAACTGCTGCCGGCATTGGCAACCACGATATCGAGATTGCCATCTTCGTTGAAGTCGCCCACTGCGACACTGAACGGATTGAACCCCACGGGGAATGTTGCCTGCGGCTGGAAGCTCCCCAATCCATCTCCAAGCAAGACGCTCACTGAACTGCCGCCGACATTGGCAGTCACGATATCGAGATTGCCATCTTCGTTGAAGTCGCCCACTGCGACACTCCGCGGACTGTTCCCCACGGGGAATGTTGCCTGCGGCTGGAAGCTCCCTGCTCCAGTTCCGAGCAAGACGCTCACTGTATTACCGAACTGATTCGCAGTTACGATATCGAGATTGCCATCTTCGTTGAAGTCGCCCACTGCGACACTATACGGATTGGTCCCCACGGGGAATGTGGCCTGTGGCTGAAAGCTCCCCAATCCATCTCCAAGCAAGACACTCACCGAACCGACGACATTGGCAGTCACGATATCGAGATTGCCATCTTCGTTGAAGTCGCCCACTGCGACACTGGCCGGACTGTTCCCCACGGGGAATGTTGCCTGCGGCTGGAAGCCCCCCAATCCATCACCACGCAAGACACTCACTGAATTACCGTTGATATTGGCAGCCACGATATCGAGATTGCCATCTTCGTTGAAGTCGCCCACTGCGACACTGAACGGACTGTTCCCCACGGGGAATGTTGCCTGCGGCTGGAAGCTCCCTGCTCCAGTTCCGAGCAAGACGCTCACTGTATTACCGAACTGATTCGCAGTTACGATATCGAGATTGCCATCTTCGTTGAAGTCGCCCACTGCGACACTCCGCGGACTGCCCTCCACGGGGAATGTGGCCTGCGGCTGGAAACCTTCGAAGGTCGTGCATATGCAGGCGCCCGATAAGCAGGTGGATTCAGCAGCGCACTATAGAAGCGTGTGAATTGAACACGTTAGCAATAAGACACTGACAAAATAGCAAATCTCTAGTAGTATAACAGTTGATAACTCACAGTATTCCCACAAGTACCACAGTTATTGGGACTGTTCTGGAGGTTGGTGCAAGTGCCGCTGCAGCAGTCCTCACCTGCTGGGCACTGTAACATTAATGGTCAGTGATTTTGCTTCCTTTGGCAACCGTTGATAACGCACGGTGTTTCCACAAGTACCGCAGTTACCGGGAGTGTTCTGGAGGTTGGTGCAAGCGCCGCTGCAGCAGTCCTCACCTGCTGGGCACTGTAGCATTAAGGGTCAGTGAGTTCGCCTCTGTTAGCAACAGATGATAACGCACAGTGTTTCCACAAGTACCACAGTTACCGGCAGTGTTCTGGAGGTCGACGCAGGCTCCACCACAACAGGTCAGGCCGGGCGCGCACTATCGAGCACCAGTTAGTCGTCGTCTCAAAATATGCGGTCTGTGGCCGTCTTACACATTGCCCGTTACAAGAAGAAGAAGGAGGATCACAATCTGTCTGACAGGTAAGGGTGCCTGATGAGCAAGTGGATATAGATCCAGCAGGGCACTATCGAAACGTGAGAATTCATCATATTAGCAAGAAGAACAGCGACAGAGCCAAGAAGGTTGGGTTAAGCTCACAGTGTTTCCACAACTTCTACAGTTACTTGCATCGGTATCAAGGTTGACGCAGGCCCCATTACAACAGGTCAGGCCAGACGCGCACTATCGAGCACCAGTTAGTCGTCGTCGCAAAATATGCAGTCTGTGGCCATCTTACACATTGGCCGTTGCAAGAAGAATCAGGACCACAATTTGCTGGCACACAAATGCAGCCACTATTTCATATTAGCTTTCAGATGGCTCTACAATCCAGGATTTAACGATCGAGAAAGAGACTAACGGCGTAGTTTGCCTAAGAACAAGTCCAAGTAAACTAGGAGATCCACTCCCGTTGTCGCAGTAGCCAGATTGATCGCCTAATCTCCGACACTTTAATGAACCAGTGTGTTAGTATCAGCGACCTCTTTGGGTACCCGGAATCTTACCTTGGCGTCACAAGCGGCCGGGTCGCAACCACCACCACCCCCTCCACCCCCAACCCCAACCCCAATGTCTCCAATATCACCACCCCCAGTGTCAATACCAATTCCACCACCATCTCCATTGCCAATATTGTTACCTCCGTGGGAAATCTTGTCTCCACCCCTCGGTCCACCCCGCTTTTCTACAGCTTCTTCTCCAGTGAGCGCAGTGACAACAGAGCAGCACAAAAGGGTGAGAAGAGAAAATCGCATTTTAGAGAAGGCGTCGTTTGCTAAAGACGATAGAAAATAAAATTGGTTAATGCCGTCGTACTGGTCGTTAGACTAGAAACAGCCTGTCTTGCTTCTTAGGTAATATATTCAGCGCCTTTCTACGGGTATTTATTAAATAACGTTCCTTACTATAAATAAAGCGCTTAGAAATGCTGCCTAGAATGTGAATTATTTACTTTTATTCTACACGAACAGCAATCACGTAGAAGTCAAGGAGCTTATGGTATGTGCTTAGATTCCGGCAAAATATTCCGGCAATCAGAATAGAGTCATGTGGGATCTGGTTGGTCCCGTGGGTCCCCTCGCCTGGCTGTTATATTCAGGAACACCCTCTCAAACTACAAGGACCTATATTCTAGTAAAGTGTATTAAATATCTCAAGCATCTATTTTCTCTAATAATAATGCTTTAGGTTATGGATAATTTGTTAGTCCAATAGTTAGCAAATTAACGCTATATTTGCCAGGAAGAAAAGCGCTGTAAGATTAGACAGCTAATTTGCACTTTACCTCTCTCACAGTCTATAGTAATTTAATAAGGAGTTAGAATTGTAGGTGTAAAATTCGAACACAAAGATTTGGCCGGGAGCACCCTGGGCCGCTAATTAGATCCCACATAAATCAATTCTGACTGCCAAAATATGTTGCCGGAACCGTGGCGCATACCATAAATCTCTGGTATGCCAGAAAATAAAGTTCAAGTTTTCACATTCCAGGAAATATGTCTAAGCGTTTTAATCATAATAAATTACAAAACTTAGACAGTTTATGAATGGCCATGGGCACACGATTTAGCTGAGAAAGTAGCGTATTGTTCTTCTTTACCACGAGCAGTGTGACGGGTTCAAACTGATATTCTCTTCCACCAAATTCTTAACCGTCTTAAGCAAACGCCTCTGAAAAATGCGTTTCTCTCTTCTAACCCTTTCGTGCTGTGCTGTTGTCACTGCGCTCTCCGGAGAAGATGCCCTGGAAAAGTGGGGTGGACCTAGAGGTGGAGGCATCTCCCACGGCGGTAATAATATTGGCAATGGGGATGGTGGTGGGATTGACATTGACACTGGGGGTGGTGACATTGGGGACCTTGGGGTTGGGGTTGGGGGTGGAGGGGGTGGTGGTGGTTGCGACCCGGCCGCTTGTGACGCCAAGGTAAGATTCCGGGTACCCAAAGAGGTTGCTGATACTAACATACTGATTCAATTAAGTGCCGGGGATTAGGTGACCTATCAGGTTACTGCGACAACGGTAGCGGATCCCCCAGTGTACTTGGCCTTATCCTTGGACAAACTACGCCGTTAGTCTCTTCTCGATCGTCTTGGGATTGCGGAGCCATCTGAAAGCTGATATGAAACTGAAGCTGTATCTGTGTCCCAAACCCGCCAGATTGTGATCCACCTTCTTCTTGTAGCGGGCAATGTGTAAGACGGCCGCGGACTACATTTTGTGACGACGACTAATTGGTGCTCAATAGTGCGCGTCCGGCCTGACCTGTTGCAATGGAGCTTGTACCGACCTCGATAACGATCCAAGAAACTGTGGAAGTTGTGGGAATACTGTAAGTTCGGCCTAACCTTCGCACTTCTAAGAGCTTTGCTTTTCTGTCCATGTTATTGTTACTAATGTGGTCTATTCTCGCGCTACAATAGTGCTCTGCTGGATCTGAACCGGGTTGCTCATCAGGAACCCTTACCTGTAACATAGTTATGTAGCAGCAGAGGCCAGATGGAGGGGGCCCCATTAAGACCTTAGTCGGATGCGCTGGTAGGAGTTAGTATGAGATAGTTACCTTGTTAGCTTTTGCTAGTCACGGCTCGTTATCGGCTCAGGATCAGGGGAATCTATTCCTGACGGAGCCCGTTTCTGTCTGGGAGCTACTGCGTATGGAGCACTACTGCTTATGGAGAATTACTGCGCATGGAAATCATCCTTCGGCTGTTAACCATAGCTCATCGTGCTATATTCTCGATAAAGTAACTTGTACTTTTGAGATAATGGTTGTATGAAATCGATGAACAGGGATGGGAAAATAAATCTTATTTGCAAAGATTCTTGTTCTGGTGAAAGTTCCGTTTTGGCCTCAGTAGAATTCGAAAATAGTTTACCCATAATTTTCATAAAAGATGTTCCGTACCAAGAGACGTTGATATTTATAGTAGGGCGTAGAGGTTCGGGGTGTATTAACGATACAAGTGTAAAAACGATACAATCTTTATTGACAGTGATGGTCCACAAAATCCAAGATATAGGCTAGAGGATCTTGGAAATTAGGGCTTGAGAAACAATCAAAGTGTGTAAGTGGGGAACCAGTTTCGAGACGTACTGTACAGCAACGAGTCTAGACCAATAGACTAGAAGGCGATTTCGAGAACGGCTGTATGAGTGAGACCGATTGCAAGACGATAGAATAAGAGAAAACCTATTCTAGGGGAACTGGAAAAGACCTTGAGTGTGCAGTGGTTGCTATTACTGCGATATAAAACTGTTGTGTTGTGTGCCGAGCGGGAACTAACCCCGGACCGATGGCGGACCCACCCGCGGGGTTCAATTGAGAAACTCGCGATACAGAAGTGAACATGTGATCCGAATGAAATAGCGGACGAGGGGGGTTGAACACTCAGTGGATGACCTCAAAAATCCACCCGCTGCCCTCCCGTTTCACCACCCTCCCGTTTCACCACCCTCTCGTTTCACCACCCTCTCTGTTGATTTATAAAGTGATGCTTCAACGTTCATGTTATTGAGGGGAGTTCATTGTGTGTTGTCTTGCATATATCTAAGATACAAGTAAGTTGAGAGATTGGTATACATGTATGCATGCACGTGATCACAGCCCCATTATTATCTCAGCAACCGGGATATCCCTTTTCACCACCCTCCCTTTTCACCACTCCTTTATCGTAGAAACACTGGGAAAATAATTAGTTGAAGTAGACGGACAGACTCATTTTTAGCGAGCCGTTGAGGAAAATTAAATCTTTTCTAGAAAATGTTGGAAGAATAGATTAGTGAAGCGTTGAAAAATTAGTTACTGAAAGTCGTTGAAAAATCCATTTTAAAAGACTACTAACACGGAGCCGATGAAAGTCGCTGAAAAAATTATTGAAATTGACTTTTCGAAGTAGACAATGGCATTTTTGAGAAATGGCAATGTTCTTCAACGATCGGTTTCAACGACTTCTGGCATCAATTCTCTCAGATTCTTCCATTTGCCACTCTCTCCAACGACTGCCTGAGACGATTACGATGAATCAAATCCTCCAACGATTTTTGGACTATTCCCTTCACCTACTTCCTATACATGTCAAGAATTTCAACGAATTTCTGAGACTAATATTTCTAACTTCTGACCAGCCCCTTCAACACCTTTCTCACCTACTCGCTACGCCAATTTTTCAACAACTCAAAATTTGATTATACTAAAGATTCTCTCGAATTGGCTACTTCAACGTCTTCTTCCAACGACTTCCTCCAACCGCTACTCCTCGGAGTTTTTAAAATTAAATCGTCCAACGTTTGTTTTATTTATTAAACAATTCTATAACGCAAAATCTTCTAACAAACCCCTCCGTTGATACCTTCAACAACCCCTTCAACGATCCCCTCCAGGTATTTTCAACGACTTCTAAATTGAATGCTCCGATATCATTCAACTATTTCTTCAACGCATTTTAGATTTTATAATTTCGATGACTACGTAAAATTCCTTTCCCTCAATGGCCCCAAAAAGTCTTCTCAAGTTAATGGCTGGAAAAGCCGACGAGGCGCACTTGGGGGGGATGACACCGATTTCCGAAACACTGTATCACGAATCAACACAAAGAGTCGATTTTGCTAGATTAGGAGCCATGGTTCCTTGCACCGCCCTTGGAAGTACCAACTAAGAAACCCAGGTGAGGAAACATGACGTGGGGCATATTAGGTTGCAGCTTCTTGTCTTACAGGTAATAAACATTTGTCAGCGTATGCTGTGGTAACTTACCACTAGCAAGCGATTGGTTACCCAGGAACCCGCATTTCTTTGTGTTTTGTATGGTAAATTGGTTCAGCCCGCAACCTCGGTGTAGTAACCACCGAGTATTTGCACATACATGGGGTATTTCAACCTGCCCTCGATCGCATGTCTATCTTTCTAATCAATCCTTTTTATCCTAAAATTGATTCCGCTTGATCTCATTCGCCCTGAATGCATACTAGTCCATACACTTTTAGCTTGTTCTGATAAGATCTAATACAGAACCTATTTTTATGCTGTTATTTACAACCGTACTGGATTACTGCCAAGAGAGGGGTTCAGGGGTAGAGTAACTGTAATAGGTATAGCGTTTTTCGAAGGAGGGTTCGACAAAGAATCTCTGAGAGTAAATGCTAATTTCTATCCATCCTGTAGTTCAAAATCTATATGAACTTTACCAGTCCCACTGAACGTGACAGCTTTGGAAAGATTGCTTTATGGAGCTGCCATTCTGAAAACACCACCTTGAGTTGCTGATTGAATGAAGCACCTGTCGCACTCATTCTACGTGAAATATCAGAGTATTGATGAAAGCGGCTTTAACATATAGTCTCGTAAGTGAGTAAAATTGAAAATAGGTAGACGGGATAATAAACTATATACGTAAGTTTGTATGGAAATTTCTGAGATTCTTCATCGGCCCTTTCACATGTCCGGCCACAGCTGCTTATCCAAATTGATTTGCATCCGGCAGTGCGACATAGAGGATCGATTTTGCAAAGTAACTGCGCTGTGGACCAGCAGTAAGTACATATAAGGAGGTTACAAAGCTTTTAGAAGAGCAATACGGTACAATTATTCGTTTATAGGGTATTCACTTAGCCGTTATAGTCTACTCGTTCTTCAAATAGATTATTCTCTATTTATTCCCCTTGATCATTCTCTCGTCCTTAATTCGATATTTATACACCGGCAAGGCGGATAGAAAGGGTAGATCGTACATTAAAACGGCGCACCACTTCACGAATCGAAGAGAGTGCTTTATTCTTAAAAGGCTAGATAACTAACAAGATCCTATCCTCTTGCTTTATTGAAATTTTTAAGGATTAAGTGCTAATTGGTGGCATGGTGGGTGGTTGAAGAAGAAAGGTTTAAATTAATTGACGCGTTTCCGGTGGCGTGGCCAGCTTGGTAGTGAATTATGTTAATATCCCGCAGGAAAGGATGCCTGATGAGCAACCGGGTATAGATCCAGGAACAGGAAGGCACTATCGAAGCGTGATAATATATCATGTTAGCAATAAGAACAGCGACAGAGCCAAGAAGGTTAGGTTAAGCTCACAGTGTTTCCACAACTTCCACAGTTACTTGCATCGGTATCAAGGTTGACGCAGGCTCCATCACAACAGGTCAGGCCGGACGCGCACTATCAAGCACCAGTTAGTCGTCGTCGCAAAATGTGCAGCCTGCGGCCGTCTTACAGGAGGATCACAATCTGGCGGGTTTGGGACACAGATACAGCCTCTATTTCATATCAGCTTTCAGATGGCTCTGCAATCAAGGACGATCGAGAAAGAGACTAACGGCGTAGTTTGTCCAAGGATAAGTCCAAGTAAACTGGGAGATTCGCTACCGTTGTCACAGTAACCTGATTGGTCACCTAATCTCCGGCACTTGATTGAATCAGTATGTTAGTATCAGCAACGTCTTCGGGTACCCGGAATCTTACCTTGGCGTCACAAGCGGCCGGGTCGCAAACACCCTCACCACCCCCTCCACCTCCACCCCCAACCCCAACCCCAATGTCTCCAATGTCACCACCTCCAGTGTCAATGTTAATCCCACCACCAACCCCATTTCCAATGTTGTTTCCCCCGTGGGAAACCTTACCTCCACCCCTAGGTCCTGCCCACTTTTCTCGAGCTTCTTCTCCAGTGAGCGCAGTGACCACAGCACCGCACAAAAGGGTTAAAAGAGCGAAACGCATTTTACAAAGGCGCTTTCTCGAAACGATAAAAAATTTAGTAGGAAGACATTATCAGTTTGAACCGGTCGTAATGGTCGTGGTAAGGAAAACAAATTTGTTCAATCCTTAGTGGAGGGTGTGTATATATAGAGTGCTTACGGTCAATCTTTCACTGTATAGCTTTTGTTATTTTGATTAAAATGCTTAGACAAGTTCCCTGGAATGTCAATAACTTCAATTCTCTGGAAGGTCAAGGGTTTATGGTATGTGCACAGAGTCCGGCAGAATGTTCCGGCAACTTGAATCGAGTTACGTGGGATCTGATTGGCCCCCTGTAGCGTCTTTGTGTCAATGCGACTTGCGCTTGCTGGATACATTATAGTGAAAACATACAATGTGCCCATACCAGGAGGGGGGGGGGCGGGTCGGCCCTAAAAAATAACATTCGAAGCGGATCTGACCGCTCGTTCCTATACACTTTCGGGCCTAACGCGACAGGACGCCAAGACTACCGCCAATCTTGCGTATAACCATTTCTAGGGCGCTTAGGAATGATGATATATCCGACGTTTATAAATCATAATAATGTACGCTTCTACTAGACGGAGGTTACTACCAGCCATATACCTACGATCATAGACATAGTTAGGTGCTCATACAAGCCTAATGTCTATCCCTCGAAGTATCCTGAAGGCCTCTCCTAGACCAGTTGAGCAAAAGAATGTTACCTTATCGTCCGTATAACTAGAGAGAATGTGAGTGATTTACATTCTAGGAAACATATCCAAACATTGCATTTGTGATACAAAACTTAGACAGTTAATGAATGACCGTAAGCGCAGTCATATAACCGCTTTCGCTGAGAGGGTAGGACAAATTGTTCTTTTCTACCACAAACGGTACGACGGGTTCAAACAGACCTTCTTTTCCTACCAAATTTTTGATCGTTTGGAGAAAACGCCTTTGCAAAAATGCGTTTCGCACTTCTTTCCTTTTTTGCTGCGCTGTGGTCACTGCTCTCACTGGAGAAGAAGCTCGAGAAAAGTGGGCAGGACCTAGGGGTGGAGGTAAGGTTTCCCACGGGGGAAACAATATTGGAAATGGGGTTGGTGGTGGGATTGACATTGACACTGGGGGTGGTGACATCGGGGACATTGGGGTTGGAGTTGGGGGTGGGGGTGGAGGGGGTGGTGGGGGTGTTTGCGACCCGGCCGCTTGTGACGCCAAGGTAAGATTCGGGGTACCCGAAGACGTTGCTGATACTAACATACTGATTCAATCAAGTGCCGGAGATTAGGTGACCAATCAGGTTACTGTGACAGCGGTAGTGGTCCTCCTAGTTTACTTGGACTTGTTCTTGGGCAAACTACGCCGTTAGTCTCTTTCTCGATCGTTAAATCCTGGATTGTAGAGCCATCTGAAAGCTAATATGAAATAGTGGCTGCATTTGTGTGCCAGCAAATTGTGGTCCTGATTCTTCTTGCAACGGCCAATGTGTAAGATGGCCGCAGACTGAATATGTTGAGACAACGACTAACTGGTGCTCGATAGTGCGCGTCCGGACTGACCTGTTGTAATGGGGCCTGCGTCAACCTTGATACCGATGCAAGTAACTGTGGAAGTTGTGCAAACACTGTGAGCTTAACCCAGCATTTTTTACTCTGTCGCTGTTCTTTTGCTAATATGATAAATTCTCACGTTTCGATAGTGCCCTGCTGGATCTATATCCACTTGCTCATCAGGCACCCTTACCTGTCAGACAGATTGTGATCCTCCTTCATCTTCTTGTAGCGGGCAATGTGTAAGACGACCGCAGACTGCATATGTTGAGACAACGACTAACTGGTGCTCGATAGTGCGCGTCCGGACTGACCTGTTGCAATGGGGCCTGCATCGACCTCCAGAACACTCCCGGTAGCTGTGGAGCTTGTGGAAGCATTGTGCGTGATCACTCGTTACCAATGGAGGTGAAATATCTGACCCTTAATATTTTAGTGCGCAGAAGGTGAAACTTGCTGCAATGGAGCCTGCACCAACCTCCAGAACAGTCCCAATAACTGTGGTACTTGTGGGAATACTGTGAGTTATCAACTGTTATACTACTAGAGATTTGCTATTTTGTCGATGTCTCATTTCTAACGTGTTCAATTCTCACGCTTCTATAGTGCGCTGCTGAATTCACTTGCTCAGCGGGCGCCTGCATATGCACGACCTTCGAAGGTTTCCAGCCGCAGGCAACATTCCCCGTGGGGTCCCGTCCAAGGAGTGTCGCAGTGGGCGACTTCAACGAAGACGGCAATCTCGATATCGTGGTTGCCAATGCCGACAGCGATTCAGTGAGTGTCTTGCTTGGAGATGGATTGGGGAGCTTCCAGCCGCAGGCCACATTCGGCGTGGGGTCCTCTCCGTTCAGTGTCGCAGTGGGCGACTTCAACGAAGATGGCAATCTCGATATCGTGACTTCCAATATCGGCGACAGTTCAGTAAGCGTCTTGCTTGGAGATGGATTGGGGAGCTTCCAGCCGCAGGCAATATTCCCCGCGGGAAACGGTCCGCAGGGTGTTGCAGTGGGCGACTTCAACCAAGATGGCAATCTCGATATCGTGACTGCCAATCCCGGCGACAACACAGTGAGTGTCTTGCTTGGAGATGGATTGGGCAGCTTCCAGCCGCAGGCAACATTTCCTGTGGGCAACAGACCGCATAGTGTCGCAGTGGGCGACTTCAACGAAGATGGCAATCTCGATATCGTGACTGCCAATGTCAATAGCAATTCAGTAAGTGTCTTGCTTGGGAAGCCTTGCGATGCTTAAAACTGCCCTGGTGATCGAGTATATGCGTGGATGTCTCATCGTCTTTGTGACATGCTGTTGGTTTCCCGTTGGAGCTTTGGATGCGAGTTGGAACTTAGGACGCGGTTTGAGAATTCTGCTTAGAACGTGCCTTGGAATTTGCTTTCAGAAACCTGCATCTATGGTCTTGGAAACCTTCAGGACTTGAGGACTTCAGGCTTAGATAATAATTTCCAACTCTATGCGGTCCGAACCCACATCACTTATCTTGGTCGATTGAGCTCAGTCCCTCCACCAGTAGATGCATATAATTGTTGTCAGCTTCTTTGAAGAGATTAATCACGGCCTCATTCTCAGCTTCCAGTGCCCATATCAACGGAGTCTTGGAGAATTTGACTTCTGTCCCATCACAGATGTCAATGTCGACTTTTTCCATCGCTCCATTGTCTTCTAAGAAACATGACTCGATTTCAACATCACCATATTGAGATGCCCATGAGAGCCAAGTTCGGCCGCTCTCGTCTTTTTATTGGGATTAGGCAAAATCATGGTCAAAAAATTCACATTCAATGGATTTGCCGCTCTGTTAAGTCTTAGCTGCCCCAAAGTACAAGGTGACCTCATAGCAAAGCTTGCCTGGCTCGGAGGAACCACCAAAAACCCGTATGACCGTTTCCGTCACACACGTGAGGATCTGCTCCGTTTTTGATGAGGTTGATCATTATCTGAATTATTTGACGCTCGGCAGCATATGAAAACGGGGTACGGCCATACTCGTCTTGTTGGTTGACCCGTATTTCAGGGTGATCAAGTAAGAACTTTACTGCTTGTGCGTGAGAATTCGCAACAGCCAAGAAAGGTGGTGTCAACTTATGCTCATTCTTCGCATTGACTTCTGCATTTGACTCGAGTAACTGCTTGATGATAGTGTCTTCACCAATAATGGCTGCAATCATGAGAGGAGTTCGGTTCTCCGCATTGCGAGAGTCAACGCAGATCCTTGAGGTTTCCAACAAGATTTCGACGGCTCTGTTGTTTCTTATTTCAACGGAGCATGCCAGTGCCGTTCGATAAACCTCGTCAACCAAGTTTACATCTGCTCCTCCATTGATAAGTATCCGCAATATTTCAGCACATAGAAATTCTGCAGCTAGCAATATCAGAGGCTTCTTTGTTGGTGGATTTTCAGCAGAGAAATTCTTAATTTCCAGCAGGATATCGACATGCGGGAGATAAGCTTCGAATAGCCACTCAAACAGCGGAGGCCACTGTATCTCATCAAGTGCATCCAAATTTGCCCCTGTATCGATGAGAAGTCTGGTCATCTCGATATGACCAACTTCTGCGGCCATGGATAGTGGCGTTCGCCCTTTGACCCGATGATTGGCTAGGCTCTCATCAATTTCCAGTAACAGCTGGGCTGTTACTATGTCTCGTTGAAAGATTGACCAGATCAGAAGGTCACGTTCAACATGAAAGATCTTTCTGCGCTTAGCTTTCGCATCGATCAAATACCTTATTATTCTGACATCCCAGCTTCTGCAGCAACAATCAATGGAGTTCGACCAGTCAAATCTCGCTGTTCACCGTCGACACTCTCAATCGAACGCACATATCTTATTGTCTCGTCACGGCGACTTGAGACCGCTTAGAAAAGGGGTGTCCAGCCTTTTAGATCTGTCGAGTTGATCGCCGCATCGGAGTCGACCAGAACTTTCACATGATCGAGTTGTCCAAGCTCTGCCGCGAAGGATAACGGAGTACGACAATCATTATCTTTTTGGTCAACATGAGCGCCGTGGCTTATCAAGGCCCTCAATGAATTGGGCTGTGGACATTCTACGGCGGAAAACATGCACGTCCGGCCGTCAGCGTCGCGAAAATTCACATCGATTCTTTCGTGTTGCAAAAGTACGTTGAGCACTTTCAGTTCTGATATCGCTTTCACCAAGGGCGAGATGCCCTCGATTTGAAAGTTGATCTCAAGGAAGGAGTTCCTCATATATCTGTCAAGCCTTTTGATATTCTTCTTTAGTAGTCTCGGTTTCTTTATGATAGAGATGATTGTATAAAGGAAGTCTTTCTGAAGTCGAGCTTGGGCAATAGCGTCTTGGGAACTGTTTCTTCCGGACAAGCCCTCCATTTTCAGATGAAAATCCTTCGAAGCAGTAGCAAAAAATCTTTTTCGATGAGTGAGCGTTGATGAAGCCTATCGAACTTGAGGCTCGCTGCCCAGGTTGTGGAGGGGAGTTGGCTTTGCTGCCTAATTCGGTGCCTAATTCACTGTCAGGCTGGCTTATTTTAAATAGCATAGTGCCAATGGCCATAGCGCGTTGATAGGTCAAAGCTGCCGATCTACATATATTAGTCAGCAGACATGTTTGTTGGAAGGTAACTAGTTAATGCCTCGGTGTGTTCATAGTATTCATAGAGAGACGGGAACTCAGAAAAATGAGGTGGAATACTCTGGCTGTCATGTTTACTTTATCTTATGGTTTAATGCAAGCGATGGTGGTTGTTCAGAGTGTCAATGTACATTGGTAGATAGAGATCCAAATAGACGGCCCCAAACTTGTTTTTATTATATTTTGTATTCACTGTAAGATACAATTCCAATAAGCACTAGTCGGCTGGTGAAAAGCTCTCATTTGCTGCCTTCGAACCGTTTCAGTGAGATAAAAGCAATGGTTTCTGACTAAAACAGAACTTAACTCCTCCTAAGTACCGCAAGGCTTCCCAAGTAACACGCTGATTGTAAAGTCACGCCTATTTGCAGCCACGATATCGGGATAAGTATCTTCGTTAAAGTCACCCACTGCAACACCCCATGGCTCAGCCCCTACAGCGAATGTTTGCTGAGGCTCGAAGGTCCCCGATCCAGTACCCAGAAAAACACCTAATGAATTGCTGCCGACAGCACTATTCGCAATAACCATATCGAGATTGCCATCCTTGTCGACGTCGGCTAGTGCAATGCCATACGGCTGAGGCCCTGCAGGAAATGTAGTCTGCGCCCCGAAGGTCCCAGAGCCAGTCCCAAGTAATACGCTAACTGTATCTCCGTTGAAATTTGTAGCCGCTATATCGAGAATGCCATCCCCATTAAAGTCGCCCACGTTAACATTAAGCGGCGTAGCCCCCACAGGATACGCAGTCTGTGGCAGGAAATCCCCTGTTCCAGTCCCAAGCAAGACGCTCACCGTATCGTCACCAACATTCGCAACCACAACATCAAGATGTCCATCCGCGTTGAAGTCTCCCACCGCAATAGCAACAGCTTGGGATCCCACAGTAAATAAGGTCGGTGGTCCGAAGTTCCCTGAACCATCCCCAAGTAAGAGAGTCATTTCATTACCATTACTTGCAGCCACAATATCAAGATTGCCATCTTCGTCAAAGTCACCCACTTCAATACTCGGTGCATTACCGAGTCCTGGAAATGTGTTATGCAGCTGGAAAGTTCCTGATCCAGTATTGAGCAAGATACTCAGTGTGCCAACGGCGGAATTCGTAGCCGCAATATCGAGATACCCATCTCCGTTAAAGTCACCAAGTGCAACATCCGCTGGCCCTGATCCAACGGGGTACACGGTCTGTGTCTGGAAGCTTCCCGATCCAGTTCCCAGCAAGACGCTTACTGAGGCGCCACCACCATTTGCAGTGACGATGTCGATATGGCCATCCTTGTTGAGATCGCCCAGTGCAACAGCGGACGGAAAGCGGCCCACGGCGAATGTGGTCTGTAGTTGGAACCCTTGGAATATTGTGCAGGTGCAGCTGCCTGAAGAACATGTTTCTCCGGTAGGGCACTATGAACAGAGAGAATGCACGTTAGCTAGAACATCCACAAAATAGCAACCCTCCAGGGTGTGAGGATAGATCAATCTCACAGTGTTTCCACAACTCCCACAGTTATCAGTGCTGCTCTCGAGGTCGACGCAGGTTCCATCGCAACAAGTCAGACCGGACGCGCACTATCAAGCACCACTTAGTCATAATACAAGACGTAGTTAGTCTGCGACAGCCTTACACATTGCCCATTACAACGAGAAGAATCGTCACAATCTTTTGGTACACAAACGCAGGACCTATTTATATCAGCTTCAGATGGTTCTGTAACCCCGATCGAGAAAGTTACTCACGAAGTACTTTGTCCAATAAGAAGACCAAGTAAATTAGGAGATTCGCTACCATCGTCGTCGCAATAGCCTGATTCGTAGCCTTGTTTCTGACACTTCAATAAATCAGAATGTTAGCACCAGCATGCACCCATGAATCCTACTAGGATAATACCTTGTCATTACAATGGTCCGGGTCACAACCGCCGTCCCCACCTCCTCCCACTCCAACTCCGATATCTCCAATATCACCGCCCCCAGTGTCAATGTTAATCCCACCACCATTCCCATTGCCAATATTGTTACCTCCATGGGAAATCTTCCCACCTCTAGGCCCACTCCATTTTTTGGGGGCTTCGTCTGCAGTGAGGGCAGAGACAAGGCCACAAGAAAAAAGTATTAGAGAGAAACGCATTTTGATGCGCTTCCTTTGCGATAAACAATATTGTCGGGAAACAATGTCAAGTCGAAGTCGTCGTCCTACTCACGAGAAGAAAATTAATTCACGCCTCCTTCAATGATGGGGGTTTTATACTACAGTAAGTGTTTTCATAATCCTTAATTTTCAGTTTAGACGCTATCTCTAGAATGAAGATCACTCATTCTCTGGGGTTAATGGTATGTTCACAGATGCCGGCAAAGTTTTCCAGCGAGATACGTGGAATTTGATTGATCGCCAATGTGTGTTCCTAGTCCAGGGGGCGTGTCCCAGGTGAAGAAATTTCGGGACCTATTAAGTTAATTAGGGGTTTAATAAGTTGATACTGTGTTTTGCTAGGTTGAATTATGAAATGGTAACTCTGGAAAGGCTAGTAGTATAAGTAATTAAGAAAATGTATCATTACACCTCTAAAAATATACTCTAGCATGCCCACCATGGCGTAGTCCCAATTCAAGCGTCCTAACTCTAGCACTTCTAACTTCGCAACACGCCACCGAATGGCACCAAACCTCAAGAGTCAAGACCTGGCAGCGTAAAGCCATTGTTCATATTACCCAGTCTAACTTTTGGTATTATGATTAAAATTGTTAGATATGTTCCCTGGAATGTGAAGAACTTAATTCTTTTAGAAGTCCAGGGTTTATGGTATGCACATAAATCCCGGCAAAACTTTCCGGCAACCAGAATAGAGTTATGTGGGATCTGATTGGTCGCCTGTGCGTTCTCCCGGCCTGGCTATTATGACTGGGAAACGCCTAATCCCCATCAAATCTTAAGAATTCGTGTTTTTTCTCCTGCGTTCGCAACCCCTTCATCCAACTTTTATCGAGTGTGACAGAGACGATGTGCAAATTAGGAAGAGGCAGCGAATTTTATTCTATCAAGAACATCATAATATATTCTTATTCTTTAATCTCATGGCAGCTTCCGTTCAGCGAGAAAGAAAATCCTAAGAACGGTGGATAGTATTAACTGTTAAAGTTCAGATGAATGATTACTCTTACCGATTTCAGCGAATACATAAGGCTATATATACAGCGAGGGGACCAGGCTGAAAGTCATCCTCGTGCTTGATATATATATCTCGGGAATTATTTCTCAGCTGCAAATCAAATCAAGTGATGAAGAGGCTCTATAATGCCCCAATATTGGTGTCAAATCGAAAGTTGATCGAGTATGGTCTTCACTGCTTCTGCGTGAGAATTCGCAACAGCCAAGAAAAGTGGTGTCAACTTATGCTCATTCTCCGCATTTTCCCCAGCTTTTGACTCGAGTAACTACTCGCTGATAGTGGCTTCGATAATAATGGCTGCAATCATGAGAGTGGTTCGGCTCTCCGCATCCCGAGAGTCTACGCAAATCCCTGGGGCTCCCAATAAGATTCCGACAGCAATGTTGTTTCTCATTTCAACGGAGCATGCCAGTGCCGTTCGACCAACCGCCTCAACCGAATTCACATCTGCTCCTCCATTGATAAATACCTGCAAGATTTCAACACGCTGAAACTATGCAGCAAGCAACATCAGAGGGGTTTTGTTGGTGGATTTTCAGCAGAGAAATTCTCAATTTCCAGCAATATATATTCATGTGAGAGAAAAGTTTCGAATAGCCACTCACACAGCGAAGGCCACCGTATTTCATCAAATGCATCCAAATATGCCCCTGCATCGACGAGAAGTCTGGTCATCTCAATATGATCAAGTTCTGCGGCCATGGATAGTGGTGTTCGCCCTTTGACCCGGTGATTGGCTAGGCTCTCATCAAACCCCAGTAACAGCTGGGCTGTTAGGATGTCTCGTTGAAAGATTGATCAGATCAGAAGGTCACGTTCAACATGAAAGATCTTTCTGCCCTTCGATTTCGCATCGATCAAGTATCTTATGATTCTGATATCCCCAGCTTCTGCAGCAAAAACCAATGGAGTTCGACCGGTCAAATCTCGGTGTTCATTATCGATATTCTTAATCGAAAGCAAATATCTTATTGTTTCGCCACGGCGGCTTGAGACCGCCCCTCCAGCCTTTTAAATCAGTCGAGTTGATCGCCACGTCGGAGTCGACCAGAACTTTTACATGGTCGAGTTGCCCAGGCTCTGCCGCAAAAGATAACGAAGTACGGCCATCATTATCTTTCTGGTCAATATGAGCGCCGTGGCTTATCAGTGTCCTCAATGAATTAGTCTGTGGACATTTCACGGCGGAAAACATACACGTTCGGCCGTCAGCGTCGCGAAAGTTCATATCGATTCTCTCGTGCTGCAAATTACGTTGAGCACTTTCAATTCTGATATCGCTTTCACCAAGGGCGAGATGCTTTCAATTTGAAATTTGATCTCAAGGAAACTGTTCCTCATATATATGTCAAGCTTCCTGATATTATTCTTAAGCAGTTTCGGTTTCTTCATGATAGAGGTGCTTGTATGAAGGAAGTCGCGCTGAAGCCGACTTTGGGCAATAGCGTCTTGGGAACTATTTCTTTCGGATAAGCCCTCCATTTTCAGATGCAGATTCCTCTAGTCAGTAACGAAGAATGTATTTCAATGAGTGAGTGTTGATGAAGCTTATCGAACTTGAGGCTCGCTGCTCAGGTTGAGGAGAGAGCGGAGTTGGCTTTACTGCCTAATTCGGTACCTAATTCAGTGCCAGTTTGGCTTATTTTAAAGAGCTTAGTACCAATGGTCATAGCGCGTTGAGTAGGCCAAAGCACTTCGCACGCGGCCGATTCAATTACAAGTGTTAGTTCAGAAAAAAATTCTCGAGCAATTATAATTTGCTACCGTATCAAGCGTCATTGGATAGATTCTAATTCAACTGCAATAAGATTACATCCAGAGTCTCCTATAAGCTACTACTATATATCTGGACATAGTGGTTGTCCCATTTCAACAAAAAATTTCTTCTCAAAGCCAAGATCAGCTGACACAAATGAATGGGCTAAGCAAAGACTCCGTCCGTGGTAGGTTACTATCGGCCAAGCGCTCACGCAAACGCATAACCGACTGGGTGCTTTCCCGAGAAACTTTATCAAAGCCGTGTCTCTATAGCGACGCGAACTCTGAAATATTAGTTAGATGAGCATGGCGTTTGTGTATGATTTATTTGATAGATTGAAGGCAAATGATGGTGATTATTTAGATTGTTTAAATGTACACTAGCAAAGAAAGATACAAATAGACGCCCCCAGATATTGTTTTGATCAAATTGGTATGCACTGTAAGATACACTTCCAATAATCACTAGTCGGCTAGTGAAAAGCTCTCCTTTGTTGCCTTTGAACAGCTTCGGTGAGATAAAAGCAATGGTTTCTGACTAAAACAGAACTTAACTAGGCTTTCAATCCGTGATTATCTTGCATATGTCGGCGCAGGCCCATTTCATGTTCAACAGCCTCATTGCACTGATTGCATTGACGGTCATTCAAGTGTGAGCCTCTAAAATGACGCAGAAGATGCTTATGGCGAGAGTAGTGTTTCATTCCGTAGCATTGAAAGCATTCAAATGGTTTCGTATCATCTCTCGTTGGGGCTTCTCCTCTCGATGTTCTTTCCTCTGTTGACAAAGAGGGTGCTCCGGTGACAGTACGGGGCGAATCATTGCGCATACTTGTATGATTCCTTGTAGAAATCGCTTGTTTCGTATATCGTCGACCTCGGCGTGGCCCCCCCTTCGAGAACATCGCAATACATCCGAACAGCCTCAACAGCCTCGTTTCGACGTGTCCACTCTGCCTCCACAGATAGAGTCGTCGGCCAGGTTGTCAATTTTTCCAGCAGAAAGATTTGCTTGGGGAGCATATGTTCTTCCGTAAGAAGTATCTCTTTTGTTTCTTGTTCATAGAGTGCACTTCCAGCGAGTTGCCTTTCGATGTCAATGACAGCCTGTTGGCTATCAAATTCTTCCCGCACACGCTTCCGGAGGTCGTAAATTAGTCTGTTACGCGTATTTGTGACCTTCCTTTTAAACTGGTCAAGCCTTTGGAGCTGAGTTGTACTCTTTTTCTTGCCTCGATGAAGCTTTTCGGAAAATATATCTCGTTTTTCAATTGCTTCCTTGAGCTCCGGATCCTCCTCGACGCTTGCCTTCTGCTCATCGGTGAGCTCACGAGGTCTCCGCGTGTCTAACCACCTTCCCATCCTAGTGACCGCACGCATAATTGCGGAGTCAGGCTCCAAGCCCCGCATTAAAGACTGCATGTCCGTGCCAATACGCCGTGGCAGGTAGTGATTGAGGAAAGTCCGAATGTCGGTATGTTTCATGATCAAGTTTTGTTGTGCGTCACTGACAAGCCCTACGAAAGTCAGTCTTTGAACATCGATGCCGTGCTGACCTTCATCCTAAATGTCAGGTATGAGAAAACTTACCACTTTCGTTCAAGATAGTGCCGCCGCCGTATCTGAAGCGATATGTGAATAGGCTCCATTTGAAACCAGTGATTTCTCCGAACGTTTGAAATTGGCTGGATAGTGAACTTTTCGAGATAGGTTGATCACGATGGCATTTTATAATGCCTTTGATCCCTTCAATCTTGCAGAACACATAATTCTCAGACTTTTCAGGCTTGAGTGGTATCTCCATCTGCTGCCGATCACCCTCCAAGAAGAGACGCCTCAGATCGCCCATGGAGCGAATCCCAGGTGCTCGGAAGGCGTCGTCGTAGAACAACATACCTAGCAAGAAGGTATGCGGACTTAACATCAATGATGGGTCATATATGATCTCGGGAATTAGGAAAGTATTTCTAGAAGAAAAGTTACAACGCCAGTCTCAATAATGAAAATTGTAGATGAGCTATACCCTTGTGTGATTTTTAGGTATTTCTTCGTGAACTTGTAAGTAAACTCCAGCAAGATCCGCGGCGGACCCCCCTTTAGGATCACGTTGAATTAAGCAGAGTATATGCTTGTATTGCAAATTTCGCATGGCGTTGATTCGATTCACAGTAAAGCAAGCCATCAGATTGTACAGACACTGCTGCATTCTCTGCAATCCAGTATAAAACCTTTTTTCCATAGTTCGGAGCACTGTTTCCTGGAGAGGAACCAAGTCCTCGATATACATCGGCGTCTTTTCTTTCTCTTCGGTATCCAGTCCTGCACGTAGGACAATTCTCCGAATACTCTGTACAAGAACAAATTAATATCATCATGAAAAGAGATACGGGCAGATTTAAAACCTTTCTCATCCTCCGACCCAGGCTCCCATCCATTGGTTCTTTGTTGACTTTCTCGTAATGTCGAAGAAAGTTCTTCCAATTGGTGTCCAGGGTACTAGCCTTTTTGACTCCTTTCGCCTGTCTGCCGTTCTTACCGCGCGGACTTTTAGGCGCCAGCGCAAAAACCGTGTGAATTCAGTTTTACCAGCTGCTTTCAGAGCGTTATTTGGATTTGCCCACTGGGAGTGGATGCCAATCCCGCCTTTCTTATTCTGCTTCCGACAAAATCTGTTTAGGCGTCAGCTGGGTGAATTTCATGATTGATTGCGTTTCCACATGCCTTTCCCAAAGATCGCACATCCCCGCTACATTCTCCTTGGTTGTGTCGGCATAGCCATCATCCTCACTTTCAGAGACCGTATCGTCTGTATCAATATCGGGATCAGTCTCAGAGCTGTCCTCGCTGTCGAGCCCATCGGACTCATTGGAGCTCAAGATGTTCTCCATGATATTAGCCCCCTTTTGAAGCTTGGTCGGATTGTTTTGAGATTTAGCAACTCGATATTTCGCTCTTTTATGCAAAGTTTTAGGGGCTACATCATTGTCGGAGTCGCTGCTAGAAATGGATTCTGCAGGACGCTTGCGTGTCCCATTGTCAACCTGAATAGCACGAGAGCTTTTTCTGCAATAGCGCGCTGTAGAGGGATCTGGGTTGATGAAGACACTTTCCCAGTCAGAGCTACTAGTGTCTGATTCTGTTTGAGATGATCCGGAACCTGCGCTCTCGTTGTAATCGTGGTCTCGGTTCGTTGCCATCTGTTTTTGTGAGCTGAGTGAACACAGAAATAAAAGAATGAAAATAATTACGATGGACTTCGGCTCTGGCTATTATGCGAATCCCAGTGCTAAAAAAGGCAGCCGCTGTTTGTATCGAATGGGGAATAAGTGCAGGCGCTCAGGGAGCGGTTAGACAAACGAGGTAAGTGGAGGGTGAATGCACTCCATCGGCACGACTGCAACTTATAGGGTTTCAGTAGCTGCTCGCGACGACTCATTTGCGCTGCCATGGCGCCCTTGTGGATAATCCATGTTCGGTGGCATGGAGCCGGTCTGCGCACACTCTCCAGTCTGTTAATACTCCCCAGTAATATATGCCAAAGGATTTAGAGTTAAGTCAGATGTCTCCCTATTCGTCCAATAACTAATCTACGCCAAGGCCTTGGTGATGGGCCCAAGAAGGAGTTACTCTGTGTGCATCGGTCAAGCCGATTTCGAGAACGACTGTATCAGGTCTTATGCTCTGTTTGGAATGAAAATTTTCGATATTGAAAGAAAAACGAAATTCTTAATAACAATAGCGAAAAAACTTAATAGATGTCCATACATCGCAAATAAATCTTATACGGTGCATAACCATGATAGAGAATCCGAATTCACCAGGGGTTCCCAGTAGGTTTTCCGAATATGCTAAAAGCATCCTTCCTACTTTGCATTTGGCTTTGCCGAAGCTCATCATCCCTTTTCCTGGCCAAGGTGCCTCGAGTCCACTTTTTGTCTCCTTTGCTAAAAAGTAGAGTCGAATCGAAAACGCCCCCGATCCTTTCACAACTCCATCCTGGTTTCAAAGACCAATCCAGGTGGAATATTTCTTTATCAATGCTCGATTGAAATTTTTCTGAAAGAGGATATCGTTTAGGTCTTCGCATGCGACCTTTGTCGCTGGCTTCACGTCTCCATGCTAGAATGACGAAGTTAGATCTATCAACAAATATCAAACAACTTTTGGTTGACCCACGAAATAGGATACGTAGATTTTTACCCATTTTCTCACTCTGCTTCAAAGCCCTCTAGGGATTTTGATTGATGTGAGAGATCGAAATATTTGGCAGTAATCTGGGCTCGAAGGATATGTTCGAAAGTTGGGTAACTAGTCATGCCTCGACCGAAGGAAGGCCCTTTGAAGTTAGATTCTGCTGAGATAACCGCTCTTATAAACGCCCAGAATAAAATCCCAAACACGACTTGGAGACAAAATTGGAACAATACACGAAAATGGAACAAACCCCAAAGATGGCTCCTAACACGAGATTGGAACAGAATTAACACAAAACGGGAACATGATGAGAAAATCTCTCATGATGACTGGGACTGACGTATGTATCATAATTGATACACACGTCGATATTGGTTTCTATAATTTTCAAACCGGTCCTCTTCGTGCATTCATTATTATTTACTCTACTTGAGAATCTTCAGCATAGCAAAGATACTGTAGTGAAATAATGGTTAGAGATCTGAACTCGAGATCCAGCAGAAATATTAATTTTCTCGACTAATAAACCCCGATTTTGGCTGCTTCGCAGTTCTATTTATTAATTCGACGATCTGATAATACAAGAAGAATAAAAATATATTATTTACGTTATGTACAATTTTCTGAGAGCCAAGAGAGAACTTGGCAAAATTAAAAGCCTATTTAAAGAGGGTCATGAGATCTAGGGATACGATATAAACGAGATACAATAAGACAAATAAAAACTTGAAGGATCAATACACTGAATTGTAGAGTACTTGCAAAGATTGCAGGTAGGTGGAAAATACGCAATTATAAGTTCGCTCACGAAGGCCACGTTAGTCATTTCGACTGACAAGCACATCACGATGGTGTGAATCCTGATATTCTATGATGCATCATCTGCTCATGTCAGTCAAGATGGGCAGAATGGTGATTAGGAAGTGACCCACATCGTAGAGTAAAATGAATTCCTTTTCGCATTCGTCCCACTCAAGTTTTTCATCTTTAGCTCCTCGCTCAATTTCACCATACCATCTGGACCACTCTCGTCCATCCTTAAATTTGAGAGCTGTTATACCACCAGATTTCCCTTACAGGAAACGTAAGCCCCTGAGACTATGGACTTTCACATCCACGGAATAAGAATAAGAATGTATCGGACGCCCTGGACACCTCTTCTCATGGCCAAACGCTATCAGAGTAACTGCCGTGGATTGATTGCGAATATTTTTGTACCAGCCTTTACCAAATACAAATTTAAGGTAATGACAGCTCTTTATTGGGATCCAACATTTGAGAATTTTCCACGACGGATGTACCAATTGACGGCAACTCTGTGGGCAGAGAGTGGGGTATTTTCTTGTCATTGTTTTTTGTATAGCCATCACATTTTGCCATACAACTTAAAGATTGTACGTTTTTGGGAAGCATGCTTTATCGAAGAACATAAGGCGCCTCATAATGTTTTGTAATTGTGGCCGAACATTCATATCTCCGTGTGAAGAAAGAGAATGCGGGATTGCTTTACATAAGCAATAAGCCAAAAATGGGTCCATCTTTTTCACCTCAGCTATGGAAAGAGCCTTTGAACTTTGTTCGAGCCAGTCATAGAAGCCGTTAAACAGCAATAGAGCGAATATAGAGGTATAGTCGGGTGCCTTATCGGACTTACTGTAATAATCTGCTTCTGACAATAGTTCATGGTCTACCTCATCGGTCTCGCAGTCAAATGGTGTTTTCTCACATGGTAGCATTGTAAGGTGATGGATAAATTTGGATACCAGTGGCATCGGTAGGGTAGCATTTCGAGGACAGTTGAGTGCGCAGATAGCGACCTCCCAGCAGCAAGAATGTACATATTCCCTACATGAGAAAACACGCGCATGAACTGGTGTAGTAGAGAGCAGCTGTCGGAAGTAACTCTTCCACGAGTTCTTTTCGGAGTCCGCAGGCTCGATTGGCCGGCAGCAAATACCACATATTGGGCTCCTGAAAACATTCGTTGAATCCTTTCTGGGATGACCGAGAACGCAAACATTCACAGGACCTGGGGTATGGGCGCCGTAATCTAAGCCAAGAATGTCGGATCCCGGGGTGTCGGTGTCAATATTGTAAATTGAGGTTGGTAACATGGCTATCAGAAGGTAGATTCTGCTCAAATAGTTGAGCGAAAAGATGAATTGTGAACTAAGCAACTCAATTAAACAAAAAAAGAGTAAAGGAGGTAATCCAATTAAAAAGCTTTGCCGTGAGACTGCTCCTGCTCCGATTTTTGACCCTGCTCTGGTTTTGGCCCTGCACCGGTTTTGACCCTGTGCCGATTTTGACCCTACAACCGTGTATGATCGATTCTCTATTGGTAGTCGGCGCACGACCAATCCGTTGGTCGACCAGAATGGTCAGTATCCACCCAGGATGCTGCCACCTTGAGTTGGAAGAATGGCTTCCCTTACGCCGTGAGTTGCAATATCACTTACACTAAATAAAGTCTCGAGACTATATTCTAATATTCTTGCTCTGGAATAGTATCATTACTGTATGCACTGTTTATTTTTACAAACAGGAAATTGTTCAATAACTGCGTATAGTGCCTTTATACAATTTGGCAGCCCTCTCAGGATGATATGATACAAAGGGATTTTCACGAACCAGTAATTAAGATTGAATTGGCTCAGCTCGACCACTAATTCGAATGCCTATTGGGAACGTTTCAAAGTAGTGTCTCTTGAGGCTCTATGATCTACCAGGGTTTGACAACTGAAGAAATTCATACTTCGCAGATAAATCAGTAAAGATATATGCTACATCAATATAAAGTCTTGAATTACCTTAAGTAGTTCTGAAGCCGGATGGTCCTCGGATTGTTGAACAAAAGATTGCGCATTTGGTGATAATTGCTCTGAAGCAGAAGAAAAAGACACCATTTCATCAATCATAAATTTCGTGTCTGCGAGCGCGCTTACAATAAGGCTAATGGCTTTAACATCACGCTGAGCGGTTTCCGGCTGTTTTGCGCCCACGATGCTGTCTCCGATATTTGCTAGGCCGAATCAGCTCAGCTAGATTACAGGGATAGAGTTCGCAATGATTCTTACCAATTTTTACCTCTCCTAAGGAAGTCAAGATGATGTTACTGCAGTCTAAAGATCCATATACAACGCCCAGGACTTCATGAAGATAGACGAGACCTTCTAGAAGTTCTTTGTATATTGTTGCAATGTCCGCTTCGCTAAATTGAACAGCTCCAGCTGCGCATCCCAGGGATACCGTAAGATGCTCGTAACTGTAAACTAGAAATGTTTTTTGTCGAGAGGAGAAGGCGTCCACGAGCGAAACCAGGTTTTTGTGGATAACGGGCTGGCTAAACTTAACGCTCCGTGGTGCGGGCCCCGAAAGCTCCCTCATAAGATATACCGGGAACCCCTCCACATCTTTCAATGATATGACACCCTTTCCAGCTTAGTCAACAATATAAGACCTATGGTATTGATATTTTGGCTTTTCTTTGGACGGCGATTCGGATACTAAAGGCTTAGCCTTTACTGGAAACCGAGTACTCTGTTTATTCGGCTGGGACTTTGTGATTTCCTGTCTAGGAAAATTATCAGGGGTTTGTAGGTGTAGTCTACTTCCCTGGGGTATGGTTTTCCCGTCGCCGCCTGGCACGTCCTGAGATACCGTATGGGTGTCTGAGTGACTACCTTTGTCTCCCCAGAGCTGTGAAGGCAGAATGGTATGGCGCTTCTTATGCGATGACATCTCTCAATTCAATTGATTTTCACAGATAGAAAAAGCACACAAAATTTGGTTGATTGAAGGAAAGCCTGATATTATACAGAAGGTTTATCCAGGGCCCTGTTCCATTTCTGGCGCATATGGGGCGAAGGGCCCGTTTCAAAAATACCCCAAAGCCCAATACCGAGTATGTTACCCTGATTCAACCATTCACCCCCGAGCTAATGGACATATTATGTAATCTCAACTCTGCATAGTGGTCCCTTTTTATGACCTGCAATCTTCGGAAACAGAATACTGCCAGTATGATCGAGATTAGGACCGAGATGCTTGAGGCAAGAATAGTCAAAAGTGCCATAATAGAAACATCTCCTCCATTTGCTGTACAGATGTTTATGATGGTAGTCAATAGACCGGCCAGTGCGTTGAGAAGAGTTGGTCTGGTTTTGTCATAAGATATATCTGGTCTGCGACGCAAAGTAACTCACATTAGAAGTCTATTCATTAGCCAGATATAGTTCTCTCTGAACTTCCATCCCAGAAAGATCATAATACATAGCCCAATAACGAAGAGGAAACAGGCTGTTGTGAGTAGCGGGGGATTCTGTATAGCATTGAGGACAGCGTTTCCTGCCGCACTGCCTTTCAAAGTCTTCCCGAAATCCTCGGACTTCTTCAATGAAGTGAATGTCCCCGGTACCACCAGATAGCCCGCTAGCAAAATCCAATGTGAAGCACTTGCAAGGGCGTTAATTTCCCATGTTATTTCGTCGGACTGAACAACCATTTGGACATAGCGTGTTTCGAATTGGCCATGCTGAATGTTGGGAACAGAGTTCGACATTGTAGAGATTTAATTAAATTCAAAGTAGAATATAGCACGAAGAAAATTTTCTACCGGGGTTACAAGCGACTTTATATAGATAATAGGACTCCTATTTTCTACTAACCGATTCCAGACGCTCCACATAGAATAAAAATCGACGCATTTCAATTCACAAAAAAGGATCGAGACAAACCAAGACTGCCACCTTTACTTTCCCACATTCCAAACTCCATGTCTCGCCTCAGGACGCAGGCCCTATTCCTACGGTCTGAGATAGGCTCGTAAACCAGTGGATTGACCCCAGGGCTGAAACTCTTGCTCGAATAGCTCGACACCCAGAGCAACCCTCTTTCGCACCAAGTCCCTGATTTTGTGACGCACCTGAGCTCGCGCAGAGACTAAAAATGTCAGCGACTCGGTTCCTGCAAGATGATACGGTAATAGTTACCTGTCACAAGTAGCATCCCAATTTGGTCCGCAATCTCTGCGTCAAGTCGTTCCTCCCAATCGACAACCCCGCTATGAATATAAATCTTACCATTCCGACCAATGCATCGATCTTCGGATGCTGAGTGTAGCTGGTCGAATACGGTGACGGAGAGCATCTAGGTTGTCAGCCTAGTAACAATCAACTTCCAAGCTTACTCATAGCTTACGTATCCATTGTCTTGTTCGACTAGAGCTTGAAGCCAGTTGCGTGCGCTTTCCCAATCCTCTGCTTGATCAACTTGCCACACAAGAGAAATCTTTCGTGTACGAACTCTGCCTTGATGATGACCGTCCAGGATTTCTTTGATATATAGAATCTAAGCGGCGATACCGATACCTGTGGATACCATCAAGACATGACCAAAGTCGATAACAGAATTGGAGGATGCCATATTGATAGATGAAGGACCAAATGGCCCGTCGACCCACGCACCACATTCCCTATTCGGCTCGACGCGTTCCACAAGTCTCCTTGTGAAGCCAGACCGTGGCCGGCAAAGAATCGAGATGGAGGTTGCTCGGCCTCTTGTATCGTTTTCCCACCAGGTGATCATGAAAGGATGGCTCTGAAATATGTAGAATATGCCAACGTAGGGTACTCCTATATTGACACGCTCACCTGCACAAACGACCCATGGTCTTGGAAGCGTAAGGGTCAAACAGGCAACATCCCCTTTTTGTGGTGATAAAGTTAGGCGAACTGCATCTTTGCCAATCACTATGTTACGGAATATGATTCGGAGCAGACGAGCAATTGCAGAGAGGGCAAATACAGCAATGAATACAACTGGGAATGCCCAAAGTTTTCCAGACCCGTGTCTAGTATGCTGCCAGATTGTATAGATGATGGTAACAGAGCCAGCGATATGCGTACTGAGAAACAATTCGTAGACTCGTCTCTTGACGAGAGGAAGAAGCATTAAAGCTGCAAGTAGACTCGCTGACTAAATCCACCGGCCAATCATTAACAGAAATACATATACAATTGAAGCAGACGGACACATACCAAAACTCCGTAGAATTGGGAAGCATCGGATAGCGAAACAGATTTAATGCAAATCGTGATAGTCACATGCACAATCGCCTCAAGAAAAGAGACAAGAGCAAACGAACGATGGATGAAGCTATAAGTCTGTAGACTAATGCCAAACACACGAGCACCAAATTCATGATTGGCGAGGAATGTAGGAGTCAAGTTGATAAGACATAAACGCGCGGCTCTGTTACTAGCCGATTCAAGAGATTCAACGTATATAACATTGCAGACAGCAGTGCTGATAATATAGAGAGAAGTGAGAAGCAAATGAAATCGTGAGACACTGCGAAGCCCAAGGAGCCGGCCGTAGGATCGCGCGTAGACCACATGATTGAGAAAGAACGCGCGGATATCTGAAGCAATAGGGCAAGAGAGCAGCATATAACGGAAGAAGACAAAAGTTCGACATGATAGATAGATAATAAAAAGTATTGCAAGAGTGATCATATAAATGTTGACGGGGACGAGACGAGCTTCGAGCCAAAGAGCAACATGTTCACAGCAAGGATTGGATGAAATATTTGCAAGCCCAAGTCGAAGAATTTTATGGCAAGAATTTACTTATCGGTAGGTTCAAAATCGGAACATGTACTTCGCAAGAGATTTGTCAATTTGAGAATTCCAATGGCAAGATATTATTGGTAGGTTCAAAACCGGAACATACACCTGGCTTCATTTAGGTTTGCTTCGCTGCTCTTGGGGTTTCACATTGGCTGGATCGAGCTTTGTAGGCTGTGACCCGTAGAGCTCAGTTCTTCTGGTCCAGTACTTCTGAAGCTGTTCTAGGCGTTTATGGTCGATATGTGGTCCCGGTAGCTCCAGGTCATTGTGGATACGGTTCACTTTTGAGTAATGCTCTTCCTAGTGCATCTTAGCATATTTCGAGTGTGAGGTCGTGAATACTGACCAGAGATCCTCCTGCTGGAGGCCAAGAGGGATCGGCTGATGACTTGTATTCCCAAGCCTCGTTTCTGTAAACAAGTAACAAATACACATCAGCGTCACTGACTTCCGCAATCTCTCTCGCTTTTCTCAGCAAGGTCTTTGATCTCTTCGGAAAAGGAGACCGATCATATCGAGCTTCAGAAGCTCTGTTCATGTTGAAGACGTTTGAAGATTACAGGTATCAGCCGAGAGAAAGAGTGATGAGAAGGTTTTTAAGAATCAGAATTGCATCGGATTTAAGAATTTGTAAATCAGGCTTGTTTGAGCCCTAGCCTCCACGCCTGCCCTGGCATATATTACGTGCATTAACGATCATCTCCCTCAACACGCGGCCTTTTCGGCTCCCCCCCACTTCGACATGACCGATTCTCGTTTCCGGCGTCGATTGAGCCCTGAACTGCCACCTACGTCACAGATGCTGCAAGAAACTCTTTTGGGAAGATGGTGATCATCTCGTCCAAAGGGTGCATCAAGCTTCTGGCGAAATGAAAGAGTAGAGACAGTGGTGGGGAAGCCGCCCACCCTCCATCGGCTTTTTGTGCTGCTTTGCAGGTAGAGATCTACCGCGTGGTCGATATGCCGGGCAAGAAAAGATACTGGGTGATTGAAATGTCTACAGCTAGAGCAGATGCCTCCTGTACCCACAAAAGAGCCAATTAGCCCAGCATCCGAGAAAAGGTCTAATTGGCCGGGGTACAGGTTATCAAGGGCATTCGTAATATCACGTGCCATACCCCTGCAGCGCAAGGTCCCGCGACACCAAAATGGTGTCGCAGTGTCATGGGGAAGAGAACCTATCTCAAAGTAGAGCCGGGAGACAAGCAGCATCGTAGCTGCGTCACGCGCCATCCGAGCACTTCCGGGTTGGGTGATCACTTTGTTCCGATATTCATCTATCTTACCTACATCGTCAAGAGCACTAGGCAAATCTCCCAGCGGCACGTTCAGTCTGCGGGACTCAGGCTTGAATGTTTCCCTCTCTTGATTTCTAAACTTTCTCCAGTCATTTTCTGTCTCCATTGAGGACATCCACGTATCGAAACCCCGGCGTACAAAACTGTCTCGGAATATATTGCGGAAATAGGGAGTTTGATCATCCGGGTCGTTAGCCGTTCCGGTCCCTAAAGAGAGTAGTCTTGTCGATCCTGTACTTTGTGACCAGATGCGATCGCGGACCTGGGTGGCAATCTCCCCTGCAAAATTATACTTTAGGCCCCCATCCTGAAACGAGCCAATGCCTTGTAGATCGACAGGTGTAAAATAACTGCCGTCAAATGAGTTCGCGCGCAGTCGACGCTAATGCAAGAATTTGTTACTCACAAGGGGGCAGCCGCAGTTGCTCTTGCTCTAGACCTTTGTTTAGTTATGTACTAGGGACTATTTGCGACTCGAAAACTTACGCCTTCTATACTGTAGGTTCCATTTTCGCAATCTTGTGCCGTATCACCTAGAAATCTTTTGGCGGTTTTAGCATCCGGGCGCTAAGAGAAGAAAAATTACGAGGAAAATTTTATTACCGTATTGCATGTCCGAATCAGGAATAACGTTAAAATTCCCAATCACAAAAGTACCAGTCTTCCTGGATATGCTGGTGGTGATAACGCCGGCCTTTGGACCTGAGCGTAATATCCCTTTGGCGACAGTGCCACTATTACCAAAAAGACGACGATCCTCGCCGAACACCTCGCGGAGAGCTGTATCAAAAGCTCGACTATCGTAGCAGCTATCGCGAAAAAGCCATTGTATCCAGCGTGCCGTTTCCCCAAGAAGAGTCTCGCCATGCATGTGGCTGAGGAGGCGGAGGAGGGGAGAGTGCCGGCGTTCGCGGAAGATCCGTCGAGCAAGGTCTTCAAACGTCTGTGAGCATTTCCCAACATCCCATGACATGACAAATAGTCCAAGTATTATGAGGCCACCTAAACGATTTCGAATTAGCGTGAGTACCTTTCTTCAAATATATTATCATAAGAGTAACCTGAGCTAGTGCCAATTACGAGGTCAATGACGTCCTGTATCTTGCAAGGATAGAGATGCTCCTCCACAAGCATAAGGAACTCCAGAGGAATTACCCCTCTCACGCCTCCGCCATCAATCGAGAGGATTGATGGACTCGCAGTCCGAGGTTGAACATCAATTATGACAGCCCTTTGATACAAGCAGCACAGACAGCGCTCAACGACAAACTGATGGTCCGAGCCATTACTCGGTTTACCAAAGAGCTGAGCACAACGATCGCATAAAGTGTGACCGCACTCCAAGACATGTTGGGCAGCTGCAGTAAGACAATACAAGCATATCTCGTTACTTCGCAGACCACTTAGTCTCCCACTTTGTACCATCATTTCCTCTTTGCGAACCTCTACCGACGAACAGGCATTTTTTCCCATATAATGAAAGAAATGAACGAAGAATTTTTGAATGAGATCAAAGAGTTCGTTGGGAGATTGTAGTGGCCAAAGGGATCTTGCTTCGCCACAGGCCTTATCTACAGCAGATCCGTACAAATCTCTGAAGATATCTTCGGGGGCGATTCCTGGTATGTGTTAGTTTATTTCGTCTGATTAAGGCAAGTACATACTGAGCATTCCTGGAACGTAGTGATCCATCAAGGCTGCAGAAGCAATAGATGACGCGAGATCCCGCGGTCGAATTCGAGCTTGTTTGCCAGCATCGAAGTAACGAAACAGATATTCCCCCAGATAGGGGCTAACAGGTCTTTCCTCTCGCACTGCTCTGGCCAGGTCAAACAGATTGTCAACATCTGTCACTGTGTGCCTGAGGGCCTTGCGGAACAATATAGCGAGTTGTAAAGTGCTTGCTTTATATTGATTCCCTTCAAGCAGGGATACCGTACCGTTCAGGCCCTCAGCTACAATGGCTCTCAGATGCTGGTATCTCGCTATATCCGATAAGTCCTCATCAATGTATACTACCTTGAAACTCACGAAAGTCTCAAGCTTGATGTCCTTGAGCTTCTCATCAATTCTTCCACGAAACTCATGCTTCTTGTCATCTGTCGCACTATAAACGACAATTATTCGTGGACACGTCATGCGAATAGAACAATTGCCCAAGGAAGCCTTGAAGCATCCCTCTATAAAGCCAATTACTCCAGATAACTCGGCAAAGTCGTCCAAAAAAATGCATACAATCTCAGCGAACATAAAGATCAGTCGTCCCCAGATATGCGTTAGGATCCGTTGGCGAGAATCCCCCGGCCAAGTAATCGGATATCCTGAGCCAACCTGGAGCTTTTTGAGAGGAGATAGATCCGTAGCCTGGGGTATCTTGCTGTCTGCAAATAGCACAGGAACATGGGAGTCACAAGTAGCTATATCGTACCGCAGCTTAATAGTGGCGTTTGAATCGTACCTACGCACGTTGTTTCTAGGGTAAAGCTGCTGGAGGGCTTTGTCCTTAAGCCTTTTTCCCAGGAACACGCGTAGAGAAGGGTTTTGTTTTCCCGCTCCAGGGAGCTCGGAAGCGATTTGCTCTAGCCGACCGTGGTCAAAAAGAACGGGCCGAGAGTCATCGCGAATGCCAAGATCGAGCCAATCTATAGACTTCTGTTGATACATTTCGAGTAAGCTCTATAGTTCTAGATTAGCCAGATGTTGATACTTTCAGTATTTATACACAACAGACTACAGAATAACTTCGTTCCGTTTCAGATCTTGGGTCTTGAAACGGACATCTGGTCTAGGCCATGTCTTTGGAAGCCTTCATGAGCCTCGGTATGTAAGAGCAAGACGGAGCTCATCCTGAAAAATACAAAATACAAGTTAAAACCAAAGTGGAGCAATGTCGAGGAGGCCGGGGTTGGCATCAGGTTTGATCCCCTGCGAGTGTTGGTTCCAACGCGTCTAGCATCCAATCACAATGGTGCCCTCTTCCAACACGAAAGGCATCACTCTTACTCGCTATGGCCATGGAATATACCCTGAGGGCCTACAAGTGCTAGTTTTCTCTGCGACATGTAAATCATTTTTTTTGCAAAGTGGGTCTACTCTGCGACATTGAAAACAGTACTGCAAAGTGAGTCCTCGAGTCCTCTGTTCTACATATAAAGCAGGCATGCCAACCCTCTGGATCGCCGCCCCTTGACTCTCCATCTCTTATGTATCACCATGTCTTCTTTTTCTGATTTCCCCTCTGAGATTGATTATGGCACTACTAGTGCTGACCCGTTCAACGACCGCCAGTGGCGATCGGATCTGGCTTCCCTGACCGATATCGAAATAAATGCTTTCTCCGATGGTATGGAAGGAGGGTATCCCCATGAAGAACCCATGAATCCCTTCTCCTCGCCTCATGATATGTCTGCTCTATATAATGAGGATGCAACCATAGGTCTCAACGACACTTTTGTCCCAAACGAAGCTACCACAGAGAACCAGTAAGGTTCCACAGATGCAATAAGTCGATATCGAAGCAAAAGCTAATACCAACTCACTATAGTATACCATCTCGCTGCAGTATGGCGACACTCAATTCACCCTTCTACCCAAATACCCCAATCACCCAGAATGCAGGGCCCTTGAACAATGTTCTCTCGGCTATGGCGAAAGAATTCGCTGTAAAATCGGCTAGCATGCTTGATACAATGGAAGATATGAAGCGGAATTTCGACTACTTGTCTAGTCAAGTTCAAGATCTAAAATCTCAATTTGGAGTACAAGTTCAAGAACTGAAAAGTCAAGTCCATGTTGCTTCGAATGATATCAATCATTTGCAAGACCAACTTGCTCTAGTTAGAAGCAACGAGAAAGAGTCTTCTTTATTTTGGGCTTCGATTACAAGCAGGGCGAAAGAATTCGAGAATAAATAGGAGTCAATGGTTTCTTCGAGCTTTAATTTTCCAGAAATATCTGTTATCTGATTACTCAATCTTGTTCATATTTGAAGACTGCTTTAGGTACATGATTTCCATCTTGACTCTCCTTTGTCTGTACTGATGATACATAACATCAAAATCTTCCACCATCTTCAAACCCTCCATCGGCTTCCCATAACTGAAAATAGCGCCGCTCAGACTCATATAGTCGAGCTGTGGCTCTGGCAAGTGTGTCCTCCATAGTTTGGAAAATAGCATGCATTCTCTCTTGTAGATCGAGGAATATCTGCTTCGTCTCCTTATGCCATTTTAGCTCAGCCCTCAAATAACTCGCCTCATAGGCGAGCTCCTCAATTTGTTTCCTCATATCAGGGGATGTTCTTTTGGATTTCTGAAGTCTGGATTGAAGTAGTTCTAGGTTGGAGGAGGTTCCACCGCAGCAAAGGACATGGTGGTCTGCAGGCGTAAGCTCTTCGGCAATCGGTTCTAGCCGACGAGCGCTATGAGACATAATGATTGAGAAAGGATAGACGAGAACGAGAAGTTTGTGATTTTGCAAGATGAAACCTGTAATTTCCGCACAATCGTGAGATATATTACGTGCGCATCTCGATTCCGTGCATGACTAATGGTCACATGAAACTCGCTCGCCATGGCCATACCCAGCTCGAATACGATATATCAGGCTCAAATACGGCACACCAGGCTCAAATACGGCACACCAGGTTGAAATACGGCGCACCAGACTTAATATTGGCGTACGAGATGCAGATTGAGCACAACACAGTCTCTTCTGTCTTACATCTTAGCGCTGCAGGTCCCGGATAGAAGCCGCGGGTTCCCCGTGTCCTGATGCCAGCGTATTTAATTTGCCTCCTGTCTCTATTTGACCTTCTTGATACTGCACAAAGACTGATTTCTCTATCTGGCCAAGATGGAAGAACATCAAAAAGACTACGCGTCTGTCCCTTCTGCGCCCATCTCCCATAACCAGGTAAGTCAAGTCGAATGCGCTTTGATGATATGCATATCTAACAATATACAGAGAGAAACTTGCGAGGGCAGTTTCCAGCGCAATACTTTTGTTCTCGTTGAGAAGCTCTTATTTCAACAGAAAGAATCTCGTCACTACCAAGCTCGACTTGAACATCGAATTAGCGATGAATGTGCGGCGCACGAGAGGCTCCGAAGCTATTGCCTACAATTGGAACGATCTATTCCTATGTATGAACATGCGAAATCACAAGCCGAGGCATCCTTGCGCTGTGCTGCAAGCAACTGCCAAACGCTAGGACGTGATCTAGAGGACGAGAGAAAGAAAGTACAGCAAATGGAGAATCTCATACACATGAGCCCCGCAGTAGATGAATTACTTCGTCTACTGAACCATGGTGGCGCAGGCACTCAACATGACTTTGCACTGCTCCATCGGGAGAATGTTGGACAGCGAGAAGTCATAGAGCATCTCCAAACTGCTTTGAGAGCTCGCGAAGAGACAGCGGAGGCAATGAGCACGGCCTTGGAAGAAGCTTCAACTGCGCTGTCTCAAACTCAGCAGCATGGAGACTTTTACAATGATTTCATCAAAGACTACGATGATGATGATTCTGTGACTATTGTCACCAATAGCCAACCACCATTTGTCCCTACTAGTTAGTCTCTCAGCACAATCCAAATCACTGTTATAAATCTCCAGATATCATAGGGTCCCTGTAAATTTGAAAGAACATTTTGAAAGCAAATTACGCCTTGGAAGACAACGAGCCAGGATCGTCGCTGGAATGGAATCGGCACAGGGCTAGAATTGGCGCAGCACTAGAATTGGCGCGGACCTGGAATCGGCACAGCACTGAAATCGGCACAGCACTGAAATCGGCACAGCACTGAAATCGGCACAGCACTGAAATCGGCACAGCACTGAAATTGGCACAGCACTGAAATTGGCACAGCACTGGAATCGGCACAGCACTGGAATCTGCGCTGGTCTGAAGAAGCTAGTATTATTTCAAAGATTAGCCCCACGTAGGTCACAACCGAGCTAACTGATCCATTGAAACATTGCACGTTAACCACGACCATTATGTCTATATGCTACTTCTCCTCTCTACCAACGGAAATCTTAGTAATGGTCCTTGGACATATCTCCGTGTCAGATCTAAAAGCCATTTCAATGACCTGCAGGATATGCCGAACTATCAGCGTGCCGACTTTGTTTCGAAAAGTCAAATTACATTTTTCTAGAATAAGCATGAGAGCTCTGGAGTCTATTGCGCTATCTACCTTAGCGACTCATGTCCAGACTATCCATTATGAGGCGAGTGAACTGATCGATCCGTGTACGTATCACTCAACATGAAGTATTGCATTTCCGACGCTCACGCCTTCTAGCCACCGGCGATTCTGCTTATTTCCAATCATGCATATATACACGTGAAGAGTATAGCAAAGACCGCATAGAGTTCAACTGGGAAAGCAAAAGCTGTGATATGTCATACAAGAGTATTCACAAACACTTTTCCAGTACTTTGGAGGAGCAAAATGTCATATTACACGAGAGACACGACATTGAAGTCCTTTGTCGCTCAATCAAGTTGTTCTCCAATTTGAAAAGCGTTCTTCTTTCATTTGATGGATCAAGAAAGCTCGGCCAACTCTGGTTTACTTCCAGGGCATATATGAGCTGGGAGGATTCTTTTCCCCTTCACCTTGAAGCGATTCTTCGTTCTATGTCTGCGGCACGAAATGAAGGTGTTCATATCACCACACTGCAAGTCAGTGGTTTCTATGCTCATCTCAGTCACTTGGATAAAGAGCTTCTGGATCTAGCGGAGTCTGCGCTAGTCGAAGTCTCGACTTTGAAGTTAGTGGACAGTGTCAGCCTACTCAGATTTTTTCGTCGGGTTAAACTGGACCAAATCAAGAGTCTCTATGTTCAAAATTGCTACTTTGTGGGTCATGATCTGATTGATTTCATATGCAATTCTGCCCCTGCTCTTCGCCGTTTGATCTTAGAAGGAACCCCAGTCTATAGAAGCTCCCTGAAAGCGCTACCGTCGAGCCTTGATCTGATGTTTGTCTAGAAAGAAGCCTACTCTTTAGATTACAGTATATGGGCACACTGGGCCCTCATTTATTATTCAAGATAATCGCTCGCTAATTCCCTAAAAAAAGACTTGGCCTAAGTACTACAGATCTGCAATTGCCTCCCATGGCAGCTGCCAAGACATTTTATCCAATGACAGCAAAGCAAATCCAGGATCAGGCTCCACATTACCGCTCAAAGAAGTATAGCCGCAGCTAGTATTGGCCTAGTCTAGGGTCGGAGATAAAGTCTGTGTAAAATGTGGAAGGCAATTTCGAATTTGAGTGTACTGTATTGTCGATGAGCCCCGCAGTCTTCTTTCGTCATCTCTGTCTCATACCAGATCTTCTTAATTTTCTATTTTTCCTGTTCCAGTATTGACCTGTTCCGGTATTGACCTGATCCAGTATTGGCTTGTTCCGGTAGTGAACTGTTCCAGGTTTGACCTGTTCCAGATTTGTCCCAGTCCTAACCTGGTGGACTTCACTCCCTTGAAGTAGGACAAGACTACAAATAATACCAACTGCCTGGGTAACGAAAAAGAATGATCACAATCATCATTCATTATGGCGAAAAATAAGAAAGGCAAAAAATCAAGAAATCAAAATGACAATCCACCTGATGCTCGGTTCATGCAAACCCCTTTCACAGACAGAGAGGAAACCACTGAGCAGGAGGGAATTCCACCTCACGATGAACCAGGGGAAGAGTTTGCCCCAGGTGCTAGTGATACCGATGGACACGACTCGGACGCAGACAATGGATCAGAGAATGAAGGTCCACCCGTCGAGGACAAGCCACCTCCCCTTAAAAAGTGGGTGAAGGAGGTTATTAAGCGCGAGACAAGTGGCGAGAAGGCTCAGTCCATAGAGAATTTCTTCAATTCCGAGGAGCCCGATGCCAGCGCTTGCAAACCATTTTTTGAAAGACTCAACCAACACATCCGCGCTGCCAATCAAGAACATGGAGCAATTGACCTTGATGAAGGGACTGTCCCAGTCGGATCATATGATCCAATCGCAGATACCTGCAGGAGAATGGTTTTGGCAAAAAAAGATAGCCCAGAGGAGGCATGGGATGCGTTTCATCGAACTCGTGATCTACTCAAAAAGATCAATCGCCGATATCGCCTACCAAGGACCTGGAACTTTCATCCTTCTTGGTGCGAAAGCATATGCGGACCGGATCCAACAATGCACGGGCAGTCGGATGAAGACTTCGAAACTTCCGGTGATGAGTCTCAAGCTGCGGGTGATACGAGAGGAGATCTTCATTCGACCGATGGTCTTGGTGACTCGGATGATTCCGAGGCCGAATCTGTCCGACCAACAGGCCTCGATTCATTGGAGTCCAGAGCCATGAAGGAACAACGTCGGCACAGTGGTGGTAAAGTTCTCTTCTGGTGGCCGAAAGGCACTGGTTCACAGACTTTTGTCCGCTATGGAGATCGCTCTGCCCCAATTTATCGAATAAGAGCTGGATCTCATGAGATGTATGACCAAAAGCGTGTTGAAAAGGTCCTTACGACCAAGACTCGGGGAAGTCAGAAAGTGGATCTCATAAAGAATGGAATTCCATGCGAGGAATGGAAGTTTGGTCGACAGCATGTCGAAGATATTCGCGGAGTTGGCTGGAAGGTTGAAGACGACGATGAAGTTGGCATTGACCCTCTGTCATTCATCCGTCCAGTGCCTAACTCCGTTTATCCGCAAACCCGAGCTTGGGTCAAATGGAAAGACGGCAAGTTCACTTTGGAGGGCAGGCAGTTCATCAGACGCATCACGAATGGTTCCTCTCTTCAAGGCGATCAAGTCATCTTTCAAAAAGCGGAGGATTTAGAAACTGCCTATCGCCTTAGACATGGCTGGGAACAGACTGATAGTGAAATAGACCTTGATGATGTTAGACCGTCTAAGCGTTATGGACATGCGAAAATAAAGTCTGAGATTGAAACAGACACAGATTCTGATGATGGCTACTCGTTGCGCTATACGAATCAGAGAAAAAAAGCCAGTTCCGACTTCAGGTCGCCGTCGTGGCAGAGCTCGAGCTCGTTCTGAGGACGATGTTGACACGCAAAGCGACACGTCGAGATCGGAGCATATGAAAAGAAACAATGTCGGGCCAAGGAGATCTACGCGAGACTCAAAGAAAGGTCGCTCAAAAGACGAGACCATCCGTTTACTAGAAGGAAAACTCCAACAGCTCCAGATGGGAAGTCGCAGGGGTCGCCACCGCACTTGACGCGGAGGAATTGTACTGACGTGTTATTGACGAGCAGGTCTCGTTCTCGGAAAGAGTTTGCGTTTGTTGCTTTTGATTACACATTTCGTCTTACTCTCAATTTATGCCGATTTTGTTTACTGGTATCTTGTAATAATCGTACGGCAATGTACGAGCTCATTTCAGGGGTTGGCGCGGTAGAACTAGTTTCGGGGAAGCTCTTCCGGGCGCCAGCACCCAGAGGCAAGCCAATGAGTTCAGTTCATGGCCCCACCCGAAAATTCCCTCTATGCAACAGCCGCTGCGTAGACCACGCTCTAGGTGCGCGAAGAGACGATTCAAATGTGATCTTCCAAGCTAGAGAAAAGTCCCAGAGGTACACGAGGGCCAAGCCTGATAGCACCAGATCGAATGACCGGTACGGGTATCCACTTCCGCGTTCCCCGAAACTATCATTACCGACCTCTTCCAATATGATTTGTAGAGACTCTTTCCACTTGAGACAGGCGATCGACCTGGGAGAGTTTCGGCATATACCTTAACGGGCCATCCCGATAGCCCGAAATGCTCTGGTTTGTTCTCAGCTCTGTCCAACCATAGCTCCTGCAGGGCCATACAGCAGTCGTCCGCAAGGGCAAACTTCGTCTAGTCTGACGAAAAAAAGTAATACTTGGGATATCGTGATTAATTACAGCCACATGACCTCAGATGCATGTTTATATCCGTTGGTAACCTGATGGGGATGTGATTTTGATCGGCACCCCTGCTACCCCTGTATTAGGTCGCATTTGACTCTGCATGATGACGCACATCACTGTGCTAACACGGAAGGGGGAAACACCACGAGCTATTTCGACGTCTAGATCTAGTATTGAACTGTTCTCACCTCCTGCGACCGTTGGTCACCAACGGCGCGTAAGGATGGACGTGGATTGGATGCGCCGCCTGGTGTAAATCGCTTAGAAGCTACCTGGCCCACATTTTGGCGTGGTCCGAGCGCAGTGTAGTTCTGGTGCCGGGACATAGAGTTGTTCTACTACGGACCGTTCGGCCTGACCTTCTGTTTGCCCACGATATCTTGCTTGCTTGAAGTCCGATCATTACGTCAATAGATTGAGCCATTGTTTGCTATCCATGACAGAAAAGAGCCTTTCTACAGTCCATCCGCCGAAGAGCGCGAATTTGGTAAATTTGGTAGTCCGGTGTCAGAGAAGCTCTGTTGTGCGGCAGCTTGAGAAAATGTGGGCGAAGGGCAGAAGCTTTCTCTTGCCGTTATCGATCCACTCAACATCACTCAATTCCTAATTTAATTGTAGTTCCTGGGTGTGTGATGGCAACAGAAGGCCCGGCAGCCTAAGGAATATGACTGGTTTATCAGGTCCGCACTGGGAGTGACCCCTTTTCCCTTAGGGCTTCTCAGGCGATCACCTCGGTGAAGGGAAGGGATAGCTCACGCTGCCTAGAGATAATGATTCTAATCACGTGACCGTAGCGTAATGTCGATAGCATCACGTGACATGTACTTTTTGCTATGACGTTTACCACTAAAACAAGCAGGTAGATGTGACTCATAGATCACGTGTGGGACCTGATACCCACAATTCTGGTGGGAACTACATGACCGGAAAATCGGCACGGGTGGTCGAGGTCGGGGGTTGCTGTGTTCTGAACTTCTGTGGCTGATCTTCTTTCACCGCTCGTTCACCTTCTATTCAGGCAATCATCCATATTTCAATATTGCCTCCATCGACGCCTGCTCTGTTCACGATGTGGAAACCAGTGGTTGTCCCTTTTCAGAACTCCCAGCCTCTGCCTACTCTACCTACAACAGATGAAATCCGCGCTTGCACCAATGTTCTGTGGGAAACCATGGCCTCCAAGATTGTGGCTGTGAATGACGATATTGTTGTAAAATATGGAGGTTGTATAAACACCTGGGAAGGCCAGGCTTTGGTTTACCTTGAACGACACGTCCCAGAAGTTCCGGCCCCTCGACTGTACGCGATGTATTATGATTCCAAACAACTTTTCTTAATCATGCAACGCGTTCCCGGGGTGCAGCTGAATTCCATTTGGCCATCATTGGCGCACTCTGAGAAGGATGACATTATCACCAAACTCCAACAAATATTCGACGCAATGCGAAAGGCCGAGTCTCCATGGCCCGACTCTTTCGGAGGCCTGGACGGGGGCGGCGTACATCACTACCTATTCTATAGCCAACATGGCGATGAGAAATTTCTAGGGCCTTTCTCCGGCGAACCTGCCTTCATTGTGGGCCTTGTCGGTAATTATAGAGCCTTGGTCGAACGCAATAATCTGCCAGACTACAAGGCTCGCTTTTACGAAAAATACCTCCCTCGCGTCCTTCAAGGTCACCGGCCCACATTGACGCATGGGGACGTTCAGCAGAAGAACATTATGGTTGCGGAGAATACAAGTCGCCCAAACGATCAAGGTGGGCGATCATTTGACATCGTACTGGTCGATTGGGAGAATTCCGGTTGGTTCCCTGACTTCTGGGAATTTTTTTGTGCATCTGACCCCCTCAATTTCCAGTGGGAAGAAGACTGGTCCTGGCGAGTCCAGGAGTTTGTTCAAGTATGGCCCGCCGAGATGGCCGTAATGCAACTGATTGACAAGGATCTAGGCTGGTGAAGTACGTTGCTATGTTTAGAACGAAATCGATGTATTTTCTTAACCACGAAGAAAAAAAAAGATAAATAAAACAAAAGAAAAGACCAGGTATCCTAATTCAAAATCTACTTGCAATTTTTCATCGCCATAATTACTGTAACATTGACAAATAGATGCTTCAAATTGAGCTATTGTAAAATTCTTTCGCCTCGCAACTTCGGAATCGCAAGCTGATGCGTCCATTCATTACACTTCATGATTGGCCGCCGTTGTTCGCCGGGGCCGTAAAGATCCCCATTCTGCTTCGTCCAAGTAAGCTTATTCCGCTTAGCTGGATCCTTGCTCCAAAAGTCAATTCCCTGCTGTTTGGTCGGTTTGGGCAAGGCTTCCAAGATACCCCTTATTCTCGGATAATCGGCTTTGCGAATCCATCCAATCTCTGTGGTTCTGTGAAAATACCTGGACGCTCCAGGAACATAGTTGTCTCTCACTTCGAACCGCATGCCGCTGTTGGCGATGATGTCTCCGGTGACGTGAAATAGCGCTCCTCGGAGAGTCTCTGTGTCTGTTTCAACGAAGATACCAGTGTGGTATCGCTTGGGAGGGTCCAGAGGATCGTAGGCTACTGTGTCGAACTCTGGTACGAAGACTTTGTACCACTCGTCCCCTCTGTGACCGTGGGGAGCGGGTGTTGTTCTAGGTGTCGCCCTAGGTGCCGCTCTGGGTGCTAGGGCCATATCGCCCTTCATGGCGCCACCCTGTGTCCTTCCCCGAGAGCTGGGAGGAGGTGCTGCTCTTGGAGATACTGCAGGTGCTGCTCTATATGCTCCTCTGTATGCTGTGGCGGGTGCTAGGGCCGGTGCTGCGGCCGGTGCTGTTCTGGAGGCCCCTCTGTATGCTACCGCGGGTACTATCACGGGTGCCACCCCTGGTACTGCTCGAGGTGCTGCCGGCCTGGGTGCTGAAAGGGAGCTGCGCTGCAGGTTGTGGGATCTTTTCTTGTTGAGCATGTTTGATATTTAGACAAGGACGTGAGAAGAGCGTAGCGTTAATGAAGGAGAACGGTATATCAAAGTATTAAGACACTGAATAGTGAAGATATAGTTGTTTCAGTCGAGATAAGACAATGAATAGTAATTTTTTTCACAATTGAAACCATATCATCTTCCTTTTATAAGTCAAAATCTACGTTCCTAGTTGTAAATGGAAGTGTATTCTTGGACATGATCTCTGAACATGTGACATTTCAAGTATCATCTCGCGCGCGCTAGCTGAGAAGTTAGCAATCTGAAACAAAGCAACTGGACAGCAATTCCTTAGAGGTCTGAAGGAGATCCTAAAAATAATCACAATGGCTTTGTTGAATGTGTAGTAATTATAGTGTCGTAACAGTTGATGAGGCTGGAATAAGTAATTGGACGACAGCTTCGGAGAAAATCCACCCGTTAACATGTCGCGTATCAATATAGCCTAAGGCGCCGCCATAGCCAATCGCTTAGAAATATCTAGCGCCGGTGAATACTCTACTCCTACGCTAGTTGCGGCGTCGTGTGTACTAGATTCTTCGTGTCAGCGGATAACTGTCCAGCTGTGACTAGCTTCGTCTACATCCGGGGAACTTTCGCTGGGTACGAGAACCGTGGCTTGTCTCAGGAAACAGGAGTTCAGGGGACCGTCTACATCGTGGGTATTTTCGCTGATCCGAGAACCGTGGCATATCCTAGGAAGTAGGAGTTCGAGAGACCATGTATATCGTGGGGGATCTACGTTGTACGAAAACCGTGGTGAAATGTACCTTTGGTTTGCGCCATTTGTCTCGGCGAAACGCTGACGATCAAGCGAGACGCCAACGAGCGCCCCACCCGAAGCTAGTGAATATTCTACTAACAGAATATTTAGTCGAAGGAATATTCTGATGGGTATAATTTTTTCACTCCTGAATTTTATAGAATTATAATCTTATGTGCTATAGAAAATTAGAACCGATGGATGTTTTGTTCTGGTAAATTTAAGTTTAGTTTAAAAATATATTTCCCAAAAATTCTCAGCCAGAAATATTCTCGCGTGAAAACATTCTTAACCACCCCAAAAGTTGAGCCAGGTAGAATTGTTGAGATAAGTAGATTGTATTAAGTTGAGTTGACTGTCTTGTTGGAGGTGGGCTCCTCATCTATTTATATGTCTCTTGATGATCCCCTTCATAGGCTCGACCAACGTGATACTCAACAATTATCATCGCGGTATTTGGGTGGGTGCCGCCCGGGTGAGCGCCGCTTTAGCCTTACGTCACCGGGTGAGATTCACCCCTAGATGCACGACCACCAAGACCCTATTGCGTTATTGGTTACCCAGTTTCCTACCACAGAAAGCCCGGCTATCTTGTAGCAAAGATACTGAGACTATTACCATTTGCACTAGCCCTCTTCCCTGCAAGACGCCATAGTTAATCCAATGTCCCTCAAGCCCGTGTACGTGGATATCTCTCAACGACCCGATAACTGTGACAGAATTCACATTGGGACTCTGGCTGACCAACACAACCTGTATTGTATATCGCAGGATGCCCCGTATGTCTGCGCAGAATGCAACGAGGAAAGGCCTGAGGTTCGAGCTGCTGCGGCCTCCGCTCAATTATTTTGTATGTTTTGAGCTTCAGCGGCTGATGTCGTGATTGCATGTGGCTCGTAGTTGTTTGCCGTTGGCGAATATGGTGGCACGGAACGCCAGTAATAGATTTTTGGGAGTAAAGGTTTAGGCCATCCTCAATAGCCGCCAGCAGGCTGCGGACCCCTAGATCTGCTCGGGGAATTTTGACTTGTACGCGCCTTCCTCTCTCGCTTGCAACAACGGAAAGGCACTTTCCATTCTGTGCGAAAATATAGTTTGCAACATCACGGGCATATTTGTAGCCCCTGTCACACAATGCCTGGCCCTTTCCTCGTATTCCAAGGTGACGAACACAATGGGTACAGCGGCTTAAATGCCTCTCATAAGCTTTCATTACATAATGCTCATCGTCGTGGGGCTCACGCATAACAGTGGGGTAATAGCCAGGCACCATTGTCGTAAGGAAAGTATAGCAGATAGTACAGCTTTCCGAGTGCAGCGTCGTTCTTTGAGGAGTGAATTGGTGTCGGATGAAAGAGAGCGGGGACAAGACCGGAATGATGCTATATGGAAGCCGGAGACTAAGGGACGATTGAGTTGAAATGAACAAGAGTAGACGTTCTCACATGAAATTAAGCGACACATGAACTAGAGATGATATGACTTGAAGGCCGCGGGCTTACTATTATTTTATAGTAGCACATGTAGTAGTAGGGAATGCACCACGGCGGGCCTGGATAAGCGACGCTTCATGAACTGGCACGGCATGAAACGCGCGGCCGGTGGAATAATGTCTGACCTTGACACCATTAGTGCAGCCATGCGATTCATCCCATCAACCAACAGATTTACTGGAAATGAATCTATGTTTATGACTATGAAACCTGAGATGTTTTCAATAGCGCTCATTCTTGCAAAGCGCTCAAAGAAGCATTGTAACGACAGAAGAGGTGAAACATTGAACTAGGCGCGAAGTTATTTTTATCCTTGATAGTATCGCTGCGAACAACGTGGTGACAGTCTCCGTCATAGTTAAGAGTGTCGGCCAAGTGCCCGGGCCGTTTCCCCCCTCTTGCATCATGATCGGGATGTCTAGAAGCAGCCCGGTTCGTGTACTAAATGAGACGGTGGCCAATATTGGTGACATTGGGGTTCGGTCGTGGTGTTTCGCCTAAATATCGATCACCAGAGACCAATGAATGTTGTTCATCATCCTCACACCAGAACGGACACTAAAGTGGTCAGTCATACAATATTTATTGCGGCCCTGATGCTTCAGGGTTCGAAGGTCGAGGGTAGGCCTCGCCAAAACCCAACCCAAACCCGCGTTTGGCGAGGTCTAGTCGAGAAATAAAGACCACTGGCTTCTTCGGATGAAATTTTACCCAATTGCCCGTCTCAGTGCTACCAGTAGTTTTAGTTGGATAATTATTCCGGCCCGCTTCGACTTGCTGCATTTCGTTGCTCGCACAATCGACATTGGCGCTAAATCACTCGCGGTAGTGTTCGTGAAAGACCAAATATGCCTTGAATGACAATTACCTCATGTTTCATGTTGGCACCTATATAGCGGCAACAACACTAATGGTATAGAAAGGAGACGAGTGGAAGCTGAGTTTAAATTTTGAAAATACCAGTCATATGTCTCTGATGACGTGCTCTTGCTATCAATGATGACACCAAGTGCTTGGTTGCGCATCTGTGGCTAGGTCCATGAGACATAAGCAGTTTCGGTAAGCGCTCAATCTCATTCAACGCTATCGCTATGGAAGAGGCGAGAGGCTCGGGAAGAATCACGGACATATTAGTCTTCAAACGAGCTTTTGAGTAAACAGCTACATATACTACACTCTCGGATATTTCTGGGTTTGAAGGTTGAGTGTATGGCTCTGTGTTGTATTGCGACGCCGCGAAGGAGATGACCAGTCCCCAGGTCTTTGGCGCGTATGCGACCAGTGGATATATCACTGCTGGAAAAAAAGGAACGATGTTTCATCCGCCGCAGGATCTCGAGACCATCCAGTCTATTAGTTGCTTTCGCTCCTAAGCGCTTCCCTCAGAGCGGCGGTTACAAAATTAAGAAGTCTAACCTGGCAGAAGAAACTGCACGAAGCCAATTCTAGGTTTTGCCATTGTTGAAGCTGGATGAGAAGTTGCCGCCCCCATCTCCGCTGATCAGCGTCACCACTCCTGGCCGATCAACCAACCAGCCTTCGCTTGTATGAAATGCAACTCTCTGGGTCTTAGGCTGGCGGCAAGTCGTATGGGGCCACTAGCCGCTCCCAATCTGGGTTATACTTGGTTGTTCTGTGTCAAAGCAATTATAGCGCAGCGTCTAATGTCGAATTTCTGTGCCCTGTGCTATCAATTCATGGTGCCGCTTTTCCTGAACCTGCCGGCGCGTAACTGCGACACCGACCATCTGATATTGCCGATTTGTCGACTATACAAGACTTAGATATAAATTTGATAAATATTCTGATTCGAATGCCATTCCCATCTTTATTCCTCCTCATATGCCGTGCACGATTCGAGAATTTCGTATCACTGATTATTTCACTAAATTCACACGACGCTGTGAAGTTGGCTGCAGGTAAAATGTTGGACTGGAAGAATGGTAAACTAGAGTGTTCTTATGCGACAATTTTCTCCCTAGTCGTAGATAAGCAGTGAATGATATTTACTACTCGAAGACAAGATCGTTTTCGATACTGTAACTGTGGAAGAGAGTAGTCAACGACTGACCCGACCTACTAATTTCCTGGCAAATCACAGGGATTAGAAACAACGTGGAATTTATAAACATTCTGAAGCACAACCTGATTGAGGCATGAAGAGTATCTAAAACTACTAGCCTTTAAGCATCAGGAAACAGATCCTAGTTATTTGTTTCGAATGGAGTATACTTCTTTGAATCGTCGATTTTTCCCTGGAAGACACCGTTCGCGGTTTGAGATGGAAGCAAAACAGGTTGACAGTAACCCACGACCTGTGCTCTGTGAGTCGCCCCTAATAGTTCCGAGGCTTCATACATCCTATCATCCTGCTGCAAGTTTATAGCCCTTTGATACCTTCTCTGGATCACGTTTGGTGCCTCTCGAGCAAAACGACGTAAAGCTGCCACTGTGGTTCTGAACCCTTGGTCTCCAGGGCTTTGGAATTTGCACATTCCTTGGTGATCGGCCGCTATACCGCATCTCTCGGTGTTGTCAAGGATCGGCGCTGCGCTTGTTTCATCCACAATATAATCCCTTTTGTATTTCAAATCGGTTTTCTCCTGTTCCCAAAAGAAAAAGATACGGAAACAGGGCATCAGAGGCGCAAATTGGTCGGTGATATTTTGCAGAGTCTCGGATTCCTTCTCAAGCGAATTAACCAGCCCTGTTTCAAATTCTATCACGTTTTTTGGAATCGTGAGCGATGCCATTCTTTGAAGACTGCCTAGTAGGTTGGCTTTGTTGGATCCATAGTAGGGGGTACCAAAGAAAAGAATAGCGAAAGTGCATATGTAAATGGAATAAACATAGGTAAGTCTGGGGCGACTCTCAGCGTATGCCAGCGCCTGTTTATAGAGCATTAATGGGAAATTTCGGCCATACGGTGGTCTGCTTTGATTTACTCACTCTCTTGACGATGATCCCCCCAAGGGAATAGCATAGAAAAATAATGGGTCTTTGTGCTGCATCCTCAAGCTATTACTCGTTAGCAGTTTCTTGTTTATTACATTCAGAAGATACCCACATCTCTGTCGGACTCAAGCTGAGAAACTAATGTTTGCGCATGTTGCAATATCCTGTCCGAGCTCGGCGTCTTTCCGTTCCAGGACCAAATGCCAGCGTTATAGCCCCAGGCGAGGACTCGAGCGCGTGGGATATATCTTGGCAGGTACGCCGGATTGTTCAGCCAGCATGTTCCCTCTCTTTTTGCTGTCCACGTTTCTGTTGCATGGCCGTTTAACCCGTACACAGCAACGATACTATTTGGTTGTTATTCAGATTTTGAGTTGGCTCAATTGACCCAAACTCACTTAATTTCAACAGGCTCGTTTGCCGGACGGTAAAGCTCTTGTATGCCATAATTTCGGTGAGTATAGTCCATTATTTTAACATTCCACTTGCTTTTTCATTTGGTGGAAAATTCATTGAGAAAGAAAATCTGACAAGTTCAATTGCTTGGGACCGCCCAATATATGTCATTAGTGACTCCTTTCTATGATCGTCCTTTGTTTTACCGGGGCATAGGCTATCGTCTAGCCGCTCTGCTTTGACAAGCACTGCGTGACCAACGATGCATTAGCGCGGGCGCTAGGCATGGATGTGATATTTATAGCTTCAAATGTAACGGCCAGACGACTGACCTTGGCCTGGCTTAGAGGGGGAAACTCAGCGCCTTTTACTAGGCGTCGCGGGTGACTGTTTCGTTATGCGCCGCGAAGGTGTTTAGGCCCAACTCCACACGAGGTCCGAGTACACAATAATACATGAAGATTTCTCAGGAAGTAAAGCGTCACTGGGGTGCTCTTCGACATTGGAAATTAGGTCAAACACTAGCAATGGGGCAAAAATAAAAAGTAATGTTTAGTTCCGAAGGATTAATTCAAGAGCCTTTTAGTATAGTCTGTAACACCAATGTCGTTTCTATTCATATCATGTGTATTATAGGAAATTTATCCTGCCCGAGCCCGTAAAAGTGCGAGTTGAGAAAACCAGAACCTAGAGTAATACTAGAAATTCTATTTTCGGGTTGGCTTGCCTGACGACAACGCATAATTTCATTTTTCCTTGTAGATTTCCACCTTACATCCGTCGGCGCTCGAAAGGACAAGTGTGAGTCGCTGTCTTTCGCTCCCGACTGGCTCATCGGGTTCTCCCGCGGGTAACATCACCCGTGAAAAGGTTTGCAGGAGCCTCACTATAGTATAAGAAATCTCCATCTGGGCGAAATCCTCTCCCAGACATTGCCTTGGTCCGCCACTAAAAGGGAAATAAGCCCAGCGAACGCTCGCAAGTTCACCGCTTTCCTATCTTTCAGGGCGAAATTCATATGCATTATGTCCATATATGTTCTTCTTTCGCAAATTCATATATTGCGAGAATACCACGAGTTCACCCTTTCTTACTAACATAGGTTTATCTCCTTTTCGCCCCCTCCTGTTGGTAGAAGGGTAGTTTGCACCGCTTCGCGATTGTTCAGCGGAACTAGGGGATAGAGACGAAGACCTAATCGGTAAATATATCAGTGATTAGCTCTGTAATGGTCATAAAGATACTTTCGTCTCACTCTCTTTGATGACGCAAGCAAGGTATGGCATTTTCTTAATTTAGTCCCTACTTGGCATAGAGCTACCACCCATAATAGATGTGATTTCTTGCCGCAAACGTTTTATTACGTAAATATGGCGAACAAGAAGTCGACTAAGGAGAGAGCAGTAAAGTTAATACCGAATGTAATGCGAATTTTGGATTCAAGACTTACAACGTCCAGGACAAACAGCATACAGTTGTATCTCGGCCAGCAAGCAGAACGTTTAAAAGTTGGTCGCGGAGCTCTTCCAAGCTTGTAGACTCTTCAGCGATCTGTTTTATGAACCCGTATTTTTTCATTTCATGGTCCTCAACCTTTTCTAAGTTCGATTCCGTGATATAACTCTCTACAAATCGATGCACATTAGCACATGCTTTCCGGAATGATAGAGGATTGTAGAGGAAGTACCAGGGTGCTATACGAAAGCGTTTGGCGAGACCCTCTTGCGCGATATCGAAGCTTTCTGCGAAGAGTCTGTTCTCCTCGTGCTGATCGATACCCGCCCTCAGACTATAGACCGATCTACCGAACAGAAGAGCTGTTGCAGTATCTAATGTCATGTCAAAAAATAATGGCTGGAGATCAACAATGCCGTTTGAGGGTAGGCGGCTTATCAGGTTATCAACATACTCGCGAAAGTCGTCCAAGTTCTGATACTGAACGCGAATAAATTGCTTTCGCAGAAGTTCTCTTGAATGTTTCCAGGCAAGTCCTTCTTGAGTAAAGATCCCATTTCCCAGCAAGGGTACAAAGATTTTAGGTCTGGCGCCGAACCTATAGTCTATCCATCCGACCCCATAGAATCTGATTAGCAGGAGCGTCACTTTGTAATCTGAAGAGTCAAGTCACCTTTGAAATTTGTAGATAAAACGGTCTCAACATTCGAAGGATGCAGCAAATGAAAAGCTCTGGGTCCAAATAATAAATACTGGGTAAGATTGTTTCCTGGCTTATAATCTTCGGCAACCTTGCAAAGATATACGAGAAGGCGACCTTCCGCATTCGTTTCCCAGAGATCCTTGATACGATCAAGACCAAGTGGCCATTTCTTAGGGAGCTCGGGTGGTAGCTCACAACCGTGGTATGAGCCAAAGGCAGAATCATTCTGAGAGACGATAAGTTGGGCCATTTGCGCAGCCGGAATACTCACTCACAAAGTACTCCTTTAATTTGTTCAAGGAAAGATAGCAGAGCCAGGAGAAAATGCATATGAGAATAGCCCAGATGACAAGTACTGTTGCCATCATGGCAGGTGATAAGCTTGGTTAGTCTGTCCCTTATTGTGGTGGATTTGAGAAAGAAATAAAAGCGCGGGGGATGACCGCTTTTTCCTGCTCGCGTTGTTTTCATCCGGCGGTCAATGTACGCGCCCGCCAAGAAGATACCTACGCCACCCTCGAAGCTAATACAGTGAAATCACACACTTAGTACAAGAAAGCAGAGCAAACGAGCAACTAACATCCCTTTTTGTTCCAGTTGCCGCCAGCTTCGGCCACACAGGTACTAACTCATATAGGCGCTGGTGCTGTCCATTTCACGCCGACCCCCAACTTTTTCTCCCCACTTCCTTCCCCATTCTACGACCAGAGATACCGGGGCAGAAGATATCAACGAAACAGTTAATTATTTGCACGATGCCTTTGGGCCTTCAGACAATATATTTTTAACAGCCTCCTCATCGCGAAGCCGATCAAGACCCAACCACTATTGACGTCGAGTAAGGACAGAATCTCAACAGCGTCTTTATCACGTGAGTAACTGACAATTTCTTTGGGTAGTATTGTTGCAGTTCACGGCCTGAATGAGAATTCGCCAGGAGCCTGGACTCACCCGCAAGAAGGCGTTCTATGGCTCAGAGACCTCTTGCCTCGGAACATTCACAATGCAAGAGTCCTTACGTTCGATTACAACTCCAATCCGTTTCTTTTTACCGGACCAGGCTTTATAGACAATATCCAAGCCAACGCGACTACGCTAGTCGCAGATCTTGAGGCCGATAGAAGTTTGACAAATGTTTCTCAACGGCCTATAATCTTTGTCTGCCACGGACTCGGGGGCATTATTATAAAAAGTGCGCTCATCTATTCGGCAAGCCGAACGTCCTCCTAAACCTCTCACCTCAATTCTATTTACGTTTCAACATTTGCTATATTATTCTTCAGCACACCACATGATCACATTGACATTGGAAAATGGTTAGATTTGTGTCCCTCGTTCTTGTCAGTCTGCGACCCTAAAGCTGCAGCTTTTATGCCAGGCGATAGTACTCAACCATTAATTACGGTGCATGCTTTAGAAGTTATTGTCAACCAATTTGCTCCACTTATAAAGAAAATACATTTTTACCTATTTTAGGAGGGATTGACGACATCACTGGGATATAGTGTTTGTTTCATAGTTAAACCATCCTCTGCGGCTCCTTATTGGTATGACACAGAACGATATAGGATCATAGACTCAAATCACTCAGACATAGTCAAGTTTATCCAATCTTCACCTCCTTACCGGACTGTCATATCTGCCCTGAAAAAATATTGCCGTTCAGCCCCAGAAATAATCGCATACCGATAGAAAGAAGCCATAGAATCTCTTATGCGCCTGCGGCGGAGTAAGGCCTCGGAACTGACTGGGCTATTCCTTGATATTCCGGACAAGATACCACTATTGGAGGAAAGCAAGATTGTTGACGACAGTGTTGTCCAGCAAAATCAGCATTTTAACCCTCTATGCGCTGTTTCCATTGATTTCATAGGACAGGATAAGATAATCAGAGCTCTCCAAAAGGCTTTCGAACCGGAAAAACGCCCACTGTTAATGGAACGACAGAAACGGTTTGTGCTTTATAGAATTAGTGGTTCTGGGAAGACACAATTATCTGCGAAATATGCCCAGGACAACCGAAGATAGTAAGAAATCGCGAAGCCTATATATTTACTCCTATTCTGACGTAATACAGCTATTAGGCAATTTTTACCATTGATGCGTCCTCCAATCAAACTACGAAAGAGTCATTCTACAGTATCGGAAGGAAAGGCGGCCTCGAGGCAACTGTGGAGTCTGGCAAACACTTTCTCTCGCAGGCTAGGAAACCTTAGCTTCTCATAATTAACAACGCAGACAGCCCTGATATAAATTTTGAGGGCCTTTTAGTGCCTAGTGAGACAGGTCATATTCTCGTCACCACAAGAAATCCAAGCCTACGAAGGCAAGGCAATATCGGAAGTTTGGAAGTCAAAGGGCTCAAAGAACGAGAAGCTTTCCAACTACTCATAAAAGTTACAGATATCGTCCCTCTATAGGACCCACCTACAAAAACAGCGGCAAACGACATCACTAAGGCTTTAGGTTATCTAGCCCTGGCGGTCATTCAAGCAGGGAATACGATATACAATAAGTTGTACAATGTAACAGAATATCTCGGCTTCTTTCAACACCTCTTAGAAAGCCGTCGAGAGAAAAAAAGCGGACGTATTTCGAAAGATTCTGCCAAACATCACACGGAAAACGATGACATCTTCACGGCGTTTGACTTCTCCTTTCAGAACATTGCTATTCAAAACTCCGTTTCCAGCCTTGATACAATTAAAATTTTGAACATTGTGAGCTTCTTTCATTTTGACTCAATTCGAGTTGAAATTTTCGAGAGAGGCCTGGATCTGGAGCGAGAACAATCATATCAACCATCGGTTTAATCTATTCGGTCTCAACTCATTAATTTTTTTGTTGGTCGCATAAAACCACCCCGGTTACTTCCTAGAATCCTGAAGCAAAAACCCAATGGTATACATCCATTGTACATCAGAGAAGCTCTACGTAAGCTGTACGTATCTTCCTTGATCATCTATACGAAAGATGAGAAAAGCTTCTCGTTACATCCTTTGATTCACACTTAGGCCAGGGACCGTATTCCCGCAAAGGAGAGGAGTCTATAGGCAGTGATATCTTTCTATACTCTCATAGCATCTATCGAAGTATTGCCCAAAGACAACGGAGAATCTCAATCTGTTTTTCGAAGGAGCTTAATTCCTCATCTCGACTTATGTTTAGAGTCCTGTCCAATAGAGGTTAGGGAGTTTCACAGCCTCAGATTCGGGAGATATAGTCGATTCATGCTACTTCTGCAACCTACTTCGGTTTTCGCCCTGCGAGAGATGATACAGAATACCGCAAAGTATGGAATATTATATGCTCAGATAGGTGACTTTACTAAGTCTGCTTACTATCTCTCGCTAACGAAAGACTCATTAATCATGTTGGTCGGAGTTAACGACCCAAAGACGATGTCCGCTATATTGGGACTTACAGGGGTGCTATGGGGATTGGGTCGTCTTAAAGAAGCCATCAACTTGCAAGAACGAGTTGTTAACTCTCGACGGAAGGTTTTAGGATCAGAACATCGCGAAACTCTACAAGCCATAGATTCACTTGGTCAATCATTCTGGCTCAATGGCCAATACTGTAAAGCACTTGAAATTCAACAACAGACTGCAGAGAAAATACGTCTGCACCTTGGTGGAGACGATGACAACACGCTGAATGCGCTAGACCACTTAGGCGTAACCTTAGGCTCTTGGCACAGGTATACTGAAAGCAGAGATATACATCAGCGTATATTAGAAATTCGGAGAAAAATGCTGAATTCAAATGATCTCAGGGTACTTGAAACAAAAAACAATTTGGCAATGGCTCTTCTTGATTTGAGACAGCTTCATGTCGCGAAGGCTTTGATGGAAGATGTCTACAAGGGTCGCATGGCCCAAATGGGGAAGGAACATCCTTACACACTCTGGGCACTGTGCTATCTGTCGAAGATATACATAGAGGAAGGCGAGTTACAGAAAGCCGAGCAAATCTTAGTTGAAGGAATCGCCGCAGGAAGACAGAGCCTCGGCGAGGATCATCTCAGGGTGCTCGTGGGCTGTAGTAAGCTTGCCCGGGCCTATACGCGTCAAGGTCGTCTGGATGAAGCTAAAGCACTCACCCTAGAGACCGTCGAGAAAGTAAAGCATTCTCGTGGCAATGAGCACCCTGACTATACTACCGGGATGATGAAGTTAGGTCAACTGTATGAGAAGAAAGAAGAAAAAGCGAAGGCGATCAGTTCCTATCGAATTACGCTCTTGGCTACCGAAAGGAGACTAACAGCAAAGCATCCTCTCCACGACATTATCTCGGGTCGCATTACGTTTCTGGAACGAAGTTGCACCGGGGCTATTGCCTCTGAAAGGTCTGACATCGCAAATTCCTCGGTCACAACTGCCATCGATGAGCTAGATATAAAAAGCCTGCAACCCACACAAACGTGGTAAGCAAGCGACGCTCAAGGTGTGTCGAAATAAGATACATTTTCTCATTCGCCTATTTTAGGTTGGCAGTTAAACTGAAATATTCTTCATATAAGCCTTCCTTGATCATGTAGTCTTTGCAAAATGCTCATGGGCCTTTAACAGTCGCCTTAGTCCGAACTGAATATCAATCCGGACTCTGGAATTTGCGTTAAACCTCCAAGCTAGGAGAGATAGCACTGTATAAGAAAGATGATTGAAATGTATTTATGGCGTAATCACACACTTCAAGAACTAATAACAAACATCATTTACGGTTTTGTTTCTTGAACATAATGCAAGACCGTGGTGAACACTATTTACTAATGCATTTTTCGAAAGACCAGCGCGGAAGTATAATGAAGATAGCGTTTTTTGTATATTAGACTGCGGAAGCTAGTTAGTATCAAATCAGAACATTCACGAATAACTAACCGTTCACATTTTGATAGTGAAAGAAAATTTAAACGTGGCGTCCGTGTGGATTAGCGGTAGAAAGGAAGGCTCTTTGAGGCAGTAATTCAAGGTACCCAGACGCCCCTAGATTAGATTCAATTGATTGCACTGCTGAGTAGGCAACGGTGCTTAGATTGCATTTACTGCCAGAGAAATTTACCTGCAATTGTTGCCGTATCCTCTTCGAAGGCCCACAGGCATTTGATGTATTTATTTAAAATATACTGGAAAGCCGACCAGATACCCATAGTTGAGGGATACATAGATGAATGCAGTCAGACTTTGATGTAAAAGGAAAATAATTAGTAGTAGGCGAGGTCAGGCAGCCATCTTTATATATTTGCTCCTAATCATCACGCCGCTTTCTTGCTGACAAGTTCTCTCCCGGGGAAAAACGATAAAAGTAAGAAAATTTACCGTACCTCAGGTACCCCCAGGCATATTTTGAAACTTTGTCGCTCTACACAACGGTGGAATGACAAGCTAAACGCAAATGCCCCCTTCCTAAGGAACCTTAGCAAATGGCAAAAGAGATACAAATATGAAAGCAAGATCAGTTCTGGATGAAACCACGATATCCGTTGCCATGTACCGAGGATAGGCAAATAATGTTTGACTGTAAATGTTGCTATGATAGTAATCATATCCTAAAGCACGCCAGGCGTGTTTATTTGCTCATGCTATTGCCGCGAGGTTACCCCACATGGCACGTGATGGACAAACCGGGGAGGGGTATCGCGAAGTTTGCAACGCAACCCCACACCAACGGGCGATTTTGGCCCAACGAAGCCTCAGCCTCACGAAATCCCTCCACTCCTCCTTGTTATCAGGAGCTTGACCGAATTCTTTTTCGATACTGCAACTGCAAGGTGAGCCGCGAACGGAATGAGGGAGCTAGGTGTTTCGAGCCGCTTCGCTAATCGCGGCACCGCTGATCAGGATCCGATTTCGCGATTGATTAGTCACAAATACCTACGACAATGGCGGCCCCTTTACCTCTGAATGCCGAAGCGGAGATGTGCCGGAAGGCTCTAGCTGATTGGATCAATCAATCTCAGCTGCGGTTAGACTATGTAGTGGACGAGAAAGGCAATCGGATATATTTACGAAACAGGATTGAATCTCTGGTTAAGCCACTCCTGCAATCCCTGGGGCTCGATGTAAGCCACTCTTTCTGCTTTTCATTGTTCATGTACTAAAATAAGGTAGGGCTTGGGCTTTACAATGTGGCGATACTCAGCTTACACGCCGTTCGATCCTTACCCCCCCGAGGAGCTTTACTTCATACCGATCCAAATATCTTCAGGGCAGCCTCAGATTATCAAGGATGGGAGGCAATTTCAGGTTGTTCCCGGGTGGTATACTGCCACTAAAGGTCCATTCGAATTGACTCCGGAGTCTGATTGCTTATTTGCGGGAGACCCATCAAAAGCCTAGAAGAGTATAATGTGCATTTCGCCTATGAAGGACTTTTTCCAAGTATGATCATTGCGTATAAGCGAATAGGTTGACAGGTTCCGTATCTGGCCGCTCAAACATGTAATCAAATGGATTAGAGGCCATGAAAAACACACGATATATCCAAGATATGAGATTGAGGTCGTAACCTAAACATTTGCATATTTGGGATAATCTTCGGGATCGTCAGAATCATCAAGCAGAATGCAGCCATAAATAAAGACATACTCTATTGCGTCACCTGCTATAAATTTCACAATGCAAGGAAGACAGTAAGGTACCCATCCCTCTTCAAAAATCCCAGTCTCCTGGCCGTCCCCTAGTGACTGGATGAAGATCTCAAAACTCTTGCGGTGATCTGCAAACCGAGCATATTGGTGAACTGGCTGGGCAACTAGACATATGTTAGGAAACATTCACTAAATAGCTGGTAGATCACAAATTTCGACCCACACAGCATGAAAAGCTCCCAGCTTTTATAGCCCCATCGTCGCTTCAGGAGCTCGACCACGCACCGATTGACCCACAAACAACCGGATCGATATTTTTCGAGATTCTTGTTATCGGAATCACTGATAAACTGTCGCATCATCCAATTGACAGTATCTTTAGAATTTCCAACAAAAATGAGGACGGTGCAATAACAAACAAAGACCAGTTGCTGATATTTGGCTATTCGCATGGCAAATTGACCGTCCTCTTCGCAGTGAACAACAAATCTTCCATATCGACAACCTCTCATGACCATTTCCGTGTCATCTGTAGCCTGGAGCGACATTGTCGCTTCATGGTAAGGCTCGAGATCTGTAACAGAGCTGGTAGGCCTCCCAAGCAGTAATTGGATTGCTAGTCTGTTTTTATTGATGGTAGCAAAACCTGTGGCTTTTCGGGAATCGTCCCATCTTACAGCAAGAGTTATGGATGAAACAAATCTCGTGAGTTCCTTTTCCCATTGTGGTGGGCCGGTTGAAAACCTTGTCGTTCTTTTTTGGATGCGAGTATTGTTAAAGGAGCTGTCTGATAGATTGATGAAATTTTGCTGGCCACTTGATGGTTTCGAGGGAAGGTAATGGCGACCTGAACGTGAGGAGGAAAGCAGGTTTTCCGCTTTCAGAAGCCTGGATTCAAGGTATTGGATATACTCTAAATCGCCACCTTCAAATTGAAACACTCGGGCATGGGAACTCATTGTGTTACAAGAAGAAAGAGATGGCAAAACAAGAAACGAGACCTTTATACTCAATCGAGTATCCATTATAATGGTTACCTCATTCGGAAGCTGCGGCAAGTGCGGGGTAAGGTCAGGCAACGGGCGCCTTCACAAGCACCAATACTTCTTGTGGCCCTTGAGCTATTGCTTACTTAATAATTTCTGTCCTAGCCATTTATTGACTGCTATTTCTGTGTATTGAACCAATATGAGGAGTTAAACCAGTGGGGTCGAGTCAGAATGATACCGTGGGTCTTTTCCATCAAGGTAAGCCGAAGTTAAGAAACACATTAAAACCGAGAGAATTTACAAGCGTTTTCACGCAGGCAGACAAAATTACATCACCTATGGCCACTCTGTCCTCGTTCCAGATAGCTCGCAGGACCTGACAGGCCTGTAAGATCAATATAGGGTCTTGACTGAGATATTCGCAGGATAGCTTCCTCTCATGGAGTAGCGCCAATTCTCAACTGCAACAATGATCTCAATGCCGTTTCAGTGAGACTTTGTTCACGAGGGAGAACAGATGTACGATTGGTGAATCGCCTCCCAGTCTACATTACTATAGCAACATAAAAAACGCAGACTCTCACCTAAACGATTTGATGCCTTCAAGTCACAAGTGGTAGCTGGCTAGTCAAATTGATAAAACACTTTCTCTGGCTCATAAGCTACTACTGAGTAATGTCACAATTATCCATTCTCAACCCCCCAAGGGCGAATAAAGGAGAAAGTCATGCGAGGCTTTGAATTCCCTGAAGGTGATTCTCTGTTTTGTCATCGTCTGGTACGATTGGTAGATAGATTCCCAGTGTATATTCTTGCTTGGACAACGAAGGAAGTTGTGTAAACCCTCACTGGAGCTTCCCGATGAATTGAAATGCCAGGTGATAGTTGATAGCCTCTCAATAGTTGAACGACTGAGAGACTTGACCAGTATCTCTGTGGTATAAGAGAGGAGATCGTCATCGATAATGACGCCATGGAAATCGCGGGTATCTTTGAAGGGATTGAAAAGCTCGTCGAACCTTTTGAGCATCTGAACTCAGCGCATTCTGGGGGATCAGTTCCCATTGAAAGAATGATTCTATTCGCAATTGTAGCAATGCTTTCAAAGCCGTCTGGGATGGGAAAAGAAGGAAATCGATATGAATTTCCTGCCACAGGTTAAGGTCTAAAGCTACTAACGGAGGAAGGATTTCGTACCATGTTTGAAGTAATGCGAGCTCAATCGCGGACTTGATACCCCGGTTCAAACCAGACCGGAGACCTACTACTTATTTATAAGAATCACCACTGTGAGCATCTTCAGCCCGCCAGACGATACTCATGGCTTGTCTGCAGTTCTCACTCTTTCCAAAATGCCTACAGTCCATTTTCCCTGCTGCAGATGATCTTTCTTTGTGGGATGCAACAGATAATTCCGCTTCATCGAATGATTGGGACGAAAGTTCTCCTGGTTTTACCGCCCAGCAAAGGCTTATTGAAAGTATAAGAACCGGGTTTGCTACGTTTTTAGCCGTATTTTCAACTACGAGTTCAGAAACAACAGATCCAGTACCAGAGGCACATTCCTGTGAGTCACAGACTAGTCCTACGGGTGGGTTTCATGTTTCGAGTAGGTTAAGCTGACAAAATGAGCAGCAGCTGATCATCCCTGTACAGATAATGAGATTCTTGTACTCCCTCCAATACCTGCACATATTCGCATATATTCCGACCGCGAGAAGCATTACTTCTGAAAATTCAAGGTTCTCACCAAGGATGCCAAGGCAATATCAATCAGCGGAGCTCACTGTAAGTTTCTCTCGGAGCGCGTTCTTCGGCCGGATTTATAGGCTGATATCAGTTTTACAAGCCTAATTATCTAGACATCAAGAGATTGGCCTCGATCAAAAAGTTTAAACAATTCTTGGGCTTGATGTATAATCACAATACGGTCGATAGCCCTGAATTGCTATTTTCTGTGCAATATTATGATAGAACTGGCGGAATTCTGCGCTGTGGTTCGTGGCTTTACGGGGAGCCAAAATGTGTTCATGAACTCTTTCTGCTACATTTGAAGATTTGTCAAGCAAAGGAATTGGTGCCTTGGGAAACAATTGGCACTAAAGAGAAGTTCAGGAAGGAGAATATGCTTCGCATCTCGTGGGAAAATACTCCCAAAGGGGGCTCTAGCACTGATATTGGACATATTGAGACTTCAAATTTCAAGCGGGTTAAGCTAGAGAGGTTGAGAGGTAGGGCTTGATTTAGAGAAATGTTGGTGTCTTATTCAAAGCCCGTGCATACTGTAATATACTTGAATCGCGAAAGGACCTCTCGTCTGAGCTCTTCCACATCTCCATTTGGGACAACTGGGGAGGAGGGGCTAATTCAGTGCCAGCTTCGCAATCCACCAGGTCTTGTCTTTCCCAGTCATCTGAGCCATGTCATCCAGACATTGAAGTACAGCATTTTTCTGGACAGCTGAGAGCACAATAGTCCCCTTGGAACTTAGATCCTCCGTCAGCTCCAAAGCATCAGTCACATAACGCAACTTTTTCCCCTGTGTGGGTCGTAACCCGCAGCTGTTTATCTTAAAGACAAGTAGATCAAGTTCTGAGATGTATGGAAGTGCATTCGGTCGAACAGTCGATATCGACATCGCTGCAGAGGGAACATAGGGTGACTGCAAGCCATCATTAATATCAAGCCATTTAAAAGAATATCCTGGCAACGAGCTCTACTATCGGGGTATTCTCCGGATAAATTTAACCGAGGTCGCCTATACAGATACTGCATAGACTGTCGATTAACCCATGGAGAGCGATAGTAACTCAATATTGGGATATAACAAGATGCGTTTTATCTGGGTATACCTTCAGATCTTTCAAGTTCTATCTGAGCTGGCCCATGGTGCTGCCTTACGACCACGAATAAACAATGGTCTAGCCAAAAAAACCACCCATGGGGTATGTAGAGTCATTTATAACACTCACTAGTGGTCCGCTGTTGTGCATGTCTAACACGAATCAAGATGGAATACTTACAATCACTACGCATGCACCCCAAACGAAACAATAGTAAAATCCAATGCCAAAGCTCTCGTCGATTTGGGTCTCGACAAACTCGGCTATCGCTATGTAACGATTGACTGTGGCTGGACAATTCCCGATCGTGTAAATGGTTCCTTGACCTGGAACGAAACACTTTTTCCAAATGGATTTCCCGCAATTGGGCAGTATGTTCATGACCTAGGTCTTCTTTTTGGAGTTTACGAAGATGTAGGGATTAGGTCTTGCCAGACTGATACTGAACAAGCCGGAAGTTTATGTACGTTCGACTATGAATTACCTGATCTTTCGACTTGAGCTAAAAATCTTGGTCCACGAGGCACAGGACGCGGCACTGTTTTCGTCCTGGAAAATTGTTGCTTTGAAATGTGAGTAATTTAATAAATCCCTGAAATCCCACGTATATTAATCCCCACCTTTTGTAGATGACAATTGTTTCTCCGATGAAGCAACAGGCTACCCGAACGTCAACTATGAGCCCAGTACTTCCCCTCGCTTTCGCTTCGCGAACATGACCAAGGCTCTCGCTGCCCAAGATCGGGCTGTATTATTTCAGATCTGCGAGTTTATTTCAGATCTGCGAGTGGGGCATCGGTTTTCCAGCTTTGTGGGCACCTGCTCTCGGAAATACCGTGGGATTCGGCCAAAAAATGACAATGACCAGTCTTACAGCTTCTCGAATATACTATCAATCATCATACAGGTTCAGTCTAATTGTTGTTGCCAAATATCTTCTTAAGCTATCAAGGTCCAAATCGTCATCGGGTAGAGTACATTCCTTCACACCCACCGTTGATCATGTGGACCTGGATTCTGTTTCACTCCTTCAGCGTTGTCATGCTGTCAACGTCTAATCTTGTGGATTTTACGGCTTGGGCCTGAGATACCTGCGCTTCGGTCACCCAGGAATCGAGGACTGTTGTAACAAATGATCGATGTCTTTGGTTTTGTTCTCGTGCGTGAAAAGTAATATTTATTTGTTCATTTTCTTTTGCACTTCTCGATCCGCAGCCGAGGTTGGCCGGTAGACCGGTGCTTTAACTTGGTAGAATAGTGCACCTGTAACGATGAAAGGTTGCGGTCAGGAAAATGTGCTGTAATTTCGCCCCATGTCAGCCTCTTTTGCTCCTTTAACTTCACTAACAAGTAGTCCTCATTGGGCGAGTAACGCCGACGTTTGCCCTTCGCCTGACTGCCGCGGTATTTAATCACTGACTGCTTCTGTTTCCTGCTAGGCGCCTCGACTTTATGATTACAATTGGTAGAGAGGTGAGTGGGTGAAGGGATGTTGTCGGGCAATAGTGTCAAGAAAAATGTAGGCTTCGGTCCTTCTGACTCAATTGTAAGAATGGCCCGCCCAATGATATCACGACTCATGTTAGGACAATCCAGTAAGCTACCACGAGAACTCTGAAATTGGTATGAAGCGGCTGTGCTTGTACGAGTGTGCTTGCAATCCAAGACCTCAATGCTTTCTCTATCAGAGAACCCTGGTTGGAGATTGTCTCCTGTGAAGTCCTCATCCGAGGAATCGCCAGACCTCTCACCACCTCCACTGAGAGACATGTCCGATGAGACTGACTGAGAATTCGATCGCGCAATTCGTGTTGTTTGTGATCGCAACGGGGGTATGACAACAGCAACAGAAGGGTACTTCCCTTTCCGACATGGTTTTTTGCTTGTCTTCTCGCTTTCGTTTCTCTGTTTTCTCTTTTTCGAACTTGCTGTAGTATATCCATCCGGGATACATAATGCTTTAGACTTAGCCGACGATTGAAGATCCATCGTCTCAGCCATGTCCGCCCGTTCCGAGGTGACTGGTTCAGGGCTGCTTGGGAGATAAGTGGTCGCAGAGCAACTATCCGAGTTGAGCATAACTTCCTTTCCTGTATACTGGTGCGTATCGTATTTTTCTTTGTTGTGATGTTTCGAAGCGAGACTCAAAAAAGAGCCCCTTTTTTGAGGGTTCAGCTGCGAGAGAAACTGATCGGGAAGAGGACGAGATTTCTGTAGAGCGCTCACACACAGAAGTGGATATATCGGATGAAACGCACTCATCAATAGTGCTTGGGTATCTACGAGAAAACGACTCTTCTCTCTGTAGCGTGACTTCCACTTCTGGAGATTGGTTTGCATCGCCAATCAAACTTGCAGAGTCCGGCCGGACGATTACCATGGGATCAGTCTCGACGGGCGGCGGATCGCTGGAGCTGAGACGAGGAGGTGATGAAGTTTTGGAGGGGCCTGTATCGCCTGGCTCGGAGACACGATTTAGTCTCGCTGGAAACGACGCTATGTTACAAACCATCAGCAAGTGGGGAAGATATGATTACAGTTCATACTCACGATCAAGGGATAATTCTCTGTCAAAATCCTCTTGGTGACCCAAATCAAATGTCGGCAGTGAATCGCAAGAGGCGCCCTCGAGAGCAGCGTCATTGAAAGGGGAAAGGTCTTCCTCCAAACTCTTGCTCAGTTCGATATCAAACATGTTTGGTAAAACGGCTGTCTGCTGGTGCTTCTGATTATTTGCGTGAGAAGCAGTTGAGCGACTCGTCAATGGGCAACCCGGTGTTTGGGAGGAAAAGGGTCTCTCGGACGACGGAAATACGCTAGTACAATACCACCCGCTGTTGAAAGCAGAATGCGGTGGCTTGTAAGGCTTTGAAGGGCCGTGATAAAATTGGATATTATCGAGAGTCACAGACATGCTGGTATTGCAGATTGAAACAGAAGAGTCCAAGAATGAAACAAGTACACTTTTGAAGCAAGAGGCGAATTATTCTGAGGTCAAATAACCTGAAATAAGCCTCTCCTTCCCCTATCCCTTCCGGCAATGATTTAATTCTCCACTGTTCATACTCACCGAGTGTGTCCGGCGCGTGTGAGACAGGGACTCCTTTGGCGGGCTCTCTTCCAATTCAGCTTGGTGTTCCTGTTCTCACGCAATGTAACCCTCCACATCTCCGTTATCTCACCTAAAAATCCGATATGACGCTATTAGGTTTGTCGCAGGGGGTTGGAAACGTAATTTGCGATTTGTGACCAATGGCAAAAACCGCGCACCAACGACACAAGGCAGATAAGTGGCACAGCAAGTAAGTATTTCTGTAGGCTGTGCAGGGTCGCCCAGGCCGTCCCGAGGTGCAGTGGGTCAGGTTTGCTGAATCATATGCAAGAAGCACCACGTCTGCTGACCGTTGTTGCAGGGTCTGGGTGGTATCGTTCTGCCAGGTAGGAGTCTGAGACGAGCTCGAAAACTCAACAATAAAATGCGATCCGATTCTGAAGTGTCCAGTCCGACTGTAGGTTATATGCCTCCGGATAATATATTGAGGGGGCCCGGCAGAGCCCTGTAAGTAGCAGAGCGAGTAGTCATTTGGCCAAGAGAACAAAGCGTCGCTGGAAGGATGGTGTGAGTGGGGATGGATGGCAGTGCTGCCAGGAAAGGCTAGCAATCAGCCTAGAAAAAGTGATCCATCCAAAGCCAATTCCCTAATCGGATTCATGGTGGGCTTGCTGGGAGGGTTGGAGCGAGATAGTCAGAGACGGTGACGATGGAGCGACGCACCGCGCCTTTATACCGTCGGGCGGCGACGTCGCCCGGCGGTGAGGGACCAGGGCGGTCCCGTTGAGGGATAGCGTGCGGGCTAAACCTCATCTGGAGCGCGCTAAACCGGTCTGAGGGCGCGTGGGGGCGGGGGCTAAACCGGGGTTGGGGAGCTGCCGTTTCCGGCGGCGGCGGCCCAAATCGATTTATTACTAACGTATATAACTATCTTAGGATCAAAGAAGGTAATAAATAAAAAACAGTGTTTAGGACGAAATATAGGTATTTTAAGTATATAGTAATACTATTTAGACCTATAAATATACCCGTAGCGTTTCAATATTTTATCTTCAGTATATTAGAAGAATACCTTAATATCTTTATAATAGTATATCTCAATAATATCTTAGTATTTTCTAAAACTATAGAAGAATATATTAAGCATAATAAAAAAGTACTATAAAAACTTAGAAAAGCAAAAGTCATACTCAAACTTAAGAAGTATAAGTTCTACATTAAGGAAACAGACTTCCTAGGATATATAATCAGCATAAACAGATTCAGTATATAAGAAGACAAAATCAGAAGTATTTTAGATTAGCTAATACCTAAAAATATAAAAGAAGTTTAATAGTTCCTAGGGTTATACAACTACTACTAACGTTTAATCAACAGATTTAGAAAAGTTATAGTTAACCTTAATAAACTAATAAAGAAAGACTAAAAGTAGGTCTAGGACAACTAATCAGAAAATTTATTTAATACCCTTAAGAACCTGTTTATTAAGTAAATAATACTTATACCAGCCGACCTAAACAAACTATATATAGTGGAAACCGATATATCAGACTATATACTCAGAGCATAACTTATCCAACTAGGGGATAACAGAAAACCCTGACTAGTTATATTCTGGTCCAGGAAAATAATACCTATAGAAATCAACTATAATATCTATAATAAGGAACTACTAGCTATAGTATTAGTACTTAAGGTCTAGAGAGTATACTTAGAAGGAGTAAGCTACTAAATTCTTATAAAATCAGATTATAAGAACCTTATATTCTTTACCAGTATAAAAGAATTAACCAGATAATAAGTATAATAGGCAGAAACCTTAGTAAGATATAATTATAGGATTAAATATTGCCTAGGCACAGCTAACAGCCAGGTAGATATACTCAGCAGAAGACCTAACTATACGATAGAGGTTAAGGAAGCCGTTCTGGCTATACTTAAGGAAAATAGAGATAGCTATCTAGTATATAATCACCAGATTTTAGCTACTACTAGCAAAATTAAGAACGATAATTAGATAGAAAGACTAAAGAACAGTCTTATTAATAACCTAATTATAGAGGAGAAAATAGATAGGGAATATATTAAAAACAATAATAGGTTAATCTATATCTATAGATTAATCTACGTCCTATAATAACTTTAAGATAAAGCGATATAACGATATTATAATAACCCAGTATATAGTTATATAGGAGAAGAAAAGACAACAGAACTCCTTTTAAAGAACTACTATATCCTAAGTATACGTAAGAAAGTAATAAGATATATTAAGCAGTACAATACCTACTAGTAAAATAAGCTATTATAATATACTCTATACAGTAAGTTACAGAACTCAGAAGTACTAATATAACTATAGAAGTAGATTATACTTAACTTTATTACTAAACTACCTAAATCAGATAGATATAATATAATTATAGTAGTAGTAGACTGATTAACGAAATATTTATATATAATACTAACAACAAAAACTATCAATATAAATACTATAGTATTTCTGTTATTCAGATATATATTTACTAACTACAGAATACTGTAGAAAATAATATCAGATAAAGATAAGCTCTTTATAAGTAAGATATAGTAATTATTTGTAGATATCGTAGGTATTAAGTATAGACTCTCTACTGCCTACTACTCTTAAACAAACAGCCAAACAGAGAGAATAAATCAAACTCTAGAACAGTTCCTAAGATACTATATAAATTATCAGCAAGATAACTAGGCAGGACTATTACTATTAGTATAGTTTATATACAACAACAGTATATATACAACTACCAAAGAAACACTATTCTTTACAAACTATAGGTATAATCTCTCGATTATTAGTAAAGTAATCAGAAAGAAGACAGAAGCAGAGTTATTAAGACTACTAGCTTTAGAACTTAAGTAACTATACCTCTAGTTGGCTAGAGATATTAAGTTTTTTAACCTATAGATAAAGTACTACTATAACAAATTATACCAGAAAGGACCTAACTTTAAAAAGAGAAAGAAAGTATACCTCCTATATTAGAATATCAAAACTAAGCGACTAAGCTTGAAGCTTGACTATCTAAAACTAGGACCCTTTAAGATTAAAGAAAAAACAGAACCAGTTAATTTTTACTTAAAGCTACCAGATAGCATACGATATATCTATACAATATTTTATATCTTATTACTCAAAACTGTACTAGAAAACGCCGAACTTGCTATAAATATAGAAATAGAGAAAGAGACCAAAAACGAATATAAAGTAGAGGAAATTCTGGATATAAAACGCGTTAACGGAAAACCTTACTACTTAGTGAAATAGAAGGGATACAATACCTTAGAAAATATATAGGAACCTACCGAGAACCTAACAGACTGCCGCCAGCTGGTTCAACGGTTCTACTAGGAGAAGAACTACCCAGTAAAGAGATATCCAGGCTGTCCTAGAAAGAAAGAGACAACTAAATAATCTTATTTAATATCTGATCAAAGTTTAGATTGTCAGTAGTAGCCGTAAGCTACTAAATATCCTAAGCAGAAGGAGCAGTCTGCTCAGAAGACAACGTCTTTTTATCCAAAATATATAATAACTCAGCATTATAATCAGACATCTTAAACTCCTTCTGCTTTAAGAAAGCTATTTATTTCTGCAGCTGACGCTAGTAGGATATTGCTTCCTAATATTATTTTTGTTTATTCAATACCTGCTGATATAGCTCTGTAAGACGAGACTGTAAATTGTTTAACTTAGGTTCTAACAAATTAAGTTTATCTTTATTCTTTTTAATATCAGAGGACAGCTTATCCTTAGTATAACGCAATAAATCCTATTCCTGACTAGTGTAAAACTCTTGTTTATATACACAACCGGTATAAGTATATAACGTATATTTAGAATAACGATAAGTCTGATCTATCATATAAACCTCACCAGATTTACAACAACAGTTATACAGAACGGAGGTAACGAAGGAATTTAAAACAATAAAATCAGCCTAACGAATATAACCAGTAACTTAATTATAGGGAACAGGGAGCTTAGGAATTCCTTCGAGATAAGAGTCAGCTTTATATTTAGGTATAATAGACTATAACAGAGAAAATTAAAAACCAAAGGGACCGATACCTACCGAAAGGGGGGCGAGCAGTTATAAAGAATTCTTAAGGACGAAAACTAAAGAGAGGGGAAGATAATGTTACAGACTATACGATATAAGGGGCCGTAGGGGCTATAACCTACAGATAGGCTACTGAGAGCTAACCATTCCTAGGAAAGGAACACAGAACCAGATCATATAAACAACGGCAGAAATCAGCCTCTGATTTGCCGTATCAAACAATACTATACTAAACCACAAGACGGCTAGCGCAACGCAAGAACGGACGTTCTTTCTACCGTTACCAATACTACGCTATAAGTATAAGTACCTGATAAAGGACCTACGTAACTAACCTGGTACAGAAAACGGCCACGCTTTCATATATTCCGGAATTATGCCTAGAATACGAGGACCTATAAACTTATATGTAACCACGAAATGGTAGATAGATATTTCGATCAACGGGTAGATTGTGCTAAGCACTATCTACTACCCTACTATCTACTACAAATACTATCTAGAAGGACTAGGATATATAGGATACTCTTCATATATATATATTTAGTCTTTTGCGATTAATTAATCTAAGTTACTACAGTATACCTTTCGGGTTATTCTTTATTTAGTTTTATCTCTTATAACAAATATACTATAAGTAGGGGAGCTCTTCAGACTGACCTACTTAGCGCTCTACCTGGCATATCCTTCGAAGTTACTCAACAGGATCTGAGTCTGTATAAGGCTTAGCACAGCAACGGTACGATTGCGAGTCAGTACTTAAGGATTGCGAGTGATAGATATCACGTACGACCAACAACACAGAGAACAACTGGTAAGTTGTTTACCAACGATCTAACCACTCACCGTGACCAGTTAGCAATGCGTAACAATAGCCTGTAGATCTTGGTGCGTATACTTATGATAATGATTCAAGTGCCATCAAAATTATCTCAAGGGGTAATATTCTGCGTTTCGCGCTATTTTGCGCTGGCTTTTCTAGGCCCTACCCAGACCTTTATAACATAGTATCCTATAAAGTCTATAATTATTGAGACTCTCTTCCTGTCTACTCTTAATAAGTTTCCAACGAAAAGATATCCTTACGATGGCAAACGATCTTAGACTTTCCTGAAGTTATACTGAGAAATATACTACTAAGCCAAAATTATATGCTGGCAGATCCGGAAATTTATCGAATCACTTGATCTGGTTAAAAGTCTCGGAATCTAATACTGACTCTGGCTCGTTAAACCCAGTAATAAGCAAGGTATCTGATATAAGTTAAACTCTGTTATTTTAATTCCCGTTCCTGCCATATACTATAGTAATCCCTATCGTCATATGCTGTTTTGTACCTATAATTAGCCTTAGACTAATATAATTCTAGAGATATTCTACAAAACGCTCTACGAAGCAATATCAGAAGTCTTCCTATCAGGAGTATTTTAAAGTTCTAGATAATTATCAAGAGTAGGTTAAAAGAATTATCGCTGAGAAAGAAGATAACAGAACTACTACTTCCCAGCTTATTCAAGAGCTCTATACTAAGAAGGCTCGAGAGATATCTAACGTATATAAATTTATTACCAAAAAGGATACTATAGTTACTGAGGTTAATCGGCTTAAAAAGGAGACTTTATAGCAGCGGCAGTAGCTAGAGTCTACAAACACTATGTTGTAGTACCAGGTAGTATAGGACAATATACAGCTAGTCTTATATCAGATATATAGAGAATTAATCTCTGCTACAGCTTGTTTCAGAAACTTAATCGATAGTCTTCAGAACAAACGACTAACATCCTTCTTACCCGGCACTGGAGTTTTCTATAGTAATTAAACCGCCTTAACTGATCCTTTAGGGCCCACCGACCCCAGTGTGCTTCCTAGGTTTTTCCGGGTCAAGCAACCCGCTGCTGTTTGACCTATAAGCTCTAACCTTGACCAATGATTATAGGCCATTTCCCTAAGATCAACAAGACTGATAATTTCCCAGGGTAGGATATCGTATCTATACAAGGAAGTCTCCTATATCCTTTCAGATTATCTAATTAATTTCTGCAGCCTTATCTCTACCAAAGAAGAACGATAACATTAGGTTCTTTCTCTCGATAAATTTAAACTGTGTCTTTTTCCACTACTGAATAGCGCCGATTGGAAGACACTCTAAGTAGTACTTTTGTCCTACCTCAGTTCCATAGTTCTATAACTTCATACCGTTCAGGCATACCCTTTTATTTCCCGGGCAACTATCTCCGTCTGCTTCTTAGCTTCCCTGTCTTGGGGTATTTTACATGACACTACGAAGCATTCAATTGAAACATGGAAAGCTAGTCAGTTAGACCGTAATTTTAGTACACAGTTCAGTCTTTTTGGAAAGATCTAATCGTGGAAACCAAAATCATTTCGAATTCCAACCCGATAGCAATATTGCTCTCGAACGGGTCGCATTTTTGTGACAGTTGGTCAGCCCTGCAGACAACTCAGAATCCAAAGAACAGGTCGGGGCAACGGATCGCGCGCGCAATCCTCCAGGCCGCCACAGAGGTCCAAGCAGATGGAATCACACATCGCCTCCAATGGGTACCAGGCCATTGCAATAACCCAGGGGACGATGCAGCAGCCTCAGAAGATCGTCCTGGCCCAGGTATAATATGCAAGTTCTAGTCGTGTGCGGTCATCTGGGTAATAGGATACTGATTTACTTCTAAGGAAGGTTGATTGTTTTGTACCAGAAGGATTAACTGAGACTATATATACAACGAGAAGATCCTTTTGATTGAAAATCAACTTGTTCTTCGTATAGACAAGAGGGAATTAATTTCGACGGTGCGGTTTGATTTCTGATCTGCACCAGACTCATATCTTAACAAATTTCAAGGGAGCAAAACGTCGATGTTTGCTTAGGACACTTCATAAACCCCTTCGGAGAGGGGCTTGGTGGCTTTACGGCCGACCCACCGTTCCACTGGGTTTTCTCCTGCCATGTGGGGCGAGGGTGGGGCACGGATATAGCGGTACGGCTGTACGGTGTAGGTTTGAATCTGAAACCGATCTGCAAGCTTCATCTCCAAAGCTTGGCCCCCGCCAAGCCCTTGCTCCTCAGTCTCCGCAGTACAGGCAGACATGTATTGTGTGAGGTTCTGGCAAATGGTCCACCCAGCGTCGCTTGGAAGCCGCTGTCGACCTCTAGGCGTGAACCCTCCTCGTAATTGAATTGCCCACTTCAAATCGTTTGTGCGCATCATAATCCATTTGCCTACAGTGACCCTTCAGCCTGGATCCAACATTTCTAATATGCGGAATTGGGTTTCAGAGGAAGCCGGGAATTCCACGTGTGCATTCTTAGCTTGGTACCTTACCTGTGTATCTTCCCGAGATGGACTGGGAGCCTCGGGATGTCGCGCTGCGCTTTCGTCAAGCTACAAAAGTCCATGGTTGCCTCCTCGTCGCGGAGACCGCTGGCTGTTCCACTACCGAGGCGGCTGCTTCTGCTTCGCCTGGCGTGTATTCTCTGACTAATCAGGCCCCTGCCTCGTAACAACTGGGGGCCAAAATCAACACACGTAATACTACAACATCAATTATCTATAATACAGCGTATTCGTGGTATCAGCGGCGCTTCTTAGCGTCAAAGTATGCAGTGGATCTCAACAAGTATTTCTCTGTTCCTATCGAACAAGTTTCTTTTTCATTCCCTTCTTTTATGTTGCTTGAATTTTGAACGATTTCTATCCCCTTTCATTCCAAGACTTATCAAAATGAGTGTCAATTGGCTACCGTGGCCCACCCAACGCCTTCACGCTGCCTTGGAAAGCGAAGCGACATGGGGATATGTGATTTACCGCACCACCTACACCCCTCAGTCGGACACTGCATTCCCCCGATTCATCGATCTGCTCAATACCTGCATCAAAGACCAATTATTCTCCGAATACGCCTTGGCCCAAAAGAATAAATCAGAGCGTGCAGAACCTACTCCTTATCTGGAGATATGGGCTCGACACCGTCCAATCTTCATGACCGATCCGGCGCAGTTCGATGAAGCATCAATAGACTCGATCCGTGCCCACTTTGAGTCATGGGTAGTCTTGCATGAGAAACGAGATCATCCAACTATGTATCGGACATGTATACTATATGACGAAGAGTCACAACGGGCATTTCTGGACGCTTTGCTTCAGGAGGAAAATAATGAGTCTCGCAAGAAGGAGATTCACCCAATCCATTGTGCCAAGTTGATAACGGCACTGTCGGAGTCCGATGACGACGACGAGTATGATGGTTTCATGGGCGGGGAACGATCGGATAGGAATGGTATTGATCCGATCCCCCACAGGAAGGATATAGCAGCACTTTCGGAGTCTGATGACGACGACTATGACGGCTTCCTTGGGGGATACATTTGATGACCTATTATTATAGGGGTATGGACGGACAGAGAAGACATGGAGATGCATTGAAAGAGATCGACTAGAAGGTTATTTGGAGCGGGATTGTGATCCAGGAATACGTTTACTTTCAGAAATCACGATACCGAGTGGCTCGAACAAAATCTGCAAATAAAATTTTACAATACAGGAGATCGTCACAAAATAGTCAGGACAAGGAAAGTCCAGCGAAACGGAAAGGCCACCTGGGTAGTAGAGTAGTTGGCGGCTTCCGATTCAAAATGAGATTTTTATCGAGGGTCCACTTGATCAAAGTCAGTTTTGCTGCTAGTTTACGCTTAGCATCTAGCTCCGCTGCTTGGCTGGCCCACTTGCTTTAGTGACGGCTAGAACTAGAGGAGCACCGCCCACACTACATAGATGTAGATGGACCCATTCCTTAGTTAGGAAAGCCCTGGGGGTGATCCTTTTCTTTTCCTCTGAGCAGTAGGCCATTGCGCTAGCCTCAAAAGCTGAGAGTAGCGAGGCTCAGGGGTCCTGCGACCGAAGCTATTTAATGGCACCAGTCCTAGCACTGCAGTGTTCTCTATAAGGGGTATTTTGAGCAAAGATCAAGCTTGATACCCCAATATGACTACTGAAAACGCCCCCGCGACTACCTTCGCACCGAAACTCCCGTTGACTACCTTTTTCAAGCCACCGAGCTCGTGCGATAATCTATCCTGGGTTTCCTCAGATTGCTTGGGGAGCACTTGTGAACGTATCTATAATATTGTACGCGCGACGGAGACACAATGCTATCCCTCAGGCTGGTCAACTTTGGCAACAGCGTTTTCACCAGGGATAATATGCCCAGGTGGTTATTCCATTGCCGCCACATCTTTGATCTCTTTCGGAGCTGCTAGTACTGAGACTCAAGCAACATGCTGTCCTAGGTATGAAAGCGAGACTTCTGTGTTCATAATCAAGCTTGCAATCTGACAAGAAACCTGTTGGGTATGTTCTAGTGGCTTTACCGTTGCAACCGAGAACTCTCAAGCCTGGTACGAACGCGAGCCCTGTCTCATGAGAAGCAAGGGCGTTACAACTTTGACATATACGATTATCGGCACCACACCCATCACCACCACTGCAATTACGTATTCCAATCCGGTAGTCCATGCAATGCCAATTGGCATCATGTGGCAGTCAACAGACACCACGTCTTCACCGACAACAACAAGTTCTACACTTACAACGAAACGGCCAATACCAATACCAACCTCAGCTCAAAACCACTCAAGCCTATCGAGCGGTGCAAAAACGGGCATTGGGATTGGCGTCTCCATTGGCGTGGTCGCTATCGCCCTTGTGTTCGGCGCGTTCTTCTGTTTTCGACGGAGAAGAACCCGAGGTAGTACTCTACAAGCTCTCAGTGAGGATGACTCGAAGCAAAAAAAGTTCAGCAATCGAATTCCGACCGAACTTAATGATTCATCGTCGACCTCGTGGACAGCTGAGTTGTCCGGAGACCAGCCAGGACCGTGTCGGCTTAGCAATTAAGCCGGGAGTTTAATAAACTCGACAGGCGGAAGAACGCATAGTGCCATCTGTCCATGCATGGGGGTTGTATGAGACGTAGCTGAAGCTGTTCTAGGCAGAATCCTGATCAAGGACGCGGTAATCCTTCAAGTTTCATTTATAATTGTAGCTAAAAGTGTCATTGACTATTTTAGGTACACGGGTGCGGAATTTGCGAAACATCTTTGTAAATGTAGTCTATTGAGAAATTTTAGATGGAAGAGGGTGGACGTAATAATTGGAAATGTAATACGACGATATTATCTAGCTGTTCTTGGGGAGATGTATATATTCGTTTTCTCGAGAACGATTTTAAGAGAAACACATAAAAATGTTTTTTTTTCACACCGCTACTCGGTGGTCCATGAAAGAGTCAGGCATGAACCTGAGGAGAAAGTGAAGTAGATGAGCAAGCTGCATAGCTAGTCCGCGGCCTTTTTCTGAATAGCTTCAAGGGCTTATCTGACCAATTAGCAGCCGCTGGCTAGAAAGATGCCGACCAGTGTTGGTGCCTCAGGATGGGGGCTTCAATCTTCAACATAATCTACAATATCTCATAATATACTTTAGTAGTTGTTGGGCCTCTCTGTGTTTCTTCAACATGAAAGCACAAACGCTGGCCATCATACAATGTCTTGATGGGTTCCTGGATCAAGAAACTCAAATTAGTCGACAATGTAAATTTCTGCGAGATTTAATTTGTACCTGGATTACTGAATAGTTGACTAAAACTTTTGTATTGCCACTGCCCGGCTCAATGGAGCCATATCCTTTGGTTCCATTGTACGACTTGACATGTCCACATTCCTTGGTTGTCTCCAACGCCAGCTGGGCACAGAGTGCAATATAGCCGGGGGAGGATAAGAGGTGAGATTTGAGACTATGGAAGCAGTCCAGCTGGTGACGTGATTTCAAGTTCAAAATTGGTCATATTAAATTCCATCGATTTCTTGGTCTTACAATCAGCGACGCCATGATCTGATATTCTGGAATGTTGTACTTCATAGCGGTGTACATTGTGCAGATCTCCAATCACCTATCACCCCGAGATCCTCTACACGTTCTGGAACTTTCATTTAGTTTCGCACTAAAAAGAAACCAACGCTATGAGCCTTGTACTTCGCATTGATGGCTCGATTTCCCTAGCTTCCCTTGAATTAGTGTTCGAGTGTTTCGTGATAATGCTCGGCATCATCAAAGGAGCTTTCACTTGTGTCGTGGACGGCGAAGAAGGCAGTGTCTGTGTAGCAATTTTATGTAAAATACATTACTCAATGTTCCTTATTCGTATCTTAAAATATAGAGACTATTCAAGATAGCGGTATAGAAAATGACGACCTACGTATCTAAACAGGACTTGTAACTTCAGCTTTGGCTGTTCGATACTGTACACATACTGTAACCAAACTTTCAATCTTGAGCAAAATAGGAAACCTCATTTCCCCACTTTTGACAATCGTTCCACGTGCGATGCCGTGCTATTTATGGTTTCCACCGATAAGAGGACCATCTAGGGGAGCAAAAGCGCCCCAAGATAGAGATCACGGTACTTGGCTGGCCAGGTTATGACGATAGTGTTCAGCAAATATCCCTAAGATTTTGCCTAGTTGAATATAGGATATAGCATCTTGGAAAGAGAGAATCATATCCCAGGAGCAATACCTCGCTTACTACTGATAGCAAGCTTTTGTGTCATTCTTGACCAGAGTACGTCAAGCTGTACGGACAGGGCTCTATTCTGTCTGAAGGGGCACCAAGAAGTCCTACAATCTAAGCAGGCATCCGTTGAAATATTCTGTTTTCAAGTAACTACAACAAGACGCTCGCGCACATTACGGCAAAATTATGATTGTGGACGAAGTCAAGCGTGCCTGGGTAACTTGCCTGATGTTCCTTGACTTGTGGACAAAGGCCAAGTCAAAGGCTTAAACGTCAAAATATTTTGTCGCACTGCGCGCCAACGCAGACCGGTACCACCAAGTGGCCGATACCCGTAGGCGTAAGGAGGTTGGTATCTCCGAAACAAAACCCCTACGCTGTACCTGTGGCCTTCCCCCTCCGAGCCTCGTCAACTTCTCCCTATCGTCATGGAATTTATTGGTACCCTTTGCTAGACGGCCTATAGTACCTTCTTCTTACAATCGATGACTACCCCAAGTCCGTGAATGAATCTCTTTGATTATCTTCGCTAGGAGCTACAACCAAATCCTTTTGGGTCACTCCACCTACCACCTTGCGGTTGAGGATAAGATTTCATTCAATTGTGTAGCAGACGTATTTTGAATGCTCTTTGTCGTATTTGCTACCTTCTTCCCATTCGGCAAATGGTTGAAAATTGAACTGATCTGACTACGGCTGATCCGTGGTACGATCACGGGGTAGGGCTAGGGGAGTACAACGTTGCGGGTGTACTACCGAAGTAACTAAGCGTGGGAGCATACTTCCGATTTTCTGAGTCGATCCGAGGTTGATCTGCATCGTCACCAAAAGAGCTATTGATCATCGCGAATACCTTCAGGGGAGGGGTAGTCTAGAGTAGGGCTCCGAAAGGAATAAAGGGATGCGAATATATGACATATTCATATTCGCACTCCACGAATATGAATAGAAGTTTTTTTTTTTGTTGAGTAACACGGTGGTCGAGCCTATGATGGGATCGTCAAGAGACGTATAAATAGATGAGGAGTCCCACCTCCCACAAGATAGTCAATCAAGACTCAATAAGGAGGGGGGGGGGGCAGACTAAGCTAGCCCTGTCCAAAAGGGAAACCCTCAAAAAAAATCTTTTTAATAAAAACTTTTTGCCAAATCTGTTGTCTTTGCACCACCCTCCCTTTGTCGCCCTCTCTTGTCTATTCTTAGTGTCCGCTTTTACTTGATCGCCTCCTCTTTGTCGATAGGGAGGTTATATTGAAGACTGATAAGGAGATCAGAGGACCATTGAAAACAGCCGGGTGCAAGAATTGGGGCACACGAGGTCAACGGGCAGCTACAGTAAAAGTAAGGGAGGGAGGTGAGTTCGGTCCGCATAGAGTCTAATAATCTTTTTTTTTTTTTTTGGAAAGGGGAAATTTCAAAAACTAAGTCAATAACTCACTGGCCTTCAACTTGGGCGGGACAGGCTTTAAATCTGCATCCCTGCCTCTTGGTCATGGTCCTTCCATCCCAACCGACCCTCTCTTAATACACACTTCCCTTTCTTGACACCCGACTTTTTCACCCCGCCCTGTATTATTCGGGAAGGGCATAATCTCCTATATATTGATAATTGCTAAACATCTTTATCTTTCTCTCACACACTCTCTCTCTCTCTCTCTCTCTCTCTCTCTCTCTCTCTCTCTCTCTCTCTCTCTCTCTCTCTCTCTCTCTCGCTCTCTCTCGGTCACACTAACAACCAAATCTTGCAGATTTCAATTTGACTATGTGCCCTAGAAACCTCGACACTATTTTGTACTTACCTATACTGCGATGAACCCCCCAAGGACTAGCTCGTCACCAAGTTCCCCACATCCACCGTAGAACAAATCGTGCTACATCCTCGACTCCATTGGTCCTTTGAGTGGGGTGACATTCCCGCTTGTGTGAAGCAGATCTCGGAAATGAGCTTCTATGATGGGTCGGCGCTAGTTAACGCGTATAGCACCTATGGCGTCGACCCCGCGCACGGCGCACTAGCCGTGATCAGGCCGGATGGGTTTGTGGGTCGTTGCGCAACTCGATGATGTGAAGCAGGTGGAGGGATATCTCCAGGCGTGTATAGAAATGTTTTTTAGGTGTAATCATGAGCCCATGCGTTAGTTTGCTGTGAATTGCTGTTGAATTGGTCTGTCTTCGAACTGAACTGCGTGTGCAGTGTATTCTATGTAAATTTGACCAGAAATGTGTGTATGTACCGTTCAATGATCGTACAAAACATACGCTAAACGAATGTAGGAGATTCCTTCTCCTGACGCTTGAACGCAATGGAATGAAAGCATCCATAATGAATCATATAAACGCCGTAGTCCTCCTAATGAGGAGATGTCTGGGACGAATGATGAATAGGCCTCGGGTCATGGGTATTGAAAATATCGACAGATGTAGAGTCGCGCTGAAATCAAAAGCACGAAGACGAGAAGCAAGTTTGACTGAGACACTGGTAGGAAGAGAGGTAAATGGCGACAGGTCTTGGCTCAGCATTTGCCATACACCTGGCAATAGCAAAGTTGCTCATCGGGACAACTAAAGGTGAAGAAAAAGGTCGTTAGCCCTTGCTATATCCAGAAAATCCAGAGAGAAGCAATCATTTACTAGATTGAGTTCATTCCAAAAATGATGTGCCAAAGAAACTCCATCACTCGCCCGGAAGAAGCATCATTCAACTCGGTGTCTATAATCCACTGCCGGAATTTGATATAATCCTCCCGCGGTCGCGCATGCACCTGGCTTCGCGAAACCGCAAATTGCGCGCAGCACGCGGCGCCGGAGAATAAATGCGCAGCTACCGCTGGTTGCGCAAGGTATATAGCCAATCTGCAGGCAAGTGGCAGCTTGGGCCCCCGTCTAAATGTATCAAGGGTCGCGCTTCTCATGCGCCCTGTGAAATGTTCCATGGTTTGCACGTGGCGAGCAGCATTCTTGGGAACAATTTAGAGGGAACAAAGGCCCTCTGGAAAAAAGTACTGCCGTCCAGAACGTCGTCGCGAAGGAGGTTACGTACTTCCCCACCGCGCTATTGGTTAGGGAGGCGTGCCGTGTGGGGCTTTCGGGTAACCCCTAAGACTCCATGGATGGTTATCACAGATAGATTATTTGTCAGTGAGAATGACGTGGACGCGATAAGATCAAGATTGCGCAACCTTGATGAGAAGAATAAATGCGATATAGACATATTTGAGAAAGTGAGAAACGAGCACCAATCCCCTGGGCCAGCGTGATCACTACAATAAGATTCGGCTATAAGTAGTATTAATAGTGGCTACGAGTATGCACATCATTCTGGTTTCGGGGGCTGAAAAGCGGATATCAAACTTCCGTCAATCTCTTATTAGTTGGGGCCGGGGGCCAAGGGTCATGCGAGGGGCCAGGGGAGGGAGGGATTGCTTGTTTCCGAGGCTTCAGATACAAGATAAACAACTCAACAGCAGAATTAAGACCTCGTTCATTGCCCATGTTCCGTAATACCAACTCTAGGTAGGATCTGAGGGCCTAGTATGAACGTTATCTGTGGACAGGATACTCTTCAAAATAAATAAATTTACTAGAAAAATATCATCAATATTCTCGAGTGTACTAGATAGTACTCTGTGTCATATCTCTAGTTGGTATTTTATAATGATGGGGGCCAAGAGCAAGCTTACTATTCAAGGAGGCTAAGTAACGGGATGCTTTGAAAGGCTGATAAATCCCTCTTCTCTAAAGTATCTAGGTGAAACTCGCCTAGGTCTATCTTTGTAGATTTGTGTCCGCTACTGGAAGTAGGCTATGGTAACCAGTTGCCCTCGCCTGGACCCCTGGTCTCCCTGGTGAGGACCGCTCGCCTGCCATTCCTCTTTGTGCTGTGTTCGTGTTACCTTTGACCCTATCCTTTCTCCATAGTAAAGAAACCATCGACAAGTAAAGGCTTCTCCTTCACATATTGAACACAATGAAGTTACCAGTAGAATGGACCGTGGAACGAACAGGACTGAAAAAGAAAACAGCTACACATTTTCCACCAGCCTACGAGGGCTTAGGTCTGATAATCCTATATAGACGTTGCCATTGACGAGACATTACATTGAGTAGATAACAAGATATCATCCCCTCCCCATCACCTATAGTATTCAACAATCCCAATCGTCAACAATCCCTCTCAAATCTCTGTACATGGGTTCCTGTCTTCATCGAAATCGCGCAGGTAGACAGGTAACTCATCCTGAACATAGAGCTTAAGTCTAGCACCTCCATCTTCTTTCAGTTCCCATTGTACGACAACCTTGCCCCTGTGTCCCACTATAGAGTAACCAGCAGCGTATGGCATAGAGTGGATATTGGTTTCGGACATGTCATTGTCAGTCAGCGCCTGAACAATAGCCTTGTATCCTATGGACTGTTTAGTTTTGAACGGTTTATCCGAGGAGTGCACGATATAGGCCTGCGTCTGAGTTGTGAAGTCGATTAGATCAAGAGCTGCCTCCAGAGGCGTGATGATCTTCTTTTGTGTTGCTTCTGCGTTGTCCATCGTCATTTCTGACCCATATTCCTGTGGGTAATGCCCGATGACAGCTCCCTGGCCATCGAGCACGACAACGACGGTACACCCATAGATCTCGCTTGTGCCGTATAAAGCTGCAGTTTTTGAATCAAACGAGACATGGACAGTACCACCTGTTTTTACCAAGTTGTTGCCTTTGATAGTCCCGTAAAGCTCTTCAAGAGCACTTGAGGTTTAATCGGGGACTATTTGGGGGCCCTCTTGAACACCTTGCGGCTCTGTTAGATCGCACTCATCGCATCTTCCTTTCTTTGACTTCTTGAATTTCTTGAAAATTCCAGACAATCCTCGAGTGTCCAAACTTTGACCTGGCGCTAGAGCAATATCTCTTCTATGAAAATCATTTTGAAAAGTCAGAAATCGAACCTCGTTTTCTTTTCTTGAAATTAAACTGGTAGGAACATACTGCTCTGCGGGTGCAGACTGCACTTGCACTGCAACCAGCAGCACAAGGAGCAGGGCCCCAAGAATAGAATTCAACAATCCTCTGGTACTCATGACGATTCGATTTTAAAAATATGCGACGCAAAGTATAGGAAGAAAAGGATATATGAAGTCAAGTGTGAACAACTGGCCGCCGTGCCTCTTCAAGATAACTCTACGAGAAGTTCCATCAGTTTTGGATTTGTATATATATGGTTTATCTCTTCCAGCCAATGTTTATTTATAGTCATGGGCCCCAAAGTGGGTTTGATGGGAAAGGACTAGTCAGATTGATCCTTGAGAATTGGCCCCCTTGGCTCCATCTTAGCCCCCAGCCCCCAGCCCCCAACCCCCATTTGTTTCACATAGGGGCCAATTCTGAATCCTGTCATCTCCGATGCACAACTATTGTGATGATTATTCTGACAGAACAAGCATTCTCGTCTATATTTGTCCATGGGCGGCCTGGCGAATGATTACTTCTCTTACGTAAGATTCCCCGCATTTTAGGCAGGTTGGTTTCTTAACTTCCATCTTTAAGGGGCTTAAAGCTAAGAAGTCTCATTCTTTATTCATAGTCAAACAGAGACTTAAAACCTTCCATTATCTTCTATCAGTCACCGATAAAATGAGCTATCCGAAAGGCAATACCTTTTTCCATAGGCTGAAAAGCCGTTGGCCTTTGCGGACTTCTCGGAAATCCCAACCGTTGATTTGCATGATGCCCGTCGAAATTCTTGAGGCTATTGCCATTCTACTAAAACCATCCGAGTTTCGCGCCCTCCGACTTGCCTGTAGAGATATTTATGAGAGTACAACCCACTCCTTTGGGCGGGAATTTCTAAAAACAGTGCACTTCGACCTTTCTCAAAATGCAATCGAACGCCTGTCAAAGATTGCAGAAAACCCTCATCTAAGGCAGCACGTTCAGCTGCTGGTCATCCAGGAACCTGAAGACAACTTGTTTGGACGTGGAATTTCATGGACAAGAGATTCTTCTGGTCATCTTGCTGTACCTGAAAAAGCAGTTCAGCAGTGGCAAACGGTGCTAAGTCGCCTAGTGAATTGTAAAGGATTTGAGATACGTCGCGAGCATTCCTTTGAAACTTCCGATCTTTCCGGTCTTAGGTCCAGTGAGGCTATTGCAGTCGTTCTTGGTATTATTGCCGAGGCATCTATCCCCGTGTCAGCTTTTGCCATTCATTTCAAACCCAAGGGAACGATAGGCAGCAACCACGTGGAAATGGAGTGCCTTAGCTCCCTAGATCTCGGAAAGCAAGGATTTATCGCCGCATGGGCCCATGTGCAAGACCTCAGCCTTCAATATACGATGGGATCAGATGATGCGAGCGAAGCTTTACAGACCGCCGACTGGACCATCGAATTGGTGCAATATGCCACAAGGCTCATTAAGTTGGATCTTAACTTCGACCTTGGGGACCAAGCAGATTCGATTATCCGCCGCCTATCCACTCTCAATTCATTGTGTCAACTTCAAGAGCTGACGTTGGAAAGCTTCAGCCTGGTATCCGAGGAAGCCCTTCCAGAATTCTTGTACATGGTTCGCAAAAGTCTACAAACTGTATCATTCTCCTCTTCTACACTGCCTGGTGGATGCTGGATTTCAATTTTAAAATGTTTGGGTAGTGAATTCCCATCGCTGAAGAGCATCAACTTGCAATTCCTGAGAGGAACAGATCAAGGTCTACTTCATTTCCCCCGACTCTCGGAAAGTCCAGATGTTGACGAGGGCACAAGCTTTACTGTTGAACAAAAAATGCGCCGCAGGGGGCTTTTGAACACGACTGTTGGCTACTCGGGCCCGAGTATGGGTAAAGCGATTTCGATCCTTGTGGAATGTGCTACCTTCGACTAATTATGCGACTATAATCTCATTCCTACACGGAAAGCATCATCGAGTTTTGCTGGGAGAGGTGCTTGCGGCCACGGAATCAATTGGCCGTCTGCGATCCAGGTTCTTTCCCGGTCACCAGTCAACCCATGAACGAAGCAGATATCAACTGCAGCATCTGCACAGTCGTACAGGACTTTGAGGCCTTCTGCCTTCTGTAAAAGTGGGGCAAACTGGCTCGCCGCTGCAGGGTGGAGGACGGCTTCCATGCATCATTTGTTGCGTATCAGATGCATTTTCGTACTGGCGCCAGCGGGGGGAGTGTCTCATCATTCAGAAGGCGCGGGATTCATACGAGCAGCCGAATAATTGAGAGGAAGAGAGATGAAAAGGAAGATCAGGGTATACTAGGATTCAGGGGTGGTCTGGCGACCAGGTACTAGTGCCATCACATGATAGTCATCGTGCATGAACTTGCTTAATTTACATATTGTAATGGGGGATTCCGCTCTCAACATCGGAGTCAGGTGATTGGGGCCTTAGTAACAAGGCAGCAATTTAGTTTCGGAAGGATAAGCAGCGTTCGTTCCATAGTATCAATAACAACCATGCGATGCGATGCATGTTCCCCCTTATGAAATGTTCTACTGAGGCTGCTGAGGTTGCGGTATCGATATACTGCTTATGAAAGGTTCTGTTATTCGTTCTATCGTCCCTCTCTAGCGTCTCTCTTTGTCTACGACTCTCCTGCACTCTGCGAGTGTGGTGGTTTTGGTCCTCTTGCAATCGACCCGTCTGCTTGACAGACTGCCAGCGAGCATTTCCATCTTACAATATGTACTTTATAGCACCATTTGAAACGTACAGAAAGTGGGTGTGGTGAGCTTTAAACTTTTGGCACCTGAAATAATTGTCGCGAAGCGACAGATTCTAGAGGCAACCCTACCCAAAATATTCAACTGATTCCCAGGAATCATTGGTTATCCATAGAACTTGCTGGTGAAGTGATGAACCAATGTAACAATTGAGAAACATGGTTAGACTGAGCTGGCCCGTGGTACTGTCCTACAACCTCGAAACCTCATTTATTTACGGCGTTTCTAATGTTATTTAACGACGCTCAACCAACACACATGATCTGTTTCCCGATAAGTTCACAGAAAGAGCGAATGTAACGTGCTGAAAGCTTGAAAGGACCTGTTCTAATTAAATAAAGCTATTTTTTGCCCACAAAGCCACATAGCGTCACGACTAAACATTGCGACTCAGCAATCATCTCACCGATTAGCTCCGTTCATGATCATTATGGTCACCGTCTGTCAATTTCAGTCTATTCTCGGTTCGTCAATTGGACTGAACTGTAGATTGATAAAATTTAAATGACGCTGTTGTTGATGTATCAATTTCAATGAAGAAATTAGAAAGTAAAAGCCAATTAGAAACTATAAGGGCCAAGGGTATTTCGATTAGAACTCCGGATACGGAAAGCGGAGATCAGTGGGGCAGGATCTTCCCGCCACCTCACATCCCCTGTTCGCCCCGGACTAGTGTGCTGCAAATCCTTTGACATGCTCTCTATTTAGTATTCCACTCCAGCGAAGGAAATGTCATTTAGAAATTTCTGCCCTCATGTTGAAATCTCCAAATATACCTTCTCGTCGAAGACAGTCACTTGTTAATGGACGACACACCTTTCGAAGCAGACTTAAACGTGCATTATCTCTGTCATCCTCCGAATCGAGTAAAGAGGCCAGATATAAAAGACCGAGGGTAAATAATATTGCTCAGAATGAGTCGTCTTTCGAAAACAATAGAGCTGTTGAAGGCAGAAAATTCGGAAGGGTCACCATTGGCGACCATGGGAGATACAGTCCGAGAATAAGATCAATCGGCCTGAAGCTCCATACTGGCCTGAAGAGCCTGCAAACTATAGCATTATTGCACTGAAGTGTGTTTTATGGTGAGTACTAAAAATAAAAATAGGTTGTTCTTTTACTAATGGAACTAAGACTAGATGAACGAACGAAGTTAGTCTTACAGGAAAATGCAAAGAGTTCGAGGGGGGATCCTGTGATCAAGGGGACCAGACAAAGAAGCTGGAAGAAGATTGGTATGAACATAGTGTCGCGAATCGTCTCGTAGAGCGAAAGACAAAAATTAACAGAAATCTGTATAGCTATTAATCATTTCAGGACAGGAGAAGTCCCGGGTTTTTATTATGACCTTTTCTCTTTTAGTTTTAAAGATAGGTCGTTTGGGGCCAGTAGACGAAAGGCCAATTGGGCCTTCGAATAGACCATGCATTCTACAAGGGCCAGTGTTTCAAAGCTGCGCGTTTCGCTGATAATTTCTGAGTTGGACTTAAATTTGTTGATAGTCAATCCTTCGTCAATCCTACCTTGTCGAAAGCTCGAAAATGATAATACCACTAGTATGCCAGCTATATCTATGGATGCTAATATAGAACGCTCAGATATATAATTTACGGCTCCTGACGGTTAGATTCTATCAAAGTTTGTAACACTACTAGTAGTATTCATAGATCTTCTTTATGCCAATTGAAACCAAAATACTGGAAGTTGATTGCATGTGTCTATATAACCTTGACCCGGACTCAAAGATGAATGTGCGATCCCTTCTATCTTAAGTCAAAGATGGCTGTGTAGACGATATATGATTTTCGGATTTCTTGACAGGCAAAGCATGATCTATGTATAATACCCACGGGGGCCAATCGACCATTATAGTAAATACTAACATTATAAGTTCATATACACTACAATCATACTAATATATTGGCTTGTTCCTGGACAGTAGGAGTCGAAATCTTGTATGTTTGCCTCAAAAGCCCTCGTGTGGGGGCTAAAGTTTTCTGGGGCAGGGAATACAGTAGGTTTATTTTGGTGCGCAAATTGTATACTAATATACGACCAACATAATCCTGGCAAAGGGGGCGGTTTTTAAATCGATTATTACCAGACTGGGAACTTCTGTGTAGAGTCCCTAAGGGGAAGGATTGCCAAGTGGGGCTTGATTGAGTCAAGTAAGTCGCCTCATTGCTTGGTTCTATATTCTGGATCCCTGGCCCCCAGACGTGTCCAAATTGGTACTACGTCATGCAGGTCCGAAATATGGACCCTGCTATCCACAACAGGGGCTCAAAACTTGCCTGTTGATTCCGTCTGTGAGAGCAAATTTAATTATATATCTAAAGTGCCTACTTTTTTTGCAAATAATATTGCACCACAGCACTTTATTCCATAGGAGCTTTGTTCTGCCAGGCCTGCGTGTTGCTAACGGCACTGGCAAATTCGCCGTCAGGTGTACTCAGACCTCTTATATGGAAACGGCACCCTGATAGAGCCCCCTTGGGGGCCAGTGTTTTAGATATCCTAAAGGATTTATGTATGGGCTATATTACAGGATTGACTGAACAGATTGACAGTGGCTCTGTACTTGCTTCGGGGCCAGGAATCCCGCAAAAGCACTATGTTACACCCCTCTAGAAACTCATACTTCGTTTTTGATTCGAAATAATTCTAAATATAGCTTATTCGCGTATGTTATCCCCAGGCTAGAGCAGATTACTATTAGGTAGAATGGAATTGAAAAGGCGGAATTTGTCTTAAGGTGTGTAGTAGTACCTGGGGGCTGAAGAATGCAATATAAAAGGCTGGTCGCTTTCCTCTCTGTTAATGCTTCTGTATAGCTTCGTCTTATTATTCTTCCAATAATTCGGTGGCTGTGGCCTTAGCTCATATCAAAATGTATCTCTTTTGGATTCTGCAGCTCTCTGTGGCTGCCCTGGCTATGCCTGGAAGAAGTTTTGAGGCAAGAGCCGCCGCCACGTCTGAAAATCCAACAGGAAGTATTACAGCTACTGTAACCAAAGCCACTCGCACTAAAGGTACGATGATTCTAAATTGTAAGCTATCTAAGAATACAAGAGCTAATATTGATCCAGCGTCGGTTTGTATAAACTATAAGCATAAGTCTTCTTTGACTGCTACTGGCCTACAATGCGTTTATTCGCAGAATCCTCACGAGGATACGAACAAATGTGTTTATATACAGCGGTACTAGCGAAGTTATCTATGATGTACTAAAGGACGGCAATTGCCCTATGACAATGCCCTTGAGCTGGATGCCCACTTTCTCCCCCGAACCGACCACGACCATAACTTATTCCTGGGGCACTGGTGAAGTTGTAGGTTATGATTATACATACTGGGATTCAGCACTTGGTGGTGCTAAGATTCTTTGTTAATCCTCGGAGTACTCGACGATGGGTATTGCTGTCGGTACTATGCTAATCGTTGCGACCGTTTGCGCTGGTCACAATTTAACTGCTGAAGTAGGCATTAGTCACTGGACAAGTGCCACTGTTGTCAGTGCCGATGTGTTTAATATCGGAAACTGGGGGTTCTTAAAGACTGAGGCTACCGACGAGGCTGCCACCGCCACCTCCTCTGAGCGAAACGAGCTTGCTACTAGCATTTTTTCAGCTATGAAAACCCTATGCTCCGATAGTGCTGTTGACACTGAGACCTATGTTCTAACTATTAGCTGGAATGAAGAAATCAATAGCTTTACAGAAACCTCTGTGATAAAGACTATGAAATACTGCGCTACCTAGACGGTTGAGGTTATGGATACCTACTATCTGAAAAGTCTTAATAACGATACGGATGTGGTGGATGGCCCTGGGGATGGTAAGATCGAGATCGAAATCAAAGACTCTTGGTTCGAACCGGCAAATCTGGATGGGTTTTTGTGGAAAACTGCTTTTATATGGGCTGAGCAGGCTATGAAGAATATGCGAGAGGTTAACTATAACTACGGTAGCCAAAGTGGCGGATTTGCTGGTGCTGTTTATGAGCCGGATTTGTGGCTGAAACAGTACGTTGTGCTATCCGAAATTTTGGTTACTTATGGTGTAGACTATGTATATGATAGTGTTGAGGCTATGTGGACAAAGTTGTATCTTAAGGAAAGTAAAGCAGATGAGATGTCTTGTGTGGAGCAGGAAGAGATGATTATGCTGGCCAAATCATTCGCGGAGTTTATCGTTCCTGAGCTTGTACCGGAGATTGAAGTAGGTGCTGATATTGGCCTGGAAGAAATGTCCTGGCATTGTGCGGAAGAAGCTAGTACTGGTGGTGATTAGTGATCTCTTAATTTGAGTACTTGACTGAAGCATAGTATATTGCTACTCTGAAGATTCAAAAATTGGATAAGTTATTTAATTCTGTATTTATTACCTAGGTATCAATTATGATAATAATTCGTTTTGTTGAATATATGTGTAGTCTACCACTTGATATGAATCGAGAAGCTTTCTAATGTGAACTAATTTGGAATTGTTGTGGAATACTAGAATTACTACGGCTTGAGAAACTTTCTTTGATAGTACCTTGATTTATGATTTCAACAAAAGGAGTCTTTTATTGTATGAAGATCTTATAGTGAGTTACTTCTTATATAGCTCAGTTCCTAGGTATTCGCTATGATATTATCACTCTGTTTGATCCCCCGGGCTGCTCTATCTAAGGGTAAGAGGTCAAACAGTCCCTATTTAGTGATGATTACGGATATTCCCTGATACTAAGATACCTAGGTAGTACGTAAAATACTACTAAGTCTATTCTTTTTTTAAAATGAATACCCAGTTTCGTCCCACCAATCTAACTTCTATTTCTTTAATCATCCACATAAGTCAAAACCCAGTTGTATAGTAATTTTTAGATGTTCTTTTACCTACACACCTATAATATCATAAAATAACAGGAGTGTGCAGAACAAAGTTGAAAGATACTATTTTGTATCTCAAATGGGATATTTCTCTACTAAGGAGTAGTCTTAACTTTCTCGTAAGGTGTTGGGATACCTGGTATCTGCTCAGGAGTGGTGACTGGGAGACCAAGTCCTGAGGGGAGAGCATTATGACTTGTATATCTGTTGCTCCAGCTATATTCCGGGACTAATGCATGCCCCTTCGGTTTGGTTGGCTCTCGGTGGCCCATCAGTAGGTTGCGGCCCCTCATGTTGCAGGGTTGTAACAGATATTAGATAGTAGAGATCAGATTGGATAATTAATATGCAGCCTGATTCTTAAAGAGATTAAGAATCCTAAATATTTATAGGATCTTATAATACTAAGGCTTATATAGATACAGATATACAAGCAACTTAGAAAAGATTCAGCTATAGATTAGCCTTAAGAGTCTAGGGTATAGTATACTCTTCTTGTACTAACTACTTATAGATACTAGGCAGGAAGCAGGGATTATGATACGAAATAGGTTTAGATTCAGCACGACTAATGAATAGTGACAAAACTGATTCTTGAAGAACCTTCAAAGAATCAGGGGTCTCTCCTAAAGAGATTAGTCCAACCCTCACGTGAGGGTCTAGCGCTATTCGAGCGGGGTAAGACAGAGAGGAGGGTTCTAATATCCTTTAGTCTTTGTGAGCATTACCCGATCGGGTTTTTCCCGTTACACCGAGTGGCCAGTTAGCGAACGCGTAACAATATCCTTGCCTAGTCATAGGTCTCTAGCCTGACAACTTAGTAACCATTACATGAAAAGTAAGCTAGAATAAGTTAGTAATAAGTTAGAAATAATCTAATAGCAGTCTGATAAGTAGTAGGTATATAGTAGGTAAGAAGCCTTATTATAGAAGTAGGTATCGGAGATAGTACGGCCGTAGAGATATGGTGGTATTCTTTTTATTTATACTGTTTGTTCTATCTATTATTTAGGACTATTAGGTAAAATGGTTATCGGACTATACCGTATACGGTCTCTACTGCTTTTCATTATATTATATACTTTCGGTATTCTGCTGTGTACTTTCCTTCTGTATACAGTGGATTAGTGTCTAGGTTTTCAGGCAGAGGTGCCTTAGGCTCCCTAGCTAACGCTGCCGTGGTCTGGAACCACTTTGTTCGACTGGCTGGCCAGTTAGCGCCCCAGCATAGCAGCTTTAAACTTAGCGAGCTTAGGTACTGAGTAATTGAAGAATTGATTGATTGATAGGTCTAAAAAGATGTTCTCTTCTCTTTGCTAAGCCTTTCTCTAAGTATATTTTCTGGGGGGATGGCCTGGTATATATTTAGGCCTTAGGATAGGTGTATTATTATAGTTAATACTATATAAATTATATTTATCCTGGGTCCTTATACTACCTTCTATACTAAACAATAGCTATATCCAGTTCTTGATTCCTGTAGAAGTTATCTAGAGGAGTGTGGAGGGTGGGGAAGAGTATAAAATTCCACTGTTCCTACCCCGATCCCCTAATTTCCGCTCGTCGGCACCTGCCTATATTTCTGGTGCAGCTGTGTAAGCTTCGCATCGGCATCTTTCACAAAACTAGCTATGCTGGGGGTTGCCTGCCATTCCAAATCTCGGAATTCGAACAAAGGTGCATCGCGACTAGTGCCGAGAACCTTCTCCATCTTGGACCCAAGGCCACCAACAGAGCCATCGATCTCCTTGTCAAATCTGGTAAGCAGGTCTTCCTTATCGAGGTTTTTTATCCAGTCCTTGATGGTTGTGCTTCCGAATTTCGCATCTCCGAGCGTTGTGCGGGGAACAAACGTGATTTTGTCATTTTTTTTTCTCAACTTTACATAGCTTGTGATCCAAGCTACACACTTGTTAGATAGCATGATGCAGCGGCGAAAATTGATCGACTTACAAAGCGCTATTTGGGTTAAGCTCCGTGGCTTTCTTGTCCTTTGGATCAATTGGCGTATAGCATGAAATGGTGTTGATGATGTTCCAAAGATCACCCGGAAGCTGCGATTTAACTTGCGTATAAAGGGTATGGAAATCAGTCCGAGGCATGAATACTGATCGCAATTTAACACTCTCGTCCTGCTTGAGAGGGTCCTTAGCGATAGTCTTGGCGTATGTCAGGACAAGGCTCAAGAATGCAACAGTATCATCGGTAAGCGAAACCGGATCGATCCCATTCGGCTTTTTCTTGAAATAATTTTTGTTGACTAGCGCTTGGGCTCCAAGAGGGCTCCGGGGGGGTATCTCCAATGATACTGTAGTAGTCATTGTCCTTAGGCACGAGTTCGTAGGTTGCGCGCTCTTTCATCGGGACGTACAGAGCCTCAAGCGGCAGAGGGGCGGTGATTGTGGTTGCCAAAAGATGTTTGTCGCATCATCCTTCGGGCCTGGCGCGTCGATGTAGAAGTCGCATGGTGTGTCCTCGACTTCAATTTTGACTCGGTCTTTTCCTGTTCGCTTTTTCCAGGGCTGCCAATTGATCTGAAAGTATCTTTGTATTAGCCACAAGATAAGAGAGCCAGATTCGCGCAATTCTCACGAAGTCTTTCACAATCTCCTTTGCAACTGTCTCTGCCTGTCCACTCCCGAGTTTGATCTGCTGACCATCAATGATATACTCGGCTTGAAGGGTTTTTTCTCCTGCTCCTGTGTCGGCAGTCAACATCCACAAGGGAACCTTGCCCTCATCGACTTCCTGCTTTCGGCCTGCGAGTATCTTTTTCTTTGCATTGTTCACGGTGTCTTGGGGGCAGTCGGGGCTGGTCAATTTGAACATTAGGGTTTCAAACTCGACGCCAATGCCAGCACTTCCATCTGCAGTAGCGGCGTCCTTATTCTCAATAATGTCCCCATCCCATTCTTCGCAATCCGGGTCGTCGTTGTCGTTTGTGGAACCTGCGGGTGCAGGTGCAGCAACCGCAGCAAGACAGAAGGGCAACAAGTATAGAAATAGACGCATCTTGAGAAAAATACTTCGGCAATGGAACTGAGTAATAAACGGATGCCTGCCCAAGTTGTGAATATTTCTCGCCTGAGAAGGAAGACTATTTATCTATGCTGCCGGTCAGCGTCGGTTGATTCTTCAAATCTTGCAGGGCGCCGTGTCCGGTGCCTGGCCCCAAGGGGGGCGACATTGTAAAGGGGCGGAACTCAGTATTGTGTTAAGTGGAGCGGGGTTTGGGGGCAGGACGAAGGGGCCGATTGTTTCGCTTCATACCAAAGGACCCACACTGGATAGGACGATAGGCACAACGGTGTCTCATCTCCAGACGGTATCGATGTGATACTAGAGGTAGAAGCGAGCGTGTGGTATTTTCCTGGATGTAAAACTACCCCCCCTAGTCAGCTCTCAGACTCTAGTAGATTTGATCAGCGCCATGATCATGTGTGAAATACCTGTCTATACTCAGGAACGACATGAATGAGAACCAAATTACGATCAAAAATTACTCCCTGCCGTACCATTTTGCTCTCGCGGAGTGCCGTATTAATTTTAATTCACCATGGTTATGTATTTCCCCTGAACACATCGATTCCAAACAAATCACAGTGTCCAATAAAGGGAATAGAATTAAGGTTTAATACGGAGCTATGCTTATAGATGTTGGTCACATTGAATTGAGAACATCGACGACGGACTTAATAGCTAATACAGAGACACATAATTATTTGAACCAAGCAGAATAGGCAATGGCCGGCCGTTCAAAGGCGTCAATGAATATTCAGACCAGGCCATTTTCATCCAGCCTTGGCCTTGTGTTTCTTTATGGACCAAGTCTTCAATGAGCCTTCATGAGTAAAACGGAAAGCATATATCCTCGCCTAAGTCGACTGTCGAAATTAGACATAGGTCTTCCGATAGCGTCAAGTCCACACCCACCCTTTTAGCCTCCACTGCCAGGTTAGCACACTGTGCTTTGTATAATTCATCCGCATCATCAGGGCACGTCAACAAGATTTTCTTCAAGTTTGGGGTTTGGAACTGTTTCTGACTTGCAAAGTCACGGAAGAGAAGCTCAAGAGCCTTATCGTGGGGGCTCTTTCCGGGCGATAATAAGGAAAGAACAGAGACGGACGCGGGTACGATGTCACCAATTAAGGAATTGGAGTCCAATGACCCATGATCTGCTGGATGATCTGCTGGATGTGCGGCTTCAAAATTGCAAAGAATGATATCAAGCGGCAACTCAAGGCTTTCGAGGCGCTGAAAGCCATGCAGGTATGGCTTCCCTGGGGTTATCAAGCAGCGTAGTTCTAAAGTGAGAGCACAGAGGTGCTCGAGATGGCTCCCCACCTCATCCTGCACTGCCGCGATGAGTCCGCAGAGATCCCAGTCCTGTTGTCCCCCGTTGGCTTTAGTTGAATGCCAGTACGTCAATGATTTGAGACTCGGAGTGTGTTTGAGAAAACCTGCAATGGCCACGGCATCAACGGACGCATCGTAAAACCCTGCCACCTCAAGCTTCGAATCCAAATCGGTGCCTAGATAACTGGACTCAATGCAGTTATCATCCTCGGCTTTTCCCATGTATCCGTGGCCCCAAAACTTTTTGATTCGCGGTAGAGCTAGGAGCAAAGGAACCCAGGATATGTCACAACTCCCACTATATGTCGTGACCTGGGCAAGGCTGAAATTACCATATGGATTTTCTCTGGCAGTTTGGAGGACGGTCGTGATGAGCTTTTGAGGTGCAGAAGACCGGGGCCCAGATAATTTCGGCGTGAGTACCCGCAGATTCGGTAGAAGGGTCAGAGCAAAGGCAGCAGCATGCTCTGATTGGCGCCAGCCGTTAACATCCTCCATCATAGCGCCATAGAATTCCTTCCAGTCGAGCCCTGCTTCCCTCAAATACAATGAGTCCGCGAATAGTTGACGCGTAGCTTCATTACGATCTCTCCATGTTTCGGACCCGGCATTCTCTCGGACAGTTGGGAGAAGTCGAGCATAGATATGACTATCGCGCGAAACGTCGGCCTCAAGAATATAGCGTCCAACAGTTGGTTCGATAGCAATTCGCGAAATCAGACTATACGCCGAGGTCGCTGTATCAGGAAACCGGAGCAAGTCGTGATGGTATCTAAGCTCTCTAAAGTCCTTGTTTGTTTTGTTGTATTCGAACTTCCGGAAATGAAAGCGTAGGTTGTTATAGTTCTCGAGAAATGGGATGCACAGTGTGTAGAGATATTTGCATGTTAATGCTAGGCACTCAAATCCCTCTGGCAGGGTGTGTGGGACGATTTGTTGCAACAACTCCGTTGGTAATTGCATGAGGGCCATGATCATGTTCAAGATTGTAACATCAAGACACTTGTCATAGCCGAAATTGGCGAGGTGTGTTGGAGGGGAATAATGCCTTGGTCAGAAAGAGGCGAAAGGCTCGCTACCGGTTAATTCCGCTGTAAAATCCCGTGTCGATTTGCTGCGGCGGCAGTGCGAAAGAGTTAGGTTACCCACTCGCGAACGGTGACTGTGTGGGGCTTCGCGACAGCTCGAGATGCTGCACCAGGGGGCCCCTAATAAACCAATTGACCAACCACTCGTTCTCTGGCTCCTCTCAACCTCGCGGTCTTCTCCTGGTCTACTGATAAGTTTGGGGGCCAAAGCAAAGCCAAGATTCAAAGGTACCCTAAATTGGGGGGGGCCCGGGGGCGACGATACGATATTATCGTGACGACAGTTATCACGTGTCGGTGCTGGCCAATAATATGTCTCCATTTGGGGTAAGCTTAGTCATAAGTCAGTGCTGACCAATGAGAGATCACCATTCGCGGCACTACCCATCTCCGCGTTCAATGTATATTGCAATATATATACAGTCAACCCTCGTGGGCTGCACGCCGGTGAGGTGCACGCATTTGTTAGCAGCACACTTTTTCTATGCCCGGGCTATATTTGCCCCACTTTTACATATAAAATTCTCCTGAGCTGCACCATTCATGGTCTGCACACTTTTTCTTTTCTGCTATCCTCGCTTACTCAGCATAACTGACCAATCATAATGCAGAATTATATCTCGCCGCCCTTTCTCTCTTACCCATTCTGTCGAAGATACCCTAAATATATTCCGGCCCGTCCCGGGGGGGGGGGTACCCGCAAATAAAAGTCTTGGCGAGGGGGGGGACGAGTAAATACGTCCCCCCCCCCTAACTACATCAACCCTTTATATTTTTCGATCGGGCTTTTTGGAAGTTTGATTATAATTGTCTAGACTATCCTCCTATCAGGTTTAATAGGACGATTTCTAGTAGGAAGGGTCAAACCCTAAGGGGTCTGATTTTGGTAGGGGATTTTTTAATAGGGTATGCCAAGACTAGGACTAACGGGTAGTCTATACCCTAAATATATTCCGGCCCGTCAGGGGGGGGGGGTTACCCGCAAAAAAAAGTCTTAGCAAGGGGGGGGGTTACAAGTTAATACGTAACCCCCCCCCTAACTAGGTTACCCCTCTATATTTTTCAATCGGGCTTTTTAGAAGTTTGATCAGAATTATCTAAATTATTCTCCTATCAGGTTTAATAGGACGATTTCTAGTAGGAAGGGTCAAACCCTAAGGGGTCTGATTTTGGTAGGGGATTATTTAATAGGGTATACCAAGACCAGGGCCGACAGATAGTCTATACCCTTTTCAGCCAGCTTTCTAAGCCTAGGGTTTCTGCCTTAGCTATAAGGTATTCTAGGGTTTTAGGGTCAAGAGTAGGGTTGCTGCTTATTGGCTAACTACTAAAGCTAACTAAATCTGGTTTATACTACTATATAGGTAAGCTAAGTAAGAGTAGGGGTATAGAAGGCTATAATTATATAAACAGGATCTATAGAGGTAGAAGATAGTATAAAAGAGGTCTGGAAATTTTTAGTCTGCTGACTAATATTAATTTATATAGGGTAATAGAGGGGATTTTGGTAATCAGATTAAAACTAGTATAAGCTAGGTTAGCCTAGTAGTTAGTGAGATATTAGTAAATAAATACTTCTATTATAGATATTACTAAAGGTTACTGTGGCCAGTTGTTGTATAATACCTTATAGTATATATATCTATATATAGGAATATCAAAGTAAGCTTTTATATTATAGTCTTTTCTATACCTACAATCATAACCTTGAGCTAACCTCTTACGTTAATAATTAGCTTCAAATTTTAGATTAAATATATTCTATAGATTCTAAGTACTCTGAAAATACTCTCCATTTATTTTTATTTTCTCTGGTTGTTAAGTTATACGTCTATAAAGTTAGTAAGTTAATATTGATTCTGCCGAGATACAATAGCGGTGGATAGGAGTATAGAAAGACCGCTTTTCCAATAGGTAAATTTTGTAACCTACACTAAACCGAATAGGTTATTTTTATAACCTACGCTAAACCTAATTTACTTTTAGGGGTTTGAATTACAGTCCCCTAATACCCGTTCAGTTAAGGCTTCTAAAGTAAAAAATAGAACTTGTAACTGGTAACTGGTATAGTATTTAACTCTATAATATACAAGTACTATACTTAATAAGATCTTCTATAACTTAAAGTTATATACCCCACCAATCTAATACTTTTGCTCCAAATAATTATTCCTCCTCCTCTAACACTATAACCTTATCTGGCTCCTAAAGCCTACAGCAAATGTACTGTTAACGCCAGATCCACCCCTTATATAGCGAGGCCAAGGTAACCAGGTATATTGTATATATCTGCTTATTACGCTGCCCGATCTGTTGGATTTATACAAATACCTGCTACTTATCACGCTCTATAAAGGACGGCTCAACGAGTACGATCCAAAAGGCCTGTATCAATGATACCCTAGCACCCAGTACCCTAGTTATCCCTACCAGGATTATCAGCTTATTCTCCTTCTCCTTATTCTCATTACCTTAAAAGCATATAATAAGCGTATATTGATCTAGGGTCATAGCCACTATCATCATACAATAGCGCTCGGGAAATTCTTAACAGATTACCTGTTC